CAGCATGAACCACAAATCACAGGGTCAGCTGAGAAAACTGCATCACTGGAAGAAAGTGTTGCTAGTGCGTGATATGGGATCAATGTACTAGTTGCTATGAATTCACATTTTTATCTGGTAATTTTCCCCTCCCCTTCTGAGTCGTCTGCCACATTTCTTATCAGATGACCAGAGTTCACCTAAGAGGGATGAACTCACTGTCTCAGTCAAGCTTCTCTACATCAACAGCTTTATCAGCTCCTATTGGCTCAGCATAACCTTTAGTATTCAGTAACAGTACTGGGAAAGAAACGCATGCAATCCATCCCATCAGATTAGAGGTTCTGCTAACTATTAAGATTGAAGAAGAGTTGAGAAATCGCTTTGAAACAATTTTAAGTGTCTGATTTTGGGATTTTTTTTCATGAAGCTCTTTAACACTGGAGCAGAGGCTACCTTCACATACATTTATTAATAGAATAAAAGATCCATTCAGTCATGCATAAACCAACATCCCAGAAAGAGCGCAGCGGAATGCACTCTTCCCGTTTTGAACAACATGACTGAAGCTCACTACTGCTCATGCTTTTCCATCTCCATTTTAATTCTTGCAGCCGGATACTGTTCCGTGCTGTAAAAACAGTTCTGAACATGATGTGATTAACCTTAGGGTCCCCCCATCCCCTCATCTCACAGCCCCCTCGTACGTGGCCTGTGCTTTCTATTCATGTTCAACCATCTGATTTCCATATCATCCCGCTCAGCCTCCCGAGCGGCTATTAGCATAACAGAGCTTTGGTGTGACATTGATTGAAGCCAGCGCTTGCTGAATGCGGTATCAAAGCATAATTTGCCAGAAATCACATCTAATTTACTATGTACTATTTAAATTTCTAAAAAAAAAAAAAAAAAAAGGCAGCAATTTCAATATAAGTACACTAGGTTTGTAATCTTAATTGTTCTTTTTTTCTTCCCCAATAGTTGTGGCTAGTCTGCTGGAATCTGAGTGATATAGTTCATTTTGGAGCTGCTGTCTTTGACTTTCAGATGTTAATTAAGCAAGAGTCTTTCCACTCTGTTTCTTCCTATGCACTTATTGCTACATCTGAAACAGTAAAGAGTAATAGTCTGGTAGGCACAACACTCGGTTTGCTGCTTCATAACAGTTTTTTCAACAGATTCTTCTAATGACCCTAATGTTTAGCTTGAATGAAGCATTTAAGTACCACATAACTTTAACAGCTGAAGCAGATCAAGCCTGCTGTTGTTTCTCTAACTGTACCTTTTCAGAATGTTTTTAAAATTCACCTAATTTGAGAGCAGCAATAATGGCTTGCATAAGTTTTGTCCAGCGTTCCACTGAAACTACACTTTGAGCAAGTCATGATATCAGTTAACCTTTCTGCAAAGTGGAAGTAATAATATTTATCCACCTTTATAAACAGCATCTATACATGAACATAATAAGCTCTGTTTTTAGGAAAATTGAAGAGCCCAAGTGCTTATTCTGTCAAAGAAGCCTTGCTGTCTCTGAGTGGGGTCACATTGAATTCTCTGGGGATAATGACAGTCTTAGTGTTTGGGTAGTTATACTTGACCAAGAATTTATCCTGCAATTGTTAAGTGTTACTTTCACTTTTCAAATTACATTGTTTGACTAGAAATTGACAAATAAAGCTGATATGGTGAAAACGTTGTTTAAATGCTATAAACAATGTCATTTTAATCAGAGTCTGTCTATAAACAGAGCTATAGCTGAATATGACAACAAACTATAAAACAATGAAGGTTTCTTTCATTATAGAACCCTGTCTTTGAATAAGTTAAAAAAACCAAACAACTCACACGTTTTATCTTTCCAAAATTATGTTTCCCATGTTATTTAAGATTACGTTGTTAAATAGTTTAGCTGAAGAAACTCTGATGTGAATAAAAGCTCCAATTCATTTATTATTTTATAGTAAATTTCCAGTAATTATGGCTGCAGAGGAAACTAGAAAATATGTAATTGCATAACTAGATATTGTTGTTTGCTGGGGTCTTTAGAAAGGTTAACTTAATAGCTATGAGGCCACAGATCTTCTATTCATCTAGTATGGCAAAAGCTGGAAAGGACTTGGTGTGTGGAAGGCAGAGAATGGAACAATAGGATCCATCCTTGTCTGAACTACAGACTTATTTTCCTTTTCTGTTTTTGGAAAAAAGGAAAAAAAAAGAAAGAAAAAGATTGTTTTTCTGCTCTTAGGAAAGTGAGAGATATTCAAAGTTAGGGAAAGGTCAAAAACTGGAAACTAGGTTGGAACTAGGATGTATATCTCTCATTGTGCCTTGACTACTAAATTATCTTAATTTGATCCTTGACAAGTCTGCTACAGCAACAAATTTGATTCTGTTGTATCTGCTCAGAGCTTGGAGTTATTGATTTACAACACAGCCTTGTGTGTGTGAGAGCGTTTCAGATGAACCCTTAAACGTGCCTGCCTTGCATTTTTGCAGTTACATGACTCTAAAGATGGGCTCATGGAAATGCCAAGCCCTTCTTGCTGCTATTGAGCTGCCTCAGAGCACTGCCTGTATAACATACCCCCAGTGCACCAAGCATGCCTAGGAAGTGATCTTAGGCATTCATCATGCTTGGGTTTTATCTATGGGATGGTCTCCTGGCACCAGGTTTTTAGCATCACAACGGAAAGATTATGGTCTCGAGGCCACCCATAACACACCATAGACATAGGACTCATGCGTCGTTCCTGTCAAATGCAGGTATAACACCTGAAGAGGTTTTCTTCTCTCTGCTGTGCCTGAGGTTGCTGTTGATTCTATATTAATATCCTGGGCAATAAACTTCTGTGGCTGAGCAGCAAACACTGGGCTAGTCCAGTGACCTTTATTAAGTAGGTGGTCAGAACCGTAGAGATACCTAAGATATGCCTACAGGAAGGGCAGGTTTCTACTACACAGCTTAAAGGTCTCTCTCCCTTTCTCCCCTGTGTGGCTGACTGAGCTAACACATGCACTGATTATCACACTGTTGCTTCCTGACACCTGTAGGTGTTTGTTGCATACTGATTGCTTGCTTAAACCAGGTGAGGGAAAAACAAGTAACTCGCTGCAGCTCACCACTTTAAGAGTAGAATAGCATGAGTTCACTTCCTAGAGTATGTATAGACACACCTTACAGAAATCTCAAAACATATGGCTATAAACAGGCAGCAGCAGGGCACTAAGGCCTTTGTCCCTACCTGTTTAGACAATTTAACAGCTGCTGAGGTGGAGGAAGAGGTGGGCACTTCTTTCCAGAAGGCTTAAACCTGTGTTTAGGAGTGTGAGGCAGAAGAAATACCCTCTACCTTTTAAATTTATGGTGGTTTACGTTTTTTAAGTGCTTTGCAGTTCTTGTTTTAAAGAATGCATTATACCAGCATTATTCAACTGATGCTCTTTAGACTCCTGCTGATCTGTAAAGCCTCGGGAAGTACCTCAGGAGATCACTGCAAAGTGTGTTTCAAAAAAAATCAGGTCTGCCTGCATTTCTATGCAGTTAGCAGATTTGTGTCTGTGCTGTCAGCAGGTGTAATCGGAAGCTGGGTCTTGATTGCTCTTCGTGCCTAATTAAATAGTTTGTAATTATAATGGTGAAAATACGGTTTTCTTAAACACTTAAATTCTGTTTACCTAAAAGCTTAGTGTTCCTAAGCCATCCCTCTGCACAACCACAAAATCAATAGTGGAATAGAAGAAAATGAAGGTGGGGTCTTGCGGTGTTTTTTGTTTGGGTTTTTTGGTTTTTGTTGGTTTTTTTTTACTGTTTTGTCCCCCTCTTCAACCTGCCCCAAAAGTTAGCTAGTCTTTTGATAAGAATATCTGGAGATATTGTTTGCATTTTTAAGATATGCAAAATAGTACAGATCCAGTTTCAGTGATGAACCAAGACTGAAGGGTTTTCATATCACTCATAGAAAAGCCATTTGCTTTACTACTACATCATGCTCAACATAGTCACTGATGTCAAGTTTTCTCTCTCAAATGCTCTGATACTGCTTCTTCCTCACTTTCTTTCTACACATTAACACCTTTTCTCTACCTTCTCATTCCCACCAAGTACTGACTCTCTATTCTCTGTCAGTACCCGCCAGTACAAGTCAAACTACTCCTCTCTCTTAGAAATTGTTCACTTCTGACTGTACCTCCTGGTCCCGTATGTCTGAACACTGTTAATGCCAGCTACTTGAAAACATAGCCAGTCCTGGTTCTTCTTTCTTGCTTTGAACCCAGTCTCCTTTTTTCTTTTCCTTGTTTCTTCCTGATCTCTTGGAATACCTATTCCTTCTCGCTCACCGCTCACTTTCGCCCACTAACTCTTCAACTTTTGCTTCCTTCTAATCTTTAAACAAGCTGAAATCTGGATTTCCCAAGTTTGTGTTGTTTTATCAACCATTATTTTTACTGCAACTCCTCCTTCCCACTCCATTCTTGACCACACTGTCTCTAAGAGAACTGAGAGCTCTTGAACTTCTGTTCTTCTGCTGTCATCCAGACCTTCCTTTCCTTTCTCAATCATTTTAAAAAGTCTAGAGGGCTAGACTGAAAAAGACAGTCTGTTCATCCTAATTCATACTTGCAATACACGATAGCTCTGTGAAGTGTAAGAGGCTATGAGAGTGCAGGTACCTTTCCAGACCAAAAGTAGAATACATCCAGAGCCAGAAATATAAACACCTGACTGTGCTCCTTAGCATTTATTGTCATCAGAATTGACTCTAGCATGTATGGTTGTAATGTTTATTTCCTTTTTTATTTTTTTTTAATAACTGGGGATGTCACGCACATATATTGCTGCTCTTTTTGTCGCTGTTGTTGTTTGTTTAAATATTAATTCTGTCTATACTAATTAATGTTTCTGGTGTCATGTCCTCTGACATAAAACAAATCTCCATAATGTTGTCTCTTTCCTTCAGTATTCCCTGTCTCTCCCTTGCAAATTATCCTAAACTTACACTATGTTTTTTCTTACATTGTAGCTCCTCCACAGTTTGTGGTGAGACCACGAGATCAGATTGTAGCCCAAGGTCGTACAGTGACTTTTCCTTGTGAAACTAAAGGAAATCCCCAGCCAGCTGTTTTCTGGCAAAAAGAGGGAAGTCAGGTAAGCTCTAAACACCCTATAAGTCTTTCAAGCCTTTCTAAATAGTTATATTGTGAAATTTTAAGGAAAATTTTTTATATTACCTTTCACAGATTCTCTTAATCTTTCACAGGAATTTGTCTTTTTAAACTATGACTATTCTGTACTGAAATTTTTGTTGCCTTTTTTTTTAAAATATTGATATTATGAAGAATACAAAGGCCATTTAAGTTGTTGAAACTTGGGCTAGGTGCTGTGCAGATGTACAGAAAGCAACAGTAAAGACTTTTCATTCTGAAGCCCCCAACAAACAGGTGGGCGAGACAGGCACAGTAGATAAAAAAAGGTATGACTCAATTTTTTACTAATCAGAGTCAGTAATTACAGTTCACAACCTGTCTAGACGTGATCAGGCAGATATGTACCATGCAAGCTGATTTGCACTGGCGAATTCTCCTAGAGCATACAGATATAGGTTTTGAACACGCAGATGCTTTCCTGAGTAAAATTGTCCCGGGAAATTTCCAGATCTGGTTTTGGAAATACTTCCCAGATCTTTTTTGCAGGCAGAATTTGTGATGTGGCGATCGGTGTTGCCGTCAGCCAGTACTGGCTTCTACAGCTTAGTGTTTGAATGTCACATCTTAACATTTCTTTGCTGCTGTTGCTGCATTGGCACGTTATTACAGCAGAAGTCAGGCCTCCTCACTTTGAGTGTGCAGTTCATGTTAGAATGTTAAATTTGAACACTGCAAAAACTACGTGCTGTATTCTCTTTTGCACCTGAGAAAAGATTAAAAGGGCCAAATGAACGCCCAAGGATGGTGCCTTCTGCAGCTCCCTGCTGAGCCCTGTCATGGCTACACCTGTCTGTGTATTTATGCAATATACCCTTCTCTTTTGGCAGGTTGGTCTCTTCAGACCCCTGTGCTACTTTTCCCCATGTGAGTTAACTCACGTATCCACACTGTGCTGTGCAGTGCAGACGTGCCTTTTGTCAGATCTGAAGGCGCTGTGTGCATCAGCTCAGTTAAAATGTGAGATAAGAGCTGAGCCACAGATCTGCTGCTCTGCCCCACCTGCTTCTCCTTCACCTTCTCACGAGATCAGAAAGCTATTCCAGAGTGACAGGACCAGGCTGACAGCATTTTGTGCTCTGCTGTCTTTGTGGCTTACAAAGATACAACACTATTGCTTTATGAGCGTAAGCTTGTCTGAGTGTAAGCTTAACCTTCAGTGTGTATCTCTCAGTGTACTGTTTGGAGAAATTTAGATTTAGCCTCCATGGATCAAACCCTAGAAAAGCAAAGTATCATGAGTCTGACTAAGGTGGCAATTTCCAAGGGGAAAGTAGAATAGTATGTTGAAATTAAAGTAGGAAGTAGTGATGTGCTAGCAGACATTTCAAAACCCTTCCTTGTAGAGCATTTTAATAACATGGTAATGTTTATGTAAAGTGAGCTTATAGTGTCACACTTGAATCTAATAAAGTGGACATCCATCATGCTGTAATAAAGAGAAGAGCTTCTAATTAAAGTAGGACATCATTTGCAGGATTAAAGTCATTTAGCGTAATTGAAAAGTGTTAATACTCTATTTTATCCTCTTCCATTTCTATCACTTCAAGGGTAAAAACATTTTAAGGTGAAAATGCATCTTGTGTCTTTAATTGAATGTTATTACCTACTGATTGTACCATGTTGAAGCTGCTTAATTACAAACCTGGAAAATTAATTACCATATTGAGAAACAGATCCCCGAGGGTTAGAATAGTATTTTTTGGCAAATAAAAGCCACATAAAAATTGATACCTACATGGTTTATAATCAAACCTTCAAACACAACTCAGTGTGATTTACAACTTCCTCATGTTAATCTCCATTGATTGTCAGTGAAATAACACAGGTTAGGGTTACCCTCTCACTATATAACTTGCCAGATTTTGCAGTGAGATGCCATAAAGGAGGTGAGTTTCCACACACTGTATATCATCATACAAATGGAGGGTGGTGTTTTTGCCAAATTACGTGACTTTTCACCTTTACCTGCCCAGCTATAAATTTTTTCTTGTCTCTACAGTGCTTGCTTTTGCTTTTACTTGGGGAACTGTTTGCAGCCCCACTTTTAGTGTTCGAAGTAATGTTATGTAGTCGTGTTATCCCACTCCAGTAATTGTAGGGCATTTTTCATTGAGACTCCATTTCTCGATCCTGTGTTTTTGAGCACAACCAGCTGGAAGGGAGGAGAGCTGTTCCCTCCTGAGTAATTTTTTGTGCCAGCCTGTGCATAAACAGCTGGCCCTTTGTACTTGGTGGCCTTTTCCCCAGACCCCAACAGCCGCCCACCAATGAAATGCACGAGGGCAGGGTGTGTGTAACCTTTAGACTCTGTGGATTAAATTCCTCCTTGAGATAAATTCAGTGGTACTGTATCAGGGATGTCTTTGGTCCCACTTTTCACAACCCAGCATCTGTACCCAGATAAGCAACCCGACAGCTCACTAAAATAGTGAAATTATAAAAAGCACTTAAAAAAGAGGTTTTACTGTAATTTAGGACAAGTTATAGCTTATAGTTGTCTGGTCTTTGAAGAGAGGAGTCATGAGACTGGTGAACTCCTCCTGATGTGTGGAATATTTACTGGAACATGGTACCTTCCAGAACAGTGAGGCCCATGCTGAAGACAAAAAGAAGAGTAGTGTCCCCTGTCTAATGCTATGATAAAGAGGATTCTGGATTATTTTTCTCTTAAGAATTAGGAACTTGATCCTTGCAGTGTCTTTTACATTGTGTTTATTTATACACTTTACATAATGAGTGATAATTGGAGTCAAGATCAGCCATGCCAAAATTCTCCACTTTCTCATAAAATTCAGTGAAGTTTTCATAATACCCTCATTCAGTAGGTATCTGTGCCAAGCAGAAGTTATTCTGAAAGTTTCAAGGCAGTTCAGAAAACAAGGCAATTATTTGAGATCCACTCAGTCCCATAGCCTGAAATTGCTTCAGAATTTTAACACTGTTTTCCTATTGGATCTGACATGTTTACTGGGTGCATATTGATTTTTGAGGAAAAAATTTACTGTTTTAAATTTCTTGAACATTGCCATTGAAACAAGGCAAGGGAAAAGCCTAGGGTGACAAGTATCCTTGTGGGTTAATACGATTATAAGGATACTTGTAGCGTCGGATCTTATTTAAAGCATATCACTTTCCTTTTACTGCCAAAACCATAGAGATAAAGGCATGAGTTTCACTTAAAAGCAGAATTTGTTTCTTATTTGAATTCTTATTTGTTTCTTAAGCAGTTTGTTGCTTATCAGTTCCAAATCCTTTTTTGTAAACCATTAAGGTCTGCAGAAAATTCATTTAATACCCTATTCTACACTTTTAGATTCTATTTTTAGCCCATACAGACAAGCTTACAAGTTAGTAGGGAGTCATCATTAGAAAGCACAGTGGAGCTATACAGAGCTACAGTAATGACTGAAAGCTTATCACAGCATGTTAAGTGTTTTGGGGTATTCCTGCTGCAAACAACTGTATTTTTCATAGAGGCTTGTTGAGCTGACATAAAAGCCAGACCCTATTTTACAGGAATTACTTTTGTTTAATTACTGTTTAAGCTGTTCTCCTTTCTGCCTCATTGGGCAATGCTTCTGACCTTTCCCTTTGCATTGCTTTCGTCTTCCTGTTCTTATTTATTCACAAGAGCTGTGCCAGATGGTATAACTTTTTCCTTGAAAACGCAGCCCTCACTACTAAAACCTTTTCAGTATTGATTCATTCAGTCCTTCATCATATGCAATGACTACTACAGCCATTCCAACTATTATTATTGACATCTCTTTTCTCCAATCCAGCCCAAAGGCAAAAGCTAATCTCCCTGTTTTTTGCTAACTGATGTCTTATCCTACATGAAATTATTTTTTCTCTCTGATGATTTCTACATCAGATTAATACCCTTTCTTTTCACCCTCAAAGCTCCATGATGCATTTCTCCTTTGGTATATCTCAGTTTTAATTTCTTTTTACTTCTCCTTTGAGCTCTCATGCTCTGCCAGCTTCTCCTACTTTATGACCTGGTCATATCTTCCTCCCAGCTTTACTTCTGTGCCCTACTCTTACTTTCTCCTTTGCCCAGGACATATTCACAGCCAAACAATAGTGCTATGCTCCCTCAAGTCTCCAGGAGTCAATTTTTTCTGCTAGTTTTCCAATGTTTACTGTAGTGTTATGTCCTCCTGGTTTGATAGCCAAACTAAGTATATTATTACAATTACATTCAGAAAGAAGATGAATGTGTCACAAGTATAAATCACTCAAGTGTGATTGTTGGAAAATGTCTCCTCGCCTACACCCCCAGAACACAGCACTGTGTGCTGTCAAAGGGCTGTTTCTAATTTAAACTGCAAGTTGCCCAAGGCAGGGAAAGCCAGCTCTATGTGTTCATAAAGTCTTACTTTTCCTTCTAGTTTATTTATAGTACTTTTAAGGGAAAAATCGTCATCTCTCTAGCTGAGGGAAAAGTGGTGCTTTTGTGTTTTGAACTGATGTTTGATGAATTGTCTTTGCAGAACCTACTCTTCCCAAACCAGCCTCTCCAGCCCAACAGCAGATACTCAGTGTCACCGACCGGAGACCTCACCATTACCAACATCCAGCGCTCGGATGCGGGATACTACATTTGTCAAGCACTGACGGTCGCTGGAAGCATTTTAGCAAAGGCTCAGCTGGAGGTTACTGATGGTGAGCTATTAGAAATTCCCATTGTTTTTTTTTTTTGTCCTGTCAAAAGTATTTTAAAAGCAGTGTAAATAAAGGCTAAGAGATCACATAGTTCATACAAGGAAACGGACAATTTTCTATAGGAAATAAAATGGAAAAGGATTTCCATGCAATTGTCTGTGGAGTCAAAAAGGCATCAAGGCCTATTTTGCCTTTTGCTTGCTTTCTGAAGGTTTCTTAACAATGCAAAGAAGGGAAAAACAAGCTTAAAATAAGGTTGATGAGAAAGGAAGCTGCTTGGTTTGCTAGAGCTAGGAGACGACTGCAAGAAAACATTGTGGAGAATGAATAGGTTTGTGATTAAAGCAGTGAATTGGGGTGCAACAAAAAATTAGTCCTGATTCCCAACAGTCTTCACTACCATCTTACACAGCTAGTTTGGGAATGTGTCCTCAGCTCAATTAAACCAAGGCAGTTGTTTGAACGTAAGCTGTTGGTTTAGAATAGCTACATGTAGCCCTTTAGTCGCTCTGTGAATAAGGCACCTACCTCAGAGCTGTGTTCTAAAAATTTCTTGTATGGTTAGGTGTGAAAACAGCCATGAAAATGAGAAGGTAGCGAAGAGTTTTCAGGAAAGGAAAAGCATCTGTCTTGATGTTTTCCATTTCAAATTTTTGGGTTTGAAATTTATCCTGCCTTGAAGTTTACCTTACTCCATCTCCAAACATGAAACCTTTTCATATGTCAGGAATCCTGTTGATATCCCTCTTCATCCTCTTGTGGATAGAAGGCAGTTTGCATCCTTTAATGTTAGTGAGGAAAACAGTAGAATTCCTCTTATACCAGGAGATTGTGGCATTCCCCAGCATCATTATTCCTTATCTTAACTGACACATTAAATATCTCCTGACAGACTTTGATGAATTTTTGCCATTAAAACTGTTGTTATATGCAGAGGTCTACTTTTACTGTTCCCTTAGAGACCTGCCTGCACCATGAAAGTTTGAAAAGATGTCTAATTTTGAATAATCTGCCTTTTCACAAGAGCATATTCATCACAAGTGACAGGTAGAGAGGTTCAGGCTCATGTTATAGAGGTTTGAGCATTAATTTGATGCCTCCTCTTTGTTTTCCAAAAGCTGCCTATATTTTTATGACAAGGGAAGATAATTTCTGCCTTATCCTCACATCTCTTCAAGCACATTGCTTTTCTGTAGTTTCTGGACACTAAAGGCTTTGCTTTTCTCTGCGATCCCTTTAAGTCCTTTCTCTCATGCTCTGAGAGAAAATGATGCCTTTTCATTCAATTCAAATTTAAATGTAGATTAAAAGGTCATTTAAAATTAATGGAAAGGCAGTATTTTGTAATATCTGTCCATAGTGCTGCCTGACTCAGGGCCGTGACTGTGATTGGAATAAATAGAACACACAAACATTGGCTGAGAGGACATTGAGCTGTTAATGGTTGCACCTGCTGATGCTGCACAGATTTACAGCAACAGGTGCTGAGTGGATCAAATCAGGTTCAAGGACACGAGTGGTGAGAAATTCTTCCTTTTGACAGGCAAGGCCTGTGGTCCATTTCTTGTGTGGGGAAAAAAATAAATCCCAATTGATCTCTTTGGAATTTTCGTTAGTTTACTGGAGGAAAGTGTCCCTGCTAAAATGCAAACTCACCTACAGCTAATTCTGATTAAAGGCAGTGTGCATTTCACATTGCTAGAGAAAGCATTAGCTGGAGGCTCTTCTGCTCAGAGAGTGCAGGGCCTGCGTTCTTCAAATGCTTTCCAGAACCGGCTGTCAGCAGCATGATCATTATGAAAAAATACAAAATTGCTTTATAGAAATACCATTTCATCCCCGAGTCAAAGGGCAGGTGAGGTCAGAAGAAAAGTGCCAAAACAACATTGTGGAACTGAGATGATAGAAATAAATCTACCATTAGATCACAGATATTTTTTTAATTGCTTTTAGTTAGGAAGTTACCCATAAATGTCAAAATAATCTGTTTTGGTTGATGCTGAGCAGAAGTTAAGGAAGCTAATGATTTTTATCGGTAGGGAAATCTAATTTAATGGTTTTAAAAATATAATAAAAGATAAACACTGTGCATGTTAGCTATATACTTAAGCATTAGTGTTCTAGTTTTTGGCTGGTGGTTTCAGTTTTACTTCATAGCCCAGAATTTTTCTGTTTGGTTAATGATTTAATAATAGTGGCGAGCCATCTTTTTCATTTTGAACACATTTTTGTTTGATCCAGAGTAATTTAGATCCAATTGAAGTTCCAATACAGAATGAAAACATGTCATGTGCAGAAAAACAAGTGCTTAATTATACCATATATAGCAGTGTTTCAGTTGTTAACATTTTTGCACTTACAAGTCTTTACTGGAAATATTTTTAACTCAAGTGTTCACATGAGAAGAGATTACTAGCTGTGATGAAATGTGCTGAGTTGAGTGATAATTTTGCTGATTATGGACTGTGCTAAGAGCCTTCGGTGTATTTGAAATTCAAATCTTGTATTTTCTTGAAAGGCTATCATGTAATTCACTGTCTAATGCACATCTGGAAAAGCAAAATCATTTTAAAAATTGAACAATCTTAGCAATCCTTTCAAACTCAAGAAATGAATATACAGCTCACAGTCTTAAAATGACAGATCCTGGAAATAAACCAAATGCTTCCATCTATGTCTGTGCTCAGCATAAAATGAATAGTTTACAATTAGTATTTAGTTACATAAATTTACCCATCATGCACAGAATATTTTGGAAAAGATCTGAATTTCTCCTTAGTTAGTAATCTTTAACACTTATTAATAAAAATTGTGGCCAATGCACGTTCAGCTGTAGGATCAACCTGCTTTGTCCAGTTTACCCAGCAGTTGCTGTTTAGGGTGAGTATTGGGTTGGAAGGAAAAGATTAGCCTCACAGTGTGCATTTTTCTGACAACATAAGAATGAACTGGTTTAGGATATTGAATTAATTAAAAACATTGTGTTTCTGGGATTTTCAATATAGCAAAAGGCTGGATCTGTAAGGGTAATTCAGAATAGATTAAAAAAAGTAAGAGGAGGAGTTGGCAGCATACCTCAACAGCCCACTCTCCACTGATTTGGGACAGACACTTGAGGCATTTTACCCAAACTCCTTTGCAATTTTTTTTTATTATAGATCTATTGAATGCTCTGGGATATCTCTCTCTCAAATCCTCTACTCACAGTTTACTCGCCTGCAAATCTGGCCACCATGATTCTTAGCCCTCATCAAATGTGTATTAAATATTTTATAGCAAGTGTGACAGTCTCAAACAGGATAGATTGAGAACAATGTCACAGCCTCCTGTGAAGCTCTTCTGCAAAGAAAGACAGAAGGATTGGTCTCTGCTTTTCCAACCTAACCCTAACCCTGCCCTATCACACTGGTGTTCATCATGTGAATTTCAGGACTTATGTTTGATTTTCCCCATTAATTCACTAGGAAAGTTTTTGAAATTTTGATTTCAGAAGTGAAAAAGTAAAGATTGCATTTTGTCATTCTCTTATTTTAATTTCCTGTTGTAATTTGACCACATTCCACCCAAAATCAAACATGATTTCAGTTGATCCAAATTGCATTTTTAGTGAATAAACTGTTAATTAACAAGTATAATTTTTTCTTTTCCTATAATCTGTTCCAGTTTTAAGATGCATCTTATCACAAAAGAAATATTTTAATTTTTCAGTTACCAGAATATAATAATATATGGATACTGGCAAATAGTTTCAAATCTATTTTTTAAATTAAAATAATTTTGAAATCAGCCACTGATTTACCATGTGAACATATTTCCAGCCACAGAAAATGTTTCTGTGGAACGGTTGTAGAAGTTTCCTGCAAGGGGAAAACTCTGTAAGTGAAAAAAAAATAAATAAATTGAAATGTTTTAAAAGCAACTAACAAACACCACACCATTTTATGGATATTTTTCATTATCTCTCTGTTCTTCAGAATGTTTATGATATATGTTTTTAAACCTCTAAGCAAGTTTTGGATCCTTACTAATGAGGAGACCTATGTGGTAGGAACACAAGCACCCACACAGGTTTCATAGAAGATTTACAAGTCCTAGTGGTGAAGACAATACAGACATTCACAGATCAGTGGAAACCCTAAGTGTTCATTTAACCTTTAGCCTTAGTGTCATGGAAACCTGTAGTGGTCTTTCACCCATGACACCCTTGAAAATGAAGATTCCTTCTGGCCAGGAGACTTTCAATTACACTATTGATCAGAGCTATTTAAAGGATTATGAGCTCCTCATTTGTGCTGTAAAAAAACTAATTACGTGCCAAAGAACAATATCTGTAATGCAGTAGGTTTTGAAAATACCTACATTGCTACACATATGAAAAACAATTAGATGAAGCAAATAACTGCAATAGAATAGTTAGCAACTTAAATAGTAATTTTTCCATAAATTTTAGCTACCTAAAATACTGGGATTTCCTGTTTTACATTAAATCTAAAGGATAACTTGCAGTTAAGTTTTCATTTGAATATACTTGTGCTGCAGGTATCCTTATATTACGTACGAGATGAGATCAGTTTTTATTTCACCAAATGGCTGCACTGTGTAGTTATAAGGTTATAGTGAGATAAAAAATTTCATATTAAGGTGAAAATGTATTGCATTTTCTCTTTTCTTGTAGCATAGTGTTTCCTGTCCTATCTCTGAGTTCAGTGGGTGATATTTCAGAATTTCCAAAATAGCTTTCACATTCTGGTGTTAATAAATAGTCTTTATTGGCCTTCTAACTTCAATAAATGTGATGAACTCACACTCCAAGGTGTGATTCTGATAATACTAATGATTCTGTCCTTTGCGAATCTTGTCAACAAAACAAGGTAGTTGTATTTTTGCAGCATTCAACTTTCAGAAACAATTAATTTAGGTATAAAATGTACCACCAACATGTCCCTAATATTTTTTATTTATTAAATAGCGTAATGAAAGCACTTTAGGTCTGTTGAAGGTTCCAGAGGGACCTTTGCATCTCAAACAGCTCAAATACAACAGAGACCTTATTGCTTCATAATAATTTCTTTTCACTTCTTTGTCAGAGTCAAATGTTGTGTATGGACTGTAATAAACAGATTTTCAGCTAGAATAAATGGTTCAAACTCAATTGACATCAGCAGAGGGAGACTAACTTACACTGCTTTAGAAGATAATCATGCCTGTTACAATATTTAATAATAATAATGGCCCATCTTCGCGAACGAAGATTTTGGGAAAGGTCTTTTTACCTTTCCAGCCTGCGCAATGGATTTTTTAGGTGAGACACAGCCTGCGCTGAACTGAGCCCACCCTTTAATCCTAAGGTTCGTCTGCCGGGGCCAAGCAAGCTTGGACAATGGCAGTGAGGTCCTCAGGACGTAGGTTTGTTTAGAGTGTCCTTCTCATAGATGGATGGCCTCACAGGGCTAACGACCTCCATCAGGCCAGGAGACCGGGGAATCGAACCCGTGGTCGCAGCAGTGAAAGTCCTGCACGCTAACCACTAGGCCACCAGGGGTCTCCACAATATTTAATACCAATCACATAATTGTTCAGTTGTTTAAAGATTTAAAACAGCAGCAGTGTGGCAGGTAAGTATATAAAAATGAATATTCAGTTCTGTTTACTGATTAAATGCAACAGTCAAAGCCTTGTTTATATTCAAGTATTTCACAATCCTTTTTTATAAACACATTCTTTAGAAACAAAAAGTTATATTTTGCTGCTTAACAGATGGCTCAGAGGATAGGTTCAACAGCAGATTACTTATGAAAAAATGGTCTTTCAAGAAAAGTGAATGTGAGCATTTTACCTCATCTTCAAGGTATCCCACTGGTCATGGAATGAGGTTTATACAAAGCCATGCACTCGCCTACTGGTTGCAGAGTCCTTGAAGCAGTATTTCAAGCATGCAAATGTAAATTATCAGGGGAAAAAATTAAGAGAGTTCATGGCTTTAAAAGGTGATGAAATGATTTGATAAGTAAGCTTTTAAATGGTGTGATTGAGTTTGAGCTTTTCTCCACTGGAAAGAGCGGTACAGTCATTTAGATCACTCAGATTATGAAAATGTTTTGTATTACTGTGAGGTATTTTTGCAGATGAAAACTTGCAAATTGAGCAGGACTGGGGATGTGGTTGGTACCCACGCTATAATAGTGTTAGTTTTTCACTTTGAACTCTTAACAGATTTTCTCTTCTAGGCCATAAATTAGGTAAGCAATTAAGCACATTTTGATGTGACATCAAATGTGTGCTTTAAGTGCTTTCCTAAATTGGAAGAAATAAGTGATGCACTTCAATTCTTTTCTGAATCAAGGTCTTAATTTTCATCCTGCGTTAACCAAATGAGTCTGATGATCTTTGCTGACAGAAATTTACACGTCTAGGTAAATTATCTCTACCTAGAGATCTCTACCTAGAGATTACATTTCTAGGTGTTATCTCGCAACGGTGAAACAAAATCCTTACAAAAATACTTTTCAAATATGCCAGCTAATTGTTAACATGTACGGGTCTTCCAAAATTAATGTCTTTAACCTCTTGGATGCTGCCTTAAACCAGTCTCTTAGAATCGGTGCTCTGTGAAGGAACGGGGCTCACTGGAGCAGAGGATCTTTAAAGGTGTGGGTGTCGCTGTTTAGTCTTGACAGATAGGCCTCCACCCATCATCCTCCAGGGACCCATCAACCAGACACTGGCAGTGGATGGCACAGCTCTGCTGAAGTGCAAGGCCACCGGCGACCCCCTCCCTGTCATCAGCTGGTTGAAAGAAGGATTCACCTTCCTGGGCCGAGACCCTCGGACGTCCATACAGGACCAGGGGACGCTTCAGATCAAAGCGCTGCGGGTGAGTGACGGTGACCAAGCAGGCGTGACGGGTTCTACACGGCTGGTTCTGCCCTGTCACTGTGTGCCTGGAGCAGCTCTGCCACCTCCCCCTCGTCTTCGAGATTAACTTGTCTTTTTTACCCTGCCATTCTCTCCAAGTCCACATCCTGTTTCATTTTTTGACACCGTGTAGGGAAGGAGGGGGGAAAAAAGAGAAGAGTGAAACTGGTATCAGACATTTCAATGAGAATTCCCTAAAAAATAGAACTGATGTTTAAAATCTTAGGTATGTTTCAGGAAAACACATGAGTTGGAAATGGACAGAAATATAAAAGGACAGTCCTTCCTGTCTTTTCAGTTAGTCTTACCATGAAGCCATTGGCCTCTCTATTTAAACTTAGAACAGTTCCTTGCCAACACCTGATCATAATTTTCCAAGGACTTGTAGTGGTAGCACGTGATCTAGAGTTCGTCAGGGTTTGACCACGCACTTTCTCCATCAATAAGTCTTGTCAGTCCTGAACTGGATGATTTATTCCAATGTTATGCTTGCTGGAAATATTCCACCAGGCTGCAAATGGCAAAAGACAACTAGTACATGAAGTCATATGCAGCGGGATTTCTATTCACAATAAATACCTATTGTAACATTTACATTTTGACACATGATATTGTAATATTCCAAATAGCATAACATCCCATGTGGTTGATAAATATTGCACCACTAATCTTTTTTTCTTGGCTTTTAATTTTTCCCTGTTCAAAGATAAACACGTGTTAGTTGTTTGTGTGTATTTGGACAAGCGTGCATATGGAAAAACAGTAAGTTAAATGTCCTTATTTGTCAAGAACTTAAAGACAATTTCAGAAACCACTTAATTTCGTCAGCAGAAATTTCTGCACTTGGCTTTTCCATCGAAAAAAATGTCAATAAACGTAGCTACTGATGACAAGACAAGTTTTGTTTTCTGATACCTTCTCAGTGGTCGTAGATGAATTGTGAACTTTATTGGAACAAAATGGAATTTATTAAAAAATTTATGCTAGCTTTCCTTGAGTAAACAATTTATCCTTCCTCCCTGGGCTGAAGGCAGGTTTAGGCCATGAAGGTTAATGCATTTTTCCTGTAGAGCTGGATTAAAGAGTGCGCTTGAATAGTCAAGATTCCCCAGTAGTGTTAGAAAGCAGCAATTAAAGGTGGAGGCTTAGTGATTTCAAACAAACTTCCAGGCACTGATGATGGGCTTCTGTGGAGTGTCCATGAGGCAGAAGCTCCTGGGATACCTGTCTGCATGCAGCTATGCAAACAATGAAATTGGTTCTGAATCGTGCCGGCGCATTAATCTCGCTGTCAGAGGCCCAAAGTCTGTAAACTAAAGGGACAAAAAAATTGCTTGCAGGGGGAGAAGAAAACAGTATTAGTAGTGAGTGTGGTTTTGAAAGACATGAGGCTTTTATTGATCCTTAAGTGGCTCATTCACTGCTAACCAATTTTCCTTAGAGGTTCAGAAAGGCATTTTTTATAAACCCCTCTATAGCAGTGCATTCAGATTCAAGAACAAAAACTACACAGGACCATAAACCACAGATTTCTCATGTCCCTTGCTATTTTTGTGAATTAAATATGGATTTAAGTGTGGAATGTTTAACTTTTCTCTCAGGTCTACGTGAGCAAGGACTAGCACTACTTCTTAAGCCAAAAACGACCATGAAAATGTCCAAGTACACTTAACATATCCACATTCAAAATAAGTTAGTATTTGTCACCCACATGTCCTCAGCCTTCTGGATGAGGGTAGATTTAGATTAGCTATCAAGAAGGTATTCTTTACTGTGAGGGTGGAGCAGGTTTCCCAGAGAAGTCATGGATTCCCCATCCCTGAAAGTGTTCAAGGCCAGGTTGGATGGGACTTTGATCAGCTTTGGTTTAGTGGATGATGTCCCTGCCCATGGCAGAGGGGTTGGAAAGAGATGATCTTTAAGGTCCCCTCTTAGCTGGTCATTTTCTGCTATGTAGCTCTTTCTGTTACATCACGATGAAATTATTCATGAGCCTGCAGCAGTCACATGGGCCACAGTCATAAGTATGAACATAGAAATTTTTTCTGATGAGCCAATCTTTCCAGTTGCTCTGAGGAAGATAACTGAAAACTCACCTACGTCACTGACTCAGTACCTGTTCAGACAGCTCAGCACTTATGGAAATCTCCCTTCTGCTCCACAGAATCTACCACACAAGGTTTAGGCACCTGCATTAAATAAGGAACAAAACTGTTTATTTTACTGAATAGAAAACATTTTTCCATTTGCCTCCCTCATTGTTTTTTCCATGGCACAAAAAAAGAAGTATAAATAATTGAATTATCAACACACTATGTCTGTATCTAATCCATCCACAGTCTGGAAGTCAGATAATTTGCCATAACTTGCAAGAAGCAGTGTATCTCCAGCTTGCTTTATACATTGAGTTTGTCTTCTGCAAGTTGCTCTGTCATGTACACCACATACTTCATTGAGTATGCCATACACCATCTGTCACAGTAGCACATAAATGAAGTTGAGAACCACAGCCTTGAGAAATATTCCCCATTATCATGTAATGAAGAATTATATATTTAATAAAAGCTCAAAGGAAGCAAAATAAAACACTGCTTCAGAATGCTATAAGGCCCTCTCCTCTGGAAAATCTCTCCTTTCAATAGTCTTTCTCATTTCATCAGCAGCACTGCTATATTTTGAGTGTCTGAGGCATTGTCAGAGGGGTTTCACTGTTGCTTGTATTTCATGGAGAAAAAAAAATCTCCTGAAATGCAAGTTAGGCTCCTCCAGGCAGTTGAGCCAGCTTCCTCCCCTAAGAATTCCTCCTCTTAAGTTGCTTCCTCCCCTAAGAATGGTGCACTGCAGTCTCAGTGTATCTGAAGAAAATACCAACGAAATTCAAGCATGACCAAGGTAAAAATCAATTAAATTATATATCAACAAGTAATCTGAAGAATATCTTGCTTATTTGCCTTCACATTCTTCTTGAAGAGTGAAGTATAAGCACATATGCTATAGTGCTGATCTGCATTTAACAGAAAACCCATTACAATTCCTTAAAGTCCAATAAAGCTTTTTGGATGCATTTCTATTTCCATCAAGTCATCTGAGGGTGAATATAATTCTTCTTCTTTATCACTAGAGTCAGCACTCTCCATCTTCTGCTTCCACCTCCAGATTACCATGCTTTATGCATAGTGGTAGGAGAGCTTCTCTGTATATTTTGTCTTTGTAAAGTTACTGTTTCCCATCCATCTCTGTGGTCTTCACTAGTTCCTGACTCAGAAATCTTTATTTTAAATTTAAATAGGGGATAGGAAAACACTTGGCAAATTTTCTAGTAGAACAATTTATACAGTGATGAGATTAATATTGACAATCAAATTCAAAACAGTTTCCCCAAATAAATTTAAAATATTTTAACTGACAAGGGAAACACAATAGTTTTATACCAATGCACTTTTTTTTTGCTACCAAAGGGCCTTGCAAGCCTGAAATAAAATCCCATGTGAAACAGAAGAAAGGTAAGCATGGTGTAGGATCTAATTTAATCTTGTTATTTGAAAATTGCTTGGTGGACTGTCTGTGTAGAGAGAACCACTGTTATGCATCAACAGTATTTGCTTGTGTGGTGGCCTGTATAGAAATGACTTCATCTGTCATAAAAGTCTAAGATGATGTAACATCCTTCCTTGGCACTGGAACCTGTACCTCTTGCTCATCATGGGGTAATGAATGGTGAGATTTTGCCCTCTAAGAGGTTAATTGTCGTTATATCGTTACCTGATTTCACCTGCAATTGTTGTAACCAATACAAACACTGGCACTGTCAAAAACTTCCATTCTGTAGCATTTACAGTACTGGTACCATTAACAATATGAAAATTAGAATTAGTAAAGTATTAGAAGCAAGTAATCTTATTATAGTTCTCTAAAAGTAAGCCACCATTAAATGATTGTTGGAAAATATCTGGTGCCCTCTAGTCTGATGTAAAATGTAGGCTAAGTCCTTCTTACCAAGAAACATTTAGAAAAAGAAAATTAGAGTAAACTCAGCTGATTCTAAAAGGTTGTTAAAACTGCCCTTATGCCCCTCTTATGTCCAGCTGTCTGATACTGGGACTTACACTTGCGTGGCTACAAGTTCCAGTGGGGAGACCTCTTGGAGTGCTGTGCTGGAGGTGACAGGTAAGTGATGTCCAGGGCTGTTGCAACTGGCACACAATGAAAGCGTAGATCATACCACAGCAGTCTGAGTCAAATAATCCGTTCTAGAACTTCTGGGATTGACATGGAGGAGTTTTGGATGAGCAGGTTCCATTCTTCCACACGCCCTGCATATCATTCCTATTATCTTTAAATGCACATTGACATTGAAACAGTTTTTATGTTTGTCTCCAGTGACAGAGGGAAGCTGTAACTCTTCTAAACAGGAGTATTAATAAACTGTGGATTTACCCAATAATTGACTTGGCCAACAAAACTATTATGCCTACACAGAGGCATTTCAAAGTCCAAAGTGCCCTCTGTGAGATCTGGAGTTGATTTGGATACAGGAACTTTCTCAGCTTTCTAGAAACTGAGTTTCTGGTATTTTATGCAAACTTCAGTAAAGGTGGTGGGGTTTTGTTTTGTTTTTCTTTTTGTTTGTTTTTGTTGTTCTTTTTTTTTCTTTTTAAAAAAATATTTATTTATAACCTTTCGAATATTGCATTTTTTTCTTTCAGTATGTACTTAAAGAACGATAGGTCTTCATCCAAAAACATATGCAATTTTTGACTTAGTTCTTTACAGATTAAGAATATTCATTATAATGATTTTTGCAGATGTTTGCCACGTCTTTCCTTTTAATCTTCTACTTTGATCAAATTATATAACCAAGGACAAAAAATAACTGTTTTGCATTTGCCCTTCACAGAATCCGGTGGAGCAACAGTCAGTAAAAATTATGATATAAATGACCTCCCTGGGCCACCATCCAAACCTCAGGTCACTGATGTTACTAAGAACAGTGTCACCCTGTCCTGGCAGCCAGGGACCCCTGGAAGCCTACCAGCCAGTGCATATATCATTGAGGCTTTTAGGTATGTGAGTTATTCCACTTATAAGCTCCTTTCTTTCTAATTTTGCTTAAATCCTGGTAACAGCTGTTCTCCTGGTATTGTGGTGTTCTTTTGGACTCCACACATATCATTAGAGATTCATTAAATGACAACTTCTATAGCAGGCATTGATTCATATTTTTTAAACTGATTTATTTTATTGATTTTTTTTTTTGTTAAGTGATTAATTGGAGAAGCATCTATCAATTTCTACTGGAATATAACAGAACAATGCAGTCATTATTTATTACTTAACGTTGATGGTCAGTGAGAGTCTTCTGTGGAATGCTGCAGGTTCTTGAATATCATAGGACAAATGATATGAAAATAAGTGGGTAGTTCTGAAACTTCTCTGCACACTTTAATTCCTGCTCTTGTTAAAGCAGTACCTATTAAAGAGTCAAATCACTTTAAATTTCTACTTCTTACTGTTTTAGATAGATGAAAACTTTTAAGTGAAAAGGCTAGTGTGGATAATTTAGGATTTTATCCTGCAACCTGAGCCTAAAGAGAATTCAGCTGCTCCCTCCCACACAGCAGCAATTACTATGTGGTACAAAAGAATTCCTGGGCTCCAATTCAGCAAGTTTGTTTAAGCATGGGCCATACCTCTGCAACGGATGTGTAGTACCCATTTCAGCTTAAAAATCCACACGTTCTTAAATGTTTTCCTTAATCGAGATATTCAACAAATGACAAATATTTCAGTTCATCTTTTAATTAAAATTCATGCAAGTCAAAATCATATGTATGCAAATTTTAGCTAAAATGCTTCATTCTGCTCTGTTAATATGTAAAGAACATTATTGCATGTGCAGTTTGTTGGTTTTGTTCTAGAACTTATTCTTTGTGCATTGCATGAATGAAGAAATTGAAACAACATCGAAATCGTAGTTTTCCATTTTCTTTTTCCTCCTAATATGTTTAAAGACTTTTTTTATCAATACTTTATACAACAAAGCACAATAAAATAAATTTTCCTCTTTAAACTTTTGTGATGTTTCTCCCTAGATAGGCTTTAATGGCATCCCATCAATAATTTTAACAAAAGCCAGACGTTTTCATTAAAAGCTGTTTTTACAATCACATTTGAAATCTTTTTATATGCTGGATTTTAATCTAATTATAATAATGTTGAATGGAAAATGTACTGACAAAAAAAATATTCATATACTTTCCTTCCTTTAAAAGCAAGTTTTCTGAATTTTTTTTAACTTTTATGATTTTAATTCAAGGAGACTACTTTTCTTCCGATGACAACTTATTGACATAATTTACTTAGCAGTATAAAAAATTATTCTTTTAACAGAATTTTCCTTTTAAAATCTTATGTTCAAAAGTAGTAGCCTATCATTCAAATTTACTTTACAGCTCTCTACACTTTCCTTTTGCAGGCATTTATTTTAAAGAAACAGCAAAAGGTTTTGCTTCTGTTGCAATGAAAAATACTTTTGAGAGCTGTGTTGCTTTTTTATCCCATCTCAATGAGTTAGCCGAAACAAATATTTTTAATTTTACCCTGCTTTTACTAATTTTTCCTGTACTTAGACTTGATCTCGGGTTACAAAAGTAGGTCCTTTCACTCCTTTATTTTTCTCTTGCCTTAGTGTATAACCTTCAACCCTCTTCTCATTGCAGTCAGTCTGTGAGCAATAGTTGGCAGACGGTGGCAAACCACGTGAAGAGCACCCTCTACACTGTGAGGGGCCTGCGCCCCAACACGATCTACCTGTTCATGGTGAGAGCCATCAATTCACAGGGCCTGAGCGACCCCAGTCCCATGTCAGATCCTGTCAGAACACAAGGTAAGGGTGGCTGTTAGGGATTCTCTGCTTGAGCTAAAATAATAAGGAAGATCTGAGAATTGACCAATAGGTCAGTCTGGGCTTTAGCGCCCTGACTGAAGGAATCATGAATCGGGCTTAACCAATAGAGGTAAAAATAGTCCAATGTTTGCTGTATGAATCTGGAGCTTAGGAGACATAGTTTCCCTTTTTAATCCTTCCTACAGCGTAGACCTTTTGATTTGCAGTTTACTTAGACTCATTGTGCTCCTGTTTTCTATTAAAAGTAACGTGAGTTAACTAAGATTTTCTGAAAACTTCTCTGAATACCATGTTCTCCTCAGTATCTCTTCTCTCCATGTCCTTACTTCCTCTCCATCATTATAACAGGGATATACAGTAACAACAAGTGCTTATGGCAGGCAGACACTGTATTTAGTGTTAGTTTTAATCAAAAGAGCGGCACAAAATATCTCTATTATGTGGATTAATCCAACATTTAGGCAGAGAATTCATGTAAATTAAGGCATTTTCATGCTAAAAATATATTGAAGTTAGTCTGAAAAAAGTGCATTCTATTTATATACCTACATTTCGAATTCTTTATATTAATCCACTGCATAAACCAGGAGGGAATGTTGAAGTGAAATCCCTCATTTATGGGGTGGTGATATGATTGATAACTGTGATCCTCCATCGCTATTGAATCAACTATTGAATTCTGTTCACATTGCATCAAGTTCTAACTGCATATAACTGCCACAAACAAATTTCCCTGCACAGCATGGATTTTTTTTGGCTTTGACAAGATATTGCTGGACTAATTAATTCAAGAGTGTAGTTCTGTCTTATGCAGGCTGTAATACAGGAATTAATCATTCTTTGGAATCATAATTTTTTGAGTCTAAAGCAATAGGTCTCTTAACTTAAAATGAGATCCGCTGTTTGTGTTTGTGTATGGAGAGAGCATCCAGCTTGTGTAAGTGGTTTGTGTACTTCACTGGTCCTAGATGGAAAGAGATAAACAAGAGTAGGGTAGTATTTCTTTATCACATAACCATCAGATCCAGCCCCTCTCATCCCAGCCTAGTCCTGAATAAATCTGTCCTTAATAGTTAGACACTCAAAATAGTAATTCTGGCTGGAAAAAGAGAAACAGAGCTGTTTTCAGAAAAGCTGGAGAAATGAGTTGTGCAGGGATTTTGTGACTTGACTATTCACGGAGCATCACAAGTTTTCTTCTTTATTACTCTCCCATTATTATAGGGTGACTCATGCTTTTCACTGCAACAGCCTTTCAGTCTGCATAACTTATCACCTAGCTAAAAAAAAAAACAACTTTGTTTGGCATTTGAGTGTCAAGTATAGACTTTTTACCTGACATACTGACAAGCAATTTGATTTCAGTAAAAACATGTCTTTTAATTAGCTACAGCATGTGTTGCAGCTTCCATTTCCAGAAGCTGTTTAGCAGTCAAGCACACTCAGACATGTACAGGATTTATAGCTTCTTTGCAAGCCTGTAGTTTAATAGAATTAAATCATAAAATCAATTGAAAATTAACATAATGTTTTGATGTGATTTCTAATTATGCCTGAATTCAATTCAGGCTCACAGAAGAAGCTGACACACAGTAGAAAGCCTATTCACAGTGGCCATGGAGAAACAACAAAGCAGCCATAGCAGTGCTATATAATAATTTGCAACAGGTGTCTCTGGTAGCTTTAATAGCTGAGCATTTAATGTCCTGGTTTTAAGCATGGCAAATACAAGTAACAAGATTTTATGTATATTTTCCCGAGTGGACTACAAGTAGACAATCAGGTACTTTCAATAGGTTTACCTTATATGACTTACAACAAAAAAGGACAGAGAAATCATAATTACCCTAAGAAAGGAGCTGATTTCTTGTTGGATTATTAATAGACCAAGGAGTTGACTTCTTGTTGGATTATTAATAGACCAAACCATATATTAAAAAAATACTTTCAAGAAACTATAAATAATCCTATCCCTGAAATTTAAATTAATAGCAACTAATAGTACATCCCCTGGAAGCTGATACAAGAGAGGTTATAGAAAACATCTAATCAATTTTATTTTAGAACCCTCTTAATGGTGACCAGAATAGAGCTTCTTGAACCAGTTTTACTTGAGTCACAATTTTATTATTCCAATGCTTGTTGATATCCTTAGAGATAGATCAACTCCTTTTCCACCAGAAGCCTCCTAGAAACGTGAAAATGGCAAGACATTACTCTGTGAGTGTCACACATGCATATGTTTTCAAGTGTGCATATCAGAAAACAGAATTCCACATGTACATCTTAATACTAATTTTTCACTGTTATGAGTTCATGTTATTCCCTCCTGGACATATGTCCCAATAAAATGATGAAATGCCATTCATACAAAGATATTATGTAGAAATGTCCTTTCCTCTGAGGGAATACAGGTACTTTGCTGGTTGTATACCACAGAGCAACCTAACCTAAAAAGTAACCATGTAGGTATTTTGTAGCAGGGATCATAGCTTTTTGTGGATAGCAGCATAAATTATCACCCTGTAGACCAGTCTGACTTGTTGTCAGTTACAGATTCATTTTATAATATCTCTCTATTTCTTGGTTGTGTTGAATAGACATAATTTGCTAGACAAGCTCCTTGACTGACATCCATATTTGGATTCTATTCCCTTTGGAGATCCTTGGAGCCATTGTAAATTGAATATCAATAAAAGCCTGTGGCGATATTGTTTATTGGTGACTCAGAACCCATAACAATCAAGAATTAAGAGCCTGAAATATTGATCATCAAGAATTCTTTTCTTTCAAAATCTGGAGTCGTGATTCAAACTCAACTGTTATATTTAAATATTTCATTTTTAAGACCTCTATTACTTCTTTTCAATAATATTTAGAAGATAAAAAGAAGTCACGTGATGCCTGCTCCCACATCTAAGTCCATTAGAGGGGCAAAAAGTTTTCTGTATGTATTCTCTTCACAAGGACATGATGTTGATCCAGAAAGTGGGGAACTGTCTTTGACTAGTGAATCCCAAGGGACAACCAAGCAGAATTCACAGATGCATGACCATAATTTGTCAAGCCCTTTCGAATATAATCTGTGCTTGTGTTCCAGATCCCCCCTTAATTTCTGTCTAAGTTGGAGGGAAGGGACATGCTACAGTGATATATTAGTTGGGTGATAGCTGTAGCCCAGCATTCTCCTTTTGGTGAAGTGTAAAAAGGACACACTGCCCACCTCCTTCCCCATTTTCTGACACATATGTTCTGTTTGCAGTTTAGCAGAGGTGATATAAGCCTTCATTCAGTTTAACACAACAACCCAAATGTGATCCCTAAGGACTAGGCATTGGGACCACATGTGGTGCTGCAGTTGGAATCACAAATCTCCATATGTGTATATCGAGTTACCAAATAGCTTCAGATTTTGACTAGAAGAAACAATTTCCCCACACACTTTGAAGGGCACATAATCTTGAAAAGAAAATTCTTTTTGGTAGATTGTTTTTTTTGGCCTTCTATTAGATCAAAATCAGTTTGGCTTCCTAAATTAATTCTTTCGTTTTTTTTCATATTTGCTCTAGATTTCATTATCTATGTCTGTAAAGGGAAAATTTGCTTTGCAGAGGAAAATGTTATTTTTAGTGTTTGGTTTCTTGTGTGCATGGTGTGTGGGGAGGGGAAGCTTAGTGACAGATTAGAAACATATAATGACTTAATGTCATGTATGGTCTAAGAAAATTAAAAAAAAAAACAACCAAAAAACGAAACCTGTTCATTTTCTTAAGTTATACTAACCAATTTGGTTCCAGGCATCTAGGCAGCATTATTATTATCTGAGTATTTTGGAACTGGTGAACATTGCATCTCTCTCATCACTTACTAGAGCAGAGAAAACTTTACCATCTAGTCTGAATACTCATTTAAAGATATTTATATTTCATTATTTCCCAAGTGGCTAAAGGTGAATGGTTTGCTTGCGTTACTTGATATTCTTTAGAGTTCGTATTTAAGCCTTAGTGCTATATTGTTTTAATAAACAGAACTATGAAGGATGTTTAAATCAGGTCATTAATCTATTCAGTACTTTTTATCGATGCCATACATAGCTCTTCTCATTAAAATAATGCTTTCATGTGTGTGCCTGGCAGATATCAGCCCACCAGCACAAGGTGTGGATCACAGGCAAGTCCAGAAAGAACTGGGAGACGTCATTGTACGGCTGCACAATCCTGTTGTGCTGACACCCACGACAGTTCAAGTCACCTGGACGGTGAGGCCTCTGTTATTACCTTAACAGTACTTGCAGTTTGCCTATTTTGCCTCCTTATCCCTTCAGTTTTTTTACAACCCAGAAAAACTCCATTCTTTACCCCAGTGTGAGTGCTCTGACAAAGTAACATTCTACAGGTGTGTATATACATAAACACACACACACATATATATATGAAAGTTAATGAAATAGTCTTTTTATTTTCTCTTTCAAGGTTCAATGTCTTCCATCTTCTGCTCAATATGAGTTGTCTGTCTGCCTAGAAAAATATGATAAAAATGAATATGCTTAACACCAAAATCTAGAGGATAATTGATCTGTGGATTCATTACTCTGCATGTCGAAAAATAATCAAAGTTAAATATGAACACGAAATTGCTGTATGAAAAAGCACTTTGCACTTCAAGGCATACGGACCTCTGACAATACCCTATTATTTAGTGACCCAAAAATGAAAAAAATAGCTTTCCTATAGGGCACTTTTAGTGAAGTCAGAAGTACATGGTGCTAAGGCCTGATCCACTGTGTAGCATCTGGTTTTCTAGCATAATCTTTACCCACAATCTGAACATCCTTTCATTATAGAAGACTTTTTGGCAATACTTAACGTTTCTATTTGAGGGGTCAAACTACTGGGTAGAATTTCTGATATAGTGTTTTGGCTTTCAAAATGCTATGTTTCCCTTCCTGAGGCTTGAAGGAAAGGATTTGTAACAGTAGAAAGAGTGAGTTCCCAGGGCACTGCACACCAGAAAGAGTGCTTTGCTCTTGGGGCGTCTGCCCCAGAGGATGGAGAGCCAAGAGTGGGAGAATGAGAGAAATAGTACTGCCCTGCACATCACTGAAACTGTTGTTTTATAGAGGATGAATTCTGCTAAGGGGGTTTTCACAATACTCAGGGGTTTTCTTCTGCATGTCATGTTGCTAAGAGGTTAATGTGTACAGAGGATTACGCAATAGGAGATAAGAAGTGTGGTGATAGATGGTGTATTATAAGGATTACTGTTGTTTTTGCACAACTCAGCCATATTTATGGGGGCTTATGCACCATCCTTGTTCTGACAGATTTCAGTGGTCAGGGTACAGATTAGAATAAATAGAGAAACCCACAAATGTGTCTTTCTTAGAAGATTATTTAGAGTATGTGTCACTGCAGTTTTCCTTCCATGATGTCAATATGCAGCTTGCCTTTCTAAAAATGCTCTCTGTTTCAGCTACATACCTCCAGGACTAATCTTTGTAGCAAACCCTTTTGCCCAAACAGATGGATCAGTAGTTTAGAAACTCTGGATGTTAGCAGCCAGTAATTGTAAACTTGAGTTACATCCATGTGCTGCTCCTTCAAGCCCTCTCCTGGTTGTGACAGCTCTCAGAAATACAGTTTCATAGGCTGGCCCTTGCTTTAGCATATGCTACAAAAGGAACCTTCAGTATAAACAGAATTCAGTTTTATACCATGTAACCAATGCTATTATATTATAATGAAATATAGATGTATATGTATTTATGTGTGCATGTATATGGGGAGATACATACATATATACATACGTACATGTATATACATATGTATATTCCTCTAAAAGAGTCTCTTGGTGCCCCTACTGAACAAGTAATGAGTGAAGAAAACATGGTAAGGTAAAGGTAAATTGTTGGGAATGCTCTGGATATCAGCTTATTGGGAAGATCCTCAAAGCAGTGACCCAATGCCACCTGACAAGCTCACAGGCCTCTGTAGAAGCATTTTGGAATTGCCCATGGGAAGACACACACAAAGAAAGATCTCTGAAGCAGCTAATTAGAAACTACCCAGCAACCAGAACAAAACCAATTAATTAACCATAGTCTCTAGGAAAAAATCCCACTCTATCCAGAGAATAAAGACCACACTAATAATATAAAATGGTTAGATAGTGTAGCTATCATACAAAGGAACAGAAGTGCCATGAGAGTCATAAGACTCTTTGTGTTGACTTTCTGCAATTCAAAGAATGAATGCCAAGGAATGTCCTGGATTAGTGAATTTCTGGCATCCTGACACAGCAAATTAACACCACTTTCTTCCTCCTTTGTGGGATGGTTTTGGGTTTGCTTTCTCTGTTTTCAAATTTGAGTTTAGAATTTCCAAAATAGTTTCCTGCTACTCTGTTGCAATTTTAAAATATGCACAGGCATATACACACATATTTTATCTGTTTTAAAGAAAGGTCAGGCTTACAAAGTGAGTGTTAAAGAAAAAAAAAAGGAAGAGGAATGTCAGAAGTTAGGTTTTCACTGTTGCTTAAATTTATTCCTCTTGTGTATAGATATTAAAATATAGCTGTAATTATCTGGTCACATACAGGATCTCTTCTTCATGGAGCTATTCAACATTTCTTTTTATCTTCTTTATCCACTGTGTGGTGCCAGGTCTTATTAAATTCATACTATTGAAACCTTTCATTGAATAAAAAATTATTAGTTTGTCTCACATGCTTGCTTATCTGTCATGCTCTCAACCGTAACATTTGTGTGCTTCACAAATAATACTGAATTTAACATCACAATGGTAAAAATGTGTCATTATCCTAACTTTACACATAGAGAGGTGAGGTGCAGAGGTAGTTGTTGCAGATGAGACTTGTGGATTCAGATATGCCCACTGTTATCAAATGGCTAATTGCAATGAATTTTTACTTTTATCAAAACATTTTGCATTGCAAGAGCACATGGTGTACTCCAAGCAGTTTTTTTAGCTGACCTTAGCTATGGTTCAGCACTTGTAACCTCGGTGGGCATTAAACTGAAAGTTTCATTAGTGACCAGATATGAAATGTTTCCTGCATTAGAAAGAAACCCTGTGGCACAAGCAGGAACAAAAATAAATTCTTCGATATGACAAAAGAATTGTTGCTTTGAAATCCTGACTGCCTTCTCGGAGGCTACCAGGCAGAAGGATAATTTATTTTCATTTGTCTTTTAATTTGATGTAGATCTTAAATGAATGTACTTCACTGGAAGCTTCAAGAGTCAAGTCCATTAGACTGTCTTCCAGTGTATCATCCCTTTGTGCCTTGTTCCTGTAGGACAGATAAATGCTAGTGCAGTTTGAATTTCCAGAGAGTACTGTGAGCCCATGCTAGTGAGTTCAGCACAGCATGAAAGCTTTTTCTGCCCAGATGGAGAATTGCTGTGGGTATTGCTGTGGGAGCAGAGTATTTCTTAGGGTGTTTTGGGGTAAAAATTTGCATGCTACAGAGCATATTACAAAATGTCTTTAGAGTGCAGATTAGCATGTTTGCCTGGGAGGAGCTTATGTTCGTAGCATAATCTGCATTATGAGTTTCTTGCCATCTTTTTAACAACCTAATAGCCATTGAACCTGTCTTGTGTTCTGCTGGGGCATGTGCAGATTTGAACATGCAGAGAAAATGAGTTTTCTGTTCTGCAGAAATGGCTTTGTAGATACCTCCTGCACTATGTACTCATCATAAAAGGGAATGAGAAAGAGCACAGAGGACCAATTATACTTGTAGGTTGCCTTAAAGCATTAGGTCAGTGCTGAGTAGCAACTACCCATAAACTTCTTTCTTCTGCCTTCTAAGGAGCCACCTTCATTTTCTGCCTCCTGTCCTTTGAGGGAGAAAGTGTGTCTTTAGATCAGCAACTCTTGCAGATCTTTTGAGTTGCTATCACTGCTGCTTGTACAAATTCAAGAGTATTTAAGTGTCACGGGAAGACTAGAAATATTATCGGATCCCAGTATTTCAATGCAGAGGGTTCCTGTAGTCACTGAAGTAATGCTGAGCACTTTGTACAAGTGGCAACCACTTAGCAAAAAAAAAAGAGAGAAATGAGAATACCTAAAAAGTATTACATTCTTTCATCAAGTCACAGCACATGTTTCTGCAACTCTGCCTATGTGTGAACATGTACCAAACTTACAGAGATATTTAATGCTCAACATAGTTGAATTAATTTCTTAATTGCTAAACATATAAGGATTTCTTTTTAGTGGCCTGCTGTAGGCGTGACACATAATTACCACAAAAATGCAGCAAACTGTTAAGTCACAAGCTTTGTGTGTGCAAGTATATAAACATATACATATATATGCATATGTGTATATATATATGTATACGTGTACAGACGTATGAGTGTATGTGTATGTGAAATATACTTGTCCTACATCTCACAAATGTCTCTGGTCAGTCCATGTAATTATTCAAGAGCAATTTTTCACTTATTTTCTAAATAAGTGAAGTAAGTGCCCTCAGAGCAGTTTCCCAGTATTTTGACCTCACAGAAGGCCCTGTTCATTCAGACTAACTGGGCATGAGACAGAGCTTAGTATCCTCTCCTTGATTCTGAATGCAACTGGATGTTTATAGAAAACATTAAAAATGCATAGTATTTTCTTTTGTCAGTGCCCTCCCTAAACATAAACAGTGGAGTGAACTCACTGTCAATAATCTGAAATTCAGGCAGGTCACTCAGCCCAGTTGTAATCTAACTTCTAGTTGAAAGCTCTGTGAAAATTGTGTGAGCCCCAAATCAAGCTAGTTTGTAGCACCCCTAAACATGTCAGCCTTGTTGTGCCTGTTTTCATAATCCTTGTATTGTTTAGTCTTTCAGGTTAGGAACTTAGAAGAAAATATGTATATGGGCAATTTGTATATTACCTATACACAAATAGATACAAAACTGTAATGTAATTAAAATTGTTACACTATAGCCATACTGTAGGGGTCCAGTTCTTCTCAGTGAGTTGGTGGGTGCACTTGTGTTTGTGCTTTACAAAACACTTTCCATTCCGTTTTGTAGCAACACACAGTGTTCAGCCTCGTCAATTCTGAATTTCCAGTTGTTCTCCACTAGGCAGCAGTCAGTAGAGCTGGAACATACAGCAAAGGAAAAATGGAAAGTCCTAAGAAAGTTATGCCGTTTTTCAGTGTAGCTTCTAACTCAGAAGTTAGGCAAGAATCAAACTCGATGTTTGATTATTAAACATCATAGCGCTATATTGTAATTTAGGTTAAGAATCCGTTTTGCAAAGTGCACGAAAGTGTTATTTTTGCTGAATTTTGTAGTAAACGCGGGGTTCATAGAGGTCTTTATGTCCGTAAAACATTTAGTTAATCAAAGTCAAACATGGATAAAAACAATTTACTCTGATTTACAGACTCCCTTCATCTGGAAACAGCTGCTTAATGTTCTTCTTAAAAACACAGCTTGATTCTTTCGGTATTAACAAGCTATTATTGTGAGTTATATCCCTCTTTCAGTGCATAAATTCACTTAAAGTGAACGTAGAGAAGTTTATAAAATGCAAGCTTAATGTTGTTGTAACATATGTTGCAAGGTTTTTAACAGTGACAGTTTTGATGAAAGACATTTCTGCCTTGCTTTCATAAATAAAGCTTTCTTCTTGCTTGCCCTGCTTTTTAATGTCTAAGAGTCTGTGTCCCCTCTGAATGCCTCAATAAACTGTAACAAGATTATAGGAGAAGCGTAATAGACTGTGGTTTGTGTTTTCAGCCTTAAATTCATTTATTCTTAAGAGAAGTCAAACAAATGTATCTCTAATTTTGGAATATCTTTGAGCTAGCAAATTGAGAGGAACATAAGAGATATGCTACTTGTTGAATCTTGGTTATAACCCAGAGGTTTACCAAACACCCAGCTGTATAGTCTTGTTGTTTGTGCTGTACTTTCTTTGCTCTTTATTTGATGGCTACAGAAGCAGCTGGATTTGGTTTAGTTTTATACATCAAATTGTTTTGACTGTTTTTTACAGGCAAAATTAATCCAAGCATCACAATAGCTAAAATCACTGGGGTTTGCCTTCTTCGTTTTTCCTGCAAGATAAAAAATGCGTGCAACATCTCCAAGATAAAACACGTGTAAAGTTTTTCTTCAAATAAAAATCCTATTTATATTTATGATAGGTTAAAATTGTTAAACTTCTGTGCATGGTCCAATCTTGAATTCTGCTTGCCTAGCAACAAATAAAATATAAACCAAAACCAACATTCCATCTCCATCTGATGGCCTGAAAGCATCACAACCTCAGGATGCAAAGAGACTGCTCAGACTGTGAATGCAAGAAACAGCACATGTCTTTGGAAGTTGTTTTCTCTGCATCTGTCTTATGTTTATTTTATTTTCCTGTGCATCCCATGAGCTGTGAGCCAAGTAGTGGACTAACTGTAAGCATACAGCGTATCTTCAAAGACTTGTCCTTTTCTGAGAAGAATTTGTTTTTCTTTTCTTCTCATATTTCAGCACATCAGTAGCCAAGACATGCTCAGTAAGTTTACACGCAGCAAACCTTATGCCAAAGTTTTCTTTTCACGATTTGTTGCAGGGGTGGGGCCTTGTTTTATGATTTTAGGTGGTATTTGCCATGATATACAGAGCTGGAGAAAGCAAAGCAGAAAGAAATGTTCTGTAACAAGTAATGTGAGACAAATGTACTTTACAGACAATTAATCAAGAGTGACTTACAAGAAGGCAGTTTGATTATTAAATTCAGCACCAAATGTTAATTTTCTCTTTTTGATGAGGGCAAAAGTATCCTAGGCAAACGTTTTGTTTTCTTTTTATGCAGGTTGTTTCTTTTTTAATTTTAATATGTTTATTGCTGTATTATTTAATGTCATTTCCAGGTTGACCGCCAGTCCCAGTTTATTCAGGGCTACAGGGTGATGTATCGCCAAACGTCTGGCCTGCCTTCTCCAGCTGTGTGGCAGAATTTGGAGGTCAAAGTCCCCACTGAGCGCAGTGCTGTCCTCGTCAGCTTGAAGAAGGGGGTCACTTATGAAATTAAGGTTCGCCCTTATTTCAATGAATTCCAAGGAATGGACAGTGAATCAAAATCTGCTCGTACCACAGAGGAAGGTTAGTAAAACAGCCAGAAAAGCAACAGGCTTCCATACCTAGCATTGAGGGTGAAAAGAAGAGCGACCATTTTGGTTATGGTGTGTGTGCATTTGTTCAGCTCTATTTCCTCCATGTGATTTCTGTTTGTTAGATACACAGGTGAGGTAAGAATCTGACATAATGTTCAGTTTTGTGCTTTAAGTGTTCCGCGAGAAAGCACCGGGTCAGTCTTTTATTCTTTTAGTTGATACATCCTTCTAATGCACAGGTGGCTTTGGGTCTTCCAAAAAGTGTGTGCTGCAGCCATTCTTTTATAACCACCGCTGCTGCAATAAAAGGCTTTGGTCTGCACTTTGAAAAAAAAACAAATGGAAGCTTTTGCAGATGAGCGTTTGATATTAAGCACACCTTTCTCAGTGGATAATAAGGCACATGAACAGTTGGTTGGGAAATGAGGAGTAGAGAAGGACACGTATTTAACTGGTCTGAAGGAACTCCAGTCTCAAAGGGATGCCACTTCAATGTTTCTGTTAGCACTGTTCAGCCCTTTGGAGGATTTCCTTAAGCACCTTTCAAGCCTCTCTGAAACAGGCAGAATTCAGACATAGTAAACAGTTTACACTACTGAGTTGTTCAGGCTTTTGTGTCTGTAGTATATAGCCTGGTATATAGTTTTGCTAAAGCATATGAACTCCAAGGCTGCTCATTTTGATTTGAAAAATAGAGGGAGTGAGGTGAGATATAACTAATTTTAATAATTTTCTCTTAGAAACCTGTCTTTCTACTTATCTAATGCAGCTTTTGCCCAGAGAATCTCCTGTAAATGCAAGATGGTCATAACAATGAGAATTATTTTCTCTGTTTCACCAATTTATTTCTATGTTTTTTTTTCAAAACAGGAGAGATATTGGTGAGGCTTCAAAATGTTCATATGGTTTCAAAGGGTTCTGAGTGCACTCTTTCCTTCCTATTGAAGGTGCATCTTAATCATTTACAGTGATCTCCTGAGGTTTAATTTAGTGTTGATTGCCAAGTACTATTTAATTCTAGAACAGACTTGCTTATTACTCACTTTTCTCTTTGGTTTGTTATGATTATTGCCCAACATGTAAGTAATCCTGAAGATGACTTCGTCGGAGTTTGCACGTTATGGATGAAGAAATTCACTGCACTGCAACATGTAAAAGAGTGTGTAGGAAGGAGTTTATGGCTCCCAGTTCTTTGTTCAAACAGTAAATCCTAAATCAATTGGTAAAGAATATCTTTGCAGCAGTCTGAACAAAGCTTTTTTTTTTTAAAAAAAAAAAGAAAAGAAAATTGTAAAAAAGCATTCTACAGGTGAAACTGCTTTCCTAGAGTTAAAATGCAGGATTTTGTCCTCTCACTAGCAGATTTGCTTCTTGTCCAATTTCAGTTGATTTTTGATATTTATTTAGCTTCATCTAACTGTCTCTTGCTAAGGGTAAATTAAGAACTACTGAAAAAAAAGAGAAGATTTTATACCTCCTGTCTATTTCTGTAAAATACTTGAGGAATGACATTCTGTTTTATAAACCTCAGCTCCCAGCAGAGCCTGTCAGGTAATTTCCTACCTTAAAGGACACTTTGTTCGTGTGGAATAGCTTTCCACATAGTGAGGATTTAAAAAAATTTCATGCCCACAGATATGTATAACTCACAGCCAAGGATCTGCTTTGTAGATTAATATAACCTTCAAGGAGTCTGTTTACAACTATCTCTTCTCAACAAAACGTCAGCCTAGAACATGTAGTATTATCACCTGACAAATGTCAGCCCCTGTAAAAAATTTTTCCTCTTCTCTGGGTGATAAAATTAAGTACTTCCATGAGAAAATTAAGGCATTCGGTAGATGCAGTTCTACAGATATTTCCTTTAATTCTTCATGTTATCCTTGTAATTATATGGGTGTTCATGTATTTCAAAAATAGCATTGACTAAATGTTTAATGAGAGTGGTTTGCTTCTCATCCACTGAAGAAAGATGGCAGTCTATTTAAAGGTATCCCACTTGCTGTGTCGCCTGTGATTCCATTTCGAAAATGAGCTTTTTTAGGCTTGACTTTTAAAAAATGTCAGCTATACTATTTTTAGAAAATAATTCGGAAGAGTGATACGCGTGTTGGAAGTTTTTTGTGATATCAAAACAAATAGCCCTGATAAAGGCAAAGTACAACCAAAAGGTAGTGGCAGCTTTCTGCTGGATTGAATTTTACATGCGATGTTACGTCTGAGGCCTACCTCCAAAAATCAATTTTGCTGCAGTTAGACTTTTCCTCTAGATCAGACATTTGTCACAGTTCAGTATCCATCCATCTCCTGCCTCTTTGGCCTTGTGAAGGTAACAAATGGAATTCTGTTTGGCTGCGTCTGGAAAAGATGAGCAGCGATTTGGGTTCTTTCATATCTGTAAGAAGAAGCTGAGCACTGGAATAATTGACCTGTCAAGAAGCAGGCAAGGTGTTCTCCACAAGCCAGCAGCAAGGGAAATGAGAAAATGGTTTTAAAAATGTTATTTTTCAATGTGATCTATTTAATAACTGCAGCAGTGTCAGACGAGTGGCTTAATTTATATCATGGTGCCAGCTTACAGAGTGATATTATCAGAGAGGGGAAGCAGAACTATTATATACATACGTGTGTACACACATACAAAGAGGAGCTAAATCAAATATTTTATTTTATCACTTTCAGTATTTCCTTCATACTTGCTCTAGAGACAGATGACTTTTTTTTTCAATTGCATCCACTGTTTTAAATCTCTTTTGGAATAACTTTTTGGAGTAGCCTTTTGTTTGTCACCACAAAAATAAGATAGTTGGTAATGAAAGTCTCCTTAGCTTTTATCAGCTGCTGTCTGTCAGTTCCTCCTCACCTTAGTCCAGCTCTTAAAATGATATTTTCAGCTGTATTCATCAGCTGCAGTTTTAGTTTTTCTTGCAAGTTATCATATATCCTCCAAAAAAAACCCCACCATGTACTGGTAGAATATTAATTACAATATTCACAGCATTTAAATGCAAAGACAAATATATGAATACAGTATGTTTTTCTTTAAATGTTAGAGTATGGTATTCATTTTACATTTCTTTGCATTCACACTCCCCATCCCCCCAGGTATGTCTATATAAGAAATTATGTTTCTGAATGCCCTTTTTGTTTGAGTAATGAAAGTGCATATATTTGAGCACTGTACTTAAGTTCCATTGTACTTAAAAACAAAAATGAGTTATACAGTGTTAAGCTTTACCATTTTTATGATTTTTATTTTCATTTAAAATATGCTAATTAATATCACATACATACATTTATTCATGGTTTTGTTGTTGTTGAATATCTTGAAGACTTTTAAAATGCTAATTGTTTTACTGTGTGGCAAATTATTTCCCTGGCCATAAAACATACAATGCAACTATTAACTTCCCCAATTTTATGCTTTACACGATTGCAAGGAGTAGCCCAAGGCCACCTTTCCGTGCTCCACTTGAGCTGGCTAAGAGTCAAATTGTCCACAATACAGCTCCATTTCTCCCCTCCAGTGCACTGTTTCTCTGCATCAGGCAAGGTCACAAGGACTATACCAAGCTCTACAAGCTTTGCAGCTGAACCAGCATCTGAAAATGTAGCTGTTGAAATGTGCAGCCTCCAGGGACTGGAGTATGGGTTTTATGTTTTCTCTAAAGTATTTTCTTTTTCTGATATAATCTTGTGTAGTCCCTTGTCCCCACCTCCGATACCCTGGTTTGAAGTTATGTCCTTCCTGCAACAGAGTACTCCAACTCTTCAGGGTTATCAGGGTAAAGATTTGAGCTCAGCTCCCTGAGCCTGTGCCAGGTCAAGCGCTGAGGAGCTTCCAAAGTGGGAACACAGCCAGTCTCAAAGAGGTCATGGGGAACAATAAGAAAATCTGAATTGGCTCAGTAGACTTGAGTGCCTCTGATATCTGTGGCTGTGCTTAGTTGTGTTAAACCTACCAGACTTAAATACAGGGATGCCAGGGGTCTTGGCTTTTCTGAGAATCGTGGTCCAAGCATGGTCATGCACTCAGGATATCTGTTAAAGATAAGAGTAGAGCCCTGTTGCCACAGAGCTCAGCAGTGAAGAAGTCACTCTAGACCAGGGCAATGGAGTCAGGGAGCTGTAACACATGATGTGAGATGCCCAAAACCAGAGGGCTATCTAGGTTTGAAGTTGGGGTGGGGGACTGATAAATATTTTAGGTTCTGGTACAAGGTCTACTATAAGTCTTCATATTTCATATTAAATGTTTTAAGATCATATAAAAGGCAATGACAAATACACGGAAGACAAATTCCATAAACAGTTATTGAACACAAAGACATCATCCTGGAACAGAACGTGTCTAAGCAACAGGCTTCTGTGAATTGGAAAATTGTCCTGGAGAGGTATCAATATATACTCACTTGATTAGTTCACTCTTTCCTAGCCTCTTTCTATTAGTTTTGTTGAAGACTAGGTAGATGGACTGGGATAAATGGAATAGTTGGATTTTTGGTCCATTTCAGAGCAGCTGCTATCAATAACTTTTTCCCCCCAAGGACCATACCTTAATATAATACACTCGACCTCAGTGGCTTATCTTGGCACTGTGGTGGAGTTTCAACACTTACCTGGAAGAAAGGGAAGGGCAAGGGGGGTTTAAAACCTGCAAGAGGTTTTAAGTGGCTGGGAAGGGCCATATTCCCAGCCCTCTGCACTGGCAGCTGTAGCTATGGTGGGAGAACCCCGTGTGGAGATGAAGCAGATGCTCACAGAGGGGACTTTTCCATAGCTGAACTTCTGCTCCACTTCCCAATCCACACATCCTGAGCCAACAAAACCACCCTGCTGCTGGTGTAGCTGCAACAGGGGCTTTGCCAGCATAGCCCTGAGCACTAACAACTATGATTTTTTTTTTCACACTTCTAGACAACTAGGAGGGCTGGTAAGCAATTGTCTTGTAGAATTGGCCTTGATATGCAGTGACCAGCCAAACAGCTGTGAATGGTTGAACTGAACAGGACTCTGAAGAGAAAGCAATTTGCCTAGGGGAAAAAAGAGGACATAAGTATATATCTGACCTAACTTAGCACCTGCCCTATTGGCATTTGATGTAAAGCCATGAACACTTTAACCCTTTTCCACTTTATAGCTGCAAGGTTTTATGTTTAAATCTGTTAATGTCTTCCTGAAGAATGAATAGGAAACAAAAAATGATCCTATTATTATTGTTATGTGGAGAAAGAAGAACAAAACACTTTTCAGGCCAGATGAAGCAGCTTCACACATGACTTAGTTGATATATATGTAACTATCCATGTTTATTATGGGAAACAAAGGCAAGAGTGAGACCAGTTCCAATGCAAAATTAAGAAATGCTAAATATAAATAAATGAGGAGTGATTTGTATTGATTCTCCATTGCCACAAATTCCACATTGTCATTCAGCTCTATGCTTCTCTCCAGAAAGGCATTTTTCAAAATTGACAGTGCCTAACAAAATGTGCATACCTAGGCCTGCAGGGAGTGTGAACTTTCTGTACTGCCTGCTTGCTCTTGCAGAGTTTCAGCAGAATTCGTGCTCTAGCAAATGGATTAATGTCTCGCTTCTGTTTGTTCTCTCTCCTTGGTGTAGCTCCAAGTGCCCCTCCTCAGTCTGTTACTGTCCTGACAGTTGGAAACCACAACAGCACGAGCATCAGCATCTCCTGGGATCCCCCCCCTCCAGATCACCAAAATGGAGTCATCCAGGAGTATAAGGTAGAAACGATGTCTAATGGAAGGGTTTTTGTGTTTAAGGAAACAACCTACTTGAACAGTAGCCACCTTTATGGATTTAGATTCTGACAGCTTTTACAGCTGCCCTTGTAATTATATGGAGAAAGAGGACTGACTGCTTATGGATTTTTTTTTTTAAAGCAGTACTACTATTATATTAAAAATAAAAAGTACCACGGAAGAGAGATTTAATTTCCAGCTAGTTTACAGTACTTCTCTTTCTTGCTTTTCCCTGCTGTGGAACGAAACGAGGAGTTTTTTGTTAAGGGCTTCTGTACTCTAAAGGCGGGCAGTGAAGTCCCTGTCTTAGAATGCCTTTAATCTGGCAGAAAAGCTAGCAGGAAAGATACCTTTTCTTTCCCCTGCAAAAATGCTACTCCTAACACTTCAAGGTCAAAGTCAAGGACTGTGGCTCTGGGAGAATACAAGGCTTCTTCTGAGTACTATTTCTGTCAAGCTTCACAACTTGAAATACTGGCTTGTTTGCTCTGAGGAACAGGTTGAACTACGCTATCCAGAGTTTGTTACACGAGAGTTGTTTCCATTGGGTTGTATATTCTTCTTCTTTGTTGCTGTGATAGCTCAAAGTATCCACTCCTTATATATTATCTTAAATTTTGTTGTAGTCTATAATTCCATACTGAGAACACTTTGGCACAAGTATATTTTGACAACATGAAAGAAATGCAGTGTTTTTGGGTTGGAGGACTGTGGAGAAGATGACTGGGCAAGGTTCAGCGTTATGGCAGGCTTGTGACCATGGAGCACACTGCTTAGTGAATTAGCCTTGCTGTGGCTGACTTATACAGCAAGTGTGAAATTTTTAATTGAAATAGTACAGGGCAGCTTTCTTGCTGCTTTCCACAAAGGGTGGAAGTGGAGGGTGCCGCTTATTTCACACAAAAAGATGTAATTTTTTTGGCCACGGGGTACCTTGAGGGAACACAGCATGAAGAAGGGAGAAGGTGCTTGACTTTAAATCAACTAATTGGTTCAACTTCTTCCACCTTTTTGCCTGGTCAGAGGGATGCAGTAAATACTCACAATATTTATGTTTAGCACAGGGCTTCCTTTGTTTTGCTTTCAGTCAATATCAAGATTTATTAATCCCAGTATTTTATTGATCTAATTTTCATATCAATTAATAATTATCTCTTGGCTTAATTAATCTTGGTCCTGACTCCAGTATAAGTCAATATAAATCGTCAAGGGCTTACAGGCAAATAAGTAAAGCACACTCCTAAACCACAAAATATGTAGATATGAAACAAAGAGGGCTGATGGTTAATAAAAGCCATGTTCCAGGTGAGTGCTCAGACCTCTGGGCTGTGTATAAAAACAGCTGGAGTCACTACCCATTACATCCCTTCTGAGTTAGATTAGGCGGCTGCCTGATTAGTGAGCTGGCTGCTGGGACTGTGGTGCAGAGTTTAATATTTCCCTGAGTATAAAATGTCTGGTGAGGTTTCACAGTACAATTTCTGACAAATTGAAAGTAGATCTGTTGATTCTACTTCAAGCATTGGAGCACCTGTAAATTCATATATGAATTAAATGCCTTTAATTAGAGGCATCTCATAGCTGCTGTAAACTAAGACCAGGACAGATAAGGAGAAAAGTAATGAATGCAACAGTTTCTCACCCTAATTCATTCTGGCCTGTGAATAAGATCTCATCGAGCTTAGGGAAACAAGGGAGTTTTTTTTCCCCTTCAAATCTTTCTCAGTGTTTCACAGCAAAAAAAAGAAAAAAATAAAAGAGGTGTGATAAAACACTAAGCAGGGTCAAAAATAAGGGTAGAAATAGCATTGCTGTTACTTAGATGCATCAGTTGGTTGCTGACAGTGGTTCCACCAGTAGTGCTTTCTTCTGTTATTATTGTTATGTGAGTGTACATGTGATGTATTTGTGCATTGATTTTCTTGAGTGGTAGTAAATGCATTTTTAAATAATACAGAAGCAGTATATGCAGATAACATTAACTGAAGAAGTATCTCTAGAAGGTCTTGGTTTTGAAACCTCTTTGGAGAAGCCTATGAAAAAATACCAGAGAGAAACATAGCACTTTGGAATCATAGAGAGTTCTCATCACAAAATGCCAGTTGAGATTATAGGGTGGTTTTCCTGTTTAATTAGACAGTAATTGAATCAGGATCTGATATCTGGATTCCTAAACAATGTAGGTAATCACAAAGGCAGCAGTAAAAAGTGAGTCTGTACTTATTCCATTTCATAAATTTCAAATATCCCTGTTGCACAATGAAAGAAAGTTGGAAAGAATTTTGAAAATTGTTTGCTTTTTAGTACTTTAAGAAGTGTTTCAACCTGTGCTCATATTATTTGCTGTCTTTTTGCTATTCAGTGGAAAATCCAGAAGGAAAAAATGTGGATTTTTTAAAGGACAGGTTTGGTGGTAATCATGTTACTGAACAAGATTTTAGTTAATGTATAACATCTTTTTCACTTGGATGATCTGGTCTGGGCTTCTAAGAAGAGTAACCGCAGAACTTGCATTCCACAGAGAACCAGAGTCCAGAGAGTTATTTGCATGCAGTTTTTGCAGCTGGCTTGGTCCTGTGCTAATCTGGCACAGTTTGCTCAGCCAAATCATTCTAATTTCAGCTATTCCTGGACAGTACCATTGTTAAGAAGCCTGAAATAAGTGATTGTCATGAAATGCTTTGATATGTCATATCTATGCACGATTGTGTGAGTGTGAAGAATTTCATCTATTTTAACACATCAACTTTTGTCCCAGATCTGGTGCCTAGGTAATGAGACTCGATTTCATATCAACAAAACAGTAGATGCAGCCATTCGGTCTGTAGTAATAGGTGGCCTATATCCAGGTATTCAGTACCGCGTGGAAGTTGCCGCAAGCACCAGTGCAGGTGTGGGAGTAAAAAGTGAGCCACAGCCCATAATAATTGGTAAGTGATTGTCTGTTCTGTTTTTTTGTTTTGCCTGCTTTTTTTTTTTCATTCAGAAATGCTTTCATAAATCACTTCTGGAAGCATAAAAATCCACAGAGCAAAAGATAAGATTTGAATATAGAGCTGGTTAGTTAGCTTTTAACGTCCCACTGCCTGCTGATGTTGTGTTTTCCCTTCATGCAGAGTTCTTGTAGCCAATGGAGGGAAGTATGTTCCCAAGACATAAAAGAAAATGCAGATTGTCTAGTGGAACTGACTTAATGTGGGTTTTTTAATGAATTTACCACTTCTGCAGCTTGACGGATTTATGGAACTAACAGCCTGAGCTCCCTTTTCCCTCTGCTAAGATGACTGTAATATTGCCTTATTCATCCCTTTGGTGCCTAAGGCACTGTTTATGGTTGTTTTCTGAACATTTGAAGTCAGTGTTTCTCAGGTATCCCAAGCAGACAAGTATCCTCTGACAAAGTGACCTTTAGACCAAATAGAGAGCAAAGGTAGCATTATAATCCCTGCCTTTGAAATGGTCATTTCTTAGTAGTGGTTTCCATGCAGAATTGATTTCCTGACCTGAAGGAAATACAGATTCTATTTCTTCTGAAATTTTTCCTAAGTATAAAACATAAAGGCAGGAACAATATGGAAGAATAGGAGAAGTAATCATAATTAGCAAACCTGAACTGAGCTATGCAAAACAGTACCTCCTTTGAGTACATAATACAGGAATTATGTTGCTTTTATCTGTATGACCTAATTTAGTTGTTACTTAACTATACTTTTGTTTGTTTGAGGGACTTTTGTTGTTATTAAATATTTTCTTTTTAGAAAATGTTGTCAACACACCATCCCAAAGATGGACTATTCTGTTATGTGTAGACCTTTAGAAAAGGCCATCTCCTAAGCACTGCTTAAATGTTTAATGATATTCGGGTTCCCCACTCATCAAAATAGAAACTAGGGTACTTCCACTTTGAATATTTTGTCATTGGAGACAGAAATACAAGAGTGGAGGTGAAGGTAGCGCTGGTTTTAGAAAGAGGCAGCCAAAGATACACTAAAGAAAAGAGGGGAAAAAAGATTTCTAGAACTGAAAGTAAGAAATCACCTAATAGGGTTGGATTTTGGACCTCTGTGTCAATAATGGATATTGTAAGACTAGTCTGTCACTACATCCACTTTGAGCTGGACCTCCTTTTATTATTTCACTAAGGAAATAATCTAACTAGGCATTACACTTATTCCAGCAAAGCACATAAATGCGTTGCATTTTAAGTACACGAGTAGCCTTGAGTCATTTAATATGAGGTAAACTTGCACCAAAGGTCTTCATTGGATGATTTCCAGAATGTTCAGCCCCACATCTGGGTACAACCCTTCTTCCTGAATTTTTCCTTACAAAAAAATGACTGGTATAATTCAAGAGTTAAATGTGGAGAGATCTGTATTGTTGCCAGAAGAGGGAAAGGGATGTTAAGGGTGTAAATAAAGTAAGAAAAGACAAAAATTGGTTGGCATTTAGAGACTTAATTTTATCTCATTAATCTTAGTGATATTTATTTGTTCCTAAAACAGTCCCAGAATGTCTGCTTCAACAAGTCTGTCTGGTGGCATCTTTGCAGATTTAAGAGTCTTTTGCATGAAATTAAAGGAGAATACTTTCTGTTTGGGTTATATTTCTACCCTCATTTCTGTTGTCCCTTTTGGCGGCCCAAAGCTGGATAGGGTTACTACATATATGGTCTGTCTCCCTTTTCTTTAGACCCCCTTTTTTATTGATTATTAATTGCTGGGAGCTATTTCTCAGACTATAAATTTGCTTGATAAAGGTAGCAGTGTTTAAGTGATACCATTTCTGGAAAACTTGAGCTGGTACCATTCAGTGTTTGACTGGGACATAAAACACAAATTTTATTTTTTTTTTAAGTAAATGAAAAAAACTAATAGGATGGATTAAAAATGAGCTAATGAATAAACCTCAAAACATCTTAATGAATGTGAAAACATTAATGAGTGATTGTATTATAATGGAGTCATATTTGGCCTGGTGATTATCTATACTATTGAACAGCTTGCAAACAGAATGGGCGACTCCAGAAATGCTGAATTATGGAGAGAGTAGGTCAGTGATGCAGAAGAGTTAAGATGTGTTTCTAAGCGGTGTGACTTTCACTGTCATGAAATACAGAGTTCAGTGTATAAAAAAGGAAAATGGTAAATACAGGATTTATTCTTCTAAGAAGGTCTTTTCTGAAAATAACTGTTTTTCATGGTGGATAATCAACTACTGGCTTCCCAGAGCAATTCTAGATAACAGACCTGTGACAATTCAGAAAATAAAACCTGGAGAATATGGAGCAGTAGGGGATATATTATTTCTTTAGTTAGAAATTGTCTCACTGTTACAGGAATGCTGTGCCCATACTTCAAGCAGGATGTTGAAAAATTTTATGGAACACTAAAAGAGAATCAAGAATAAAATTTTTATGATCATTAATGATATGCTAAAAATTTTTCTACTGGAGAACCAGAAATAAAAATGGAGATAACAGCAATGCTGGTTAATGCCATAGCTATTATTTCTCCTCATCAGTTGGCCTGTTCACTCTTACATTCCATCATTGGCATAATAATATGAGGAACAGCTGCAAACTTTCACAGTAATAGGTACAATCGAATCTGATGTGTCTAATTAATTTTTGGTCCAACAAATTAGTTTTGTTCTTCATTACTCTCCAATGGGAGGAAGACATTATATTTCATTATGTTTTTGTCTTCGGGAACAATGGAGCGTTACAGGTCGCACACTTCCCTTGTCTATGTTCTAATTAGTTGAACTGACAGCATTGTTACAGAAACACCTGCAGTATATGAAATAGTACTGCACTGGTACCTTGGATGACATATTTATTACTTCTGCTTAAATATTATATAAAGAAGTATAAAACTAATGCCTTTTGTTTCCCCAGCCCCCAATGCTTATATTAATTTCATCAAACGTCAGCGGGTAACATTCATCTGTATCCATTTATTTTTCCGTCATCAAATTCACAAAGCATATGTTATTTTGACATTTAAATGAATTATTACTTTTGCAGTTGTAATTGCTAGGCACAGAAGGGTAAGAGCAAGCAGCCAGACTGCAAACTTGTGAAGGTAATTTGGAGACAGATTGCATCTTCCCCTAGAAGAGAGGGAAAGAGTAAAGCCCACTGAAAGCTCTCCACAGGCTCTTTGTGGTTTGCTCTCACGTTCTCCATTCTCAAAAGACTGGTTTCTGACTTTAGAGAAGAAGATGGGATTCTCAGATGTTTTGGAGGCTTTAGTGGACAGAGCTTGTACTTTTCTTGAGTCCAGGAGCATCAGCTCCCAAAGCTGGTCTCTTGAAGCACGTCCCTGCCTGCTCTTCCCCATGGCAGCACAGCTGCCACTGAAGCAGTGCCAAAATTACCTGTTTCCCCACCATCCCACTGCTTTGACCTCTCCTCCAAAGGGCACAGAAATTAACTCCAAGTTAATGGCAATTAAAGCCATTAATTCCCATGCTGGTTTCTACTAGAAAAACAATTGTGGTCCTGGAAGAGCATGCCATAGAGTGCCTCTTTCTATTAGTTTTACTCACTGCCCTTCCTCGTTCAGCACTGGGGTGCACCTATAGTTGGTTCCATGGGCATCAAAAATGGGAAAATCAGATAAAAGGAGCCATTCTTGTCTCCCTTCTTTTTTTGTCACAAGTGCTCACTGAGTTCCATTCTCCCTTACTGCATCAGAACTGGAAACCACTGGGCCTTTGGCAGAGGCATGACAAGAGAGGAGAGCATGGGAAAGGGCAGCTGCAGCTCCCGGGCCCTAGTATGAGTAGAGCTCACCAGCATGGCCAGTGTAAACTGATACATGACACCAGTACTGATGCACTGCCTTTTTATCCATCAGCAGGCCTAGTCTGTCAGTGTCCTTCTGCGGGACCTGTTTCGCTTGCGGGAAGCCCGTTTTGTTTCTTGCCCAGAACGACTGAAAGCAAGCCAAGCTCTAGCACAGTTTTAACAGTCTGTTTGCAGAAGCAGACGGTCATCAGTACTAAATATTGACATGGTGCTGAAAGACAGAAAGCTTAATAAAACCCCTGAGATCATCAGCAGTGTGATAGCAATGTGATGCAGTGCATCGCGGTCCTTCCCAAGTAACTCAGCCCAGCTCTGAACACCATCGAGGACCTGAAGCTGCATCTTGGCTGGGGCAGTGCTGGGCAGAGCCAGTCCCCGGGGGAGTGGGGCAGGGAGGGCATGCTCAACCCAACAGGCTCTGCTTGAGGGATCCCCATTGGCAACTCAGCTCTGGGTCACCTGCAAAGAGGTGTTTGTGGAACAAAACTGGAAGTGCCAGAATTCTCGCATCTGTTTTAGCCAGTGACCCTGTTTGGTGGCTTTAGGCTGAAGCCAGCAAGCTGGTCTGTTGAAAGAAGTGAGTGGTAAATCTAACCATTGCTGAATTATAGAAGAGAAATATATCCTGTTTTCACAGCAAGGCATAATGATACAATACTTTTAATAATTTTCTCTGAATGACCATTTCAGTGTTTTATTGCAATATTCGACTACCTTTATATGTGTGTGATGGACTTTCATAATTGAGAATCATAGTGTTTCTATCTTTTTTGTCTCAGTAGAATAGCTACTCTTGCAGCTCCTCAGCGTGCATAGAGGCATCTGGTAATATTACATAAACATTTCAAAGATTGAGCTATATAAATGCTTTTACTGGAAAAGATGGATAATATTTCATGAATTTCAAAACTGCAGATGTGGGCAGTTTATATGAAATGTACATAGAATCAATATTCATGGGAGGTTTTTTCCAGAAAAATATGTTCTGCATTTCCTAATTTTAAAACTAACTATTTTTGACAAGGGGCGATTTGAAGTAGGGAAGTGCTGGTCCTAGAACTATATACTTTAGCATTTCCTGAATTTCCACTCAGATTTTTATGATCATTTGTTTTCCATCCAGACATCAAGCTTTTTCTTTTGAAAAAGTTCCCTTTTAGAGAAAGGGGGGAGAGGAGAAAGGAAGCATCTACTGGAATTTACAGGTTTTTAATCTAATATACAATTTAAATCCTATATAGTAACTTTTGATGCATGTCACTTTAATTGGGATTCCACGTAATAATTATTTCTTACAGGTTAATGTTAAGAATTTGTCATGCATATTGTACATAAAAAAATAGCATCTGTTGCTGTGATTGCTTAGAGTTTGCAGTTAACTGTGTGTTTTTCTGCTTTGTGTCAAAGCTGGTGCACTTAGAATTTGTATGGATTGTTTTCCCCATGAAATAATTTCTGGAAAATACACTTTATGTTTGATTTCAAATTTGGAAACTAGCACTCAGGGAAAACAAATGAGTTTAAGAATTTTTGGCATGCTGACAGCAATGAGAGAAGAAACTGTCTTCTGATGTTGTAGCATATTTTGTATTTGGATTTCTCATTTGGAAAAAGCTATTTATTGATTGCTTGATTTATTTTTTATTAGTTTCCTATAATCCATTTTCTCATTATTGTATCCTGTCTGTAATTATGTGAAGACAAACCAACAAGTATGTATATTGTATATAAAAAAAAAGCTCTGGATTTACATCTGTTAGATTACTTGAGAGTGCACTGTAGATCTGTCTTTTCAAATATATGGATTTACTCTCTAAAAACACTGGGTTTCTGGTGTGCATTGCTACTCCTTAAAGTTCTTCTACTGTGGATAATTCTTTTGAGGTCCATTACTTCCCCCCCCCCCAGTTTTCACTTGCAGTACTTCCTGTTTGTGTTACAGAATCCATAATAACCACATTCCTTTGAATTTCTTTGTGCAGGAGGCCGTAATGAAGTTGTCATCACTGAAAATAACAACAGCATAACCGAGCAAATCACTGATGTTGTCAAACAGCCTGCCTTTATAGCTGGCATCGGTGGGGCATGTTGGGTGATTCTGATGGGTTTCAGCATCTGGCTGTACTGGCGAAGAAAGAAGAGGAAGGGGCTCAGCAATTATGCTGGTAAGAACAGGAACTTTATTATCATCTCATCAGGTTTGGTCATGAAGAGAACAGGGGCTGTTAAACCTACTTGAAAACCACGTTGAGCTTCCAGCAAAAATGTCCTGGGTGAATTCTGTATGCTTGTTTTTAATGTGTGCTGTGAAACTGCTGTTGTATGAGAAGCTTTAAATGCACTGCTCGGTACCACATTTCATCATTATCATAAGACAGTATTTTTACATCTCCAGCACATCTAGCATTAAAGAAAAAAAAAAAGGCACAAGGAGGATTAACTATACCTGTTGTTCCTTGCTCAGAAGGCACTCTGTTAACAGTGCAGCTCTACTCATATGTTCAAATATGAACTAGACTAGACCCTCATAAGGAAGGTTAGAGAGTATTTGGTCTTCTCCTTAATTCCCATGCATTTCTGTGTCTCTGAAGCTCATGTGCATGGGAAATAAATGGAGGTACTTAATCAGTGACTTCATACCTATAGCTGGAAGAGAAGAGTGATGTGTTAGACAGAGAAGTGTGGTCAAAATTTACTTATGGCAGAAACCATAAAAAGTTTTGTCTTTGAGATAGAACATCTTGGAATGTCCTCTTGTACCAAATGTTTGTTCCGGTTACAAATTAGCTTTTGAAAACTATGTTTGGAAAAATAAATACACCTGCCAAATGAAAATATTTTCATCTTTCCCCAACCTCTTTGTTTTGTGTATTCAGCTTTTCAGGATTCTTATAAATTTTTAGGCAGTCAGGTGAACGCCCATAAATCTGAAGGTCACTCTGAAGCCTAATTTAACACACAAAACCCCTTTGTTCTTCAGGTATTGGGACAGGTTCTCTAGAAGTGCTTATTAACATTTAAAAATAGAAAAAATTTTCTTTTTAGGCAAGATTTTCCCAGTTGAGGACACAGCATATTTAATGTTGACATTTTATCACATAAAGTTACACAAGTGCTCTTCTATGATGAGTTATCACATATGAACCTGAGGACACAGGTTCCCTAAGTGGCTGAGCATCTCTAACTCCGTGCCAAAAACCCACATTCATTCACAGCCAAAATGTCCTTCTCAGCTTAGCATTAGCCATCATGAGACTCCTCAGTGTCCTGACTGGGCTCACTAAACCAGAAGGAAACTATCCCGTGCTGTTTTTCAATCCTTCCTGCTGGATTTGTTTTCCACTGGCTTAGTGAAACAGGGCAGGTCAAGAAAACATGAGATGAGCAGTAGAGGACAAGAGGAAGGAGAGCAGTGGCTTTTGGACCTTCTTGGTTTCTGGGGAACCTCATCTTGTGTCACCATGTGACCTCTGACGTTCATGGGTTGCACATTCTCGATTTGTTTTTTTTTTTTCTTTCCTTTAATATCAGTGACTTTTACTCTCTGAGAGGTAGGGTGTTGTTAACTGAGAAACTAATATCTCTCTCACACACTTATAGATGTATTTCTATGAAATATCATTCTAGCTCCCAAGATTTTTCATACTAAGAGACAGCTGGGCTGTTATTCCTCTTAGGAAATAGTCCTAAACATAGAGTTTTGGACACAAGCTAAAATTAGCCTTTTCTTAAAAAGGAGAATTATTAGCCCTGTATGTGAGTTGACATGTTGGGGGGAGCAGGGGAGAATTGAGAACAAAGTCTTTCATACATTTAAATGCATAGCTGTAAGTAATTATAATAGTCGTAATAAACTGTGTCTCCTGCAACTCATTCCTTCTCATGATGTTTGCTGCATCTAAGTGTGACGTGAACATTGCATCATGAAATTGTGTATGCTTTCAGCAAGGAATGTAGATAACAGATCATACTTCAAAATTCATGCTAATGTTTTCAATTTGGAGAACAGCATGTCCACACAGAGAGTCTTCAAATGTGGCTGTTGAAATTCACTGCTCATCTTTCTGACCATCGTCTCTCATTGGCTGCTGGCTGGTTATTGCTTTAAGCTCAGCTGTAATGTCCTGCTCATGATATTCAACCCCAACTTAAGTAAACTCCGGAGGAAACTTGTGCCCTGCAATTAGTGCTTTTTCTCAGGGTGTGTAACTCACAATGTGTTTGCTTTCTTGTTTTGCAGTTCAGTCCTTCACCTTCACCCCTGCAGGTACTGTCCATTAGTCTGTCTCTTACCTCACCAACACATCACTGCAAACATTAGCTATCTAAGTGTTTATGAACATGTGAGATATGCAGAATCAAAACCAAATACAAAGAGAAATACTTCGGCTCCCTATCTGTGATAAAAATGTAGTATTTATTTCCTTAGTGATCCAAGGGGAGCATAATAAATTCTGCCACCATTAATGTCTCTGTCATTGTAATTCTGCATACTTACTCATCTGATTCCTAATAATGCAGTTTTGAAAGTAATTTGCAGGACAAGATGCTTGAACTAGCTTACCATAAACAAGCATTAGTCATATATAACTGAATTTTTATTTTAACGCTAAAGTATCTTGAACATTTTTGCAGTGGAGTAATGGAACTTTCTTCCACTTTAGCTCTTAGCTATGCATATGTTTGCTTTACTGTGAGGTGTTCAGATCTTCAGGCAACCTAGTGATTAACTGATGCACTAATTTCCTTTACAGGGATTTTTGAATTGAAGCATTTTGTTTTTTTCTGACTACCCAGTTCAAAGCTGGTATCCTATTTTTCGTATCTTAAAAAAGATAGCATACGGTAGACCATTATCACAAACACGATTAAAGATATGTGAAGGATAAATGAAATGTGGCTGAAACAGCAGGTTGCAAACAGCTTGTTCAACATATGGATAGCCAGGAAAAATAGAGTATAGAATTAATAGTAATAATGGATACAAATAAATAGCTTCTGCTCTCATACCTAATCGCAGCATTTAAAAACTTAAAAATAACTGTACCTCAGTGTTACAGTGTAAAAGACTGATAAATCTCATCATTTTCCAGCAGAAGTCTGTAAAGTTTTCTGTGTGTAGTTTGGCCCCTCAGTTTCATTTACCAAAGCTGTCTCCTCTTCTGTCCTCTCTGCCATCCATGTGATAGAGTCCAGTCTTCCCACTGCACTGCTGAACCAGTCCTCATGCTCAGGTAGCTGCTTTCTCACTCTTGCTTGTCTTCAGCCACAGCTTGTGTGTTTACCTTAGCAGGAAAGGGCAAATGACTGTCAGGACAGGGGAGGGAAGGTGGTGGCATCTGCCCCAAGGGCCTGTGACATTGTGAGGGAGAAGTGTCCTTGTGGAAGAGCCCCGGGGGGGTCAGGATTGCTCCTCTAGCTCCCAGGCAGGTATGGCCAAGTTAGTACAATTAGTGGCACAACACTTCCTAACCTAAATGCTTTATTGACTTTTCTTTGAGAGACAAATTGGTTCCTATAACTATACCACTGTCAGCTGTCTTTAAACACAACTTGCCATGGTGTTTGTAGCATACATTGGCACGTGCGTTGTGCTGGAGCCACGGTGACTGTGCATGATTTAATGCTCTTGATCCGCATGTGCTGGGTAACTAGTATGTCAGAGGCACTGCCAAAAATGTGCTTTTTTAAAGGTTGTTCTGACATCTTGTGGACTTCGTAGAACTAAAACAGCCTATAGTTCTCTTTCCTGGCCTATCATCATTTCTGGAGGCACTGAGAACCTAAGTCATTCAGTAGTCAAGTCCAAAAAAACAATCATTAATTTAAAAAAAAGTCTTCCTTATGACAGAACATAGTCCATATTTTTTATCTTTATATCTAGAGTTCCATAAGAAACTTTGTTAATTCTCTAGTATTTGAATTTGCCATGGGTAATATATAATTTAGACAAACATATCTGTACTTCTGGGAGTTAGTCACTCACAACTGTGTGTTGTTCCCTTCAAAGTTATGATTCGTAAATGGTTTGGTTTTAGATATAATTATTTAGAGAGAGGTATGTAGCTTTCAGAATCCCATCAGAGACAGCTGTCAATGAAGTTTTACTAAAGATGAATTTATCTTAATATACTCAGATTTTAGAAGGTGCAAAACTTTTGTTCAGACATCTGCTTTAAATCCTTCAGAGAGTTGCAGAACATGCACATTTGATTGTATGATGAAGAGAATTGAATCTTTTAGTGGAACATTCATATCCTTTATTTCACACACAAAACAAAACCCCCATTATTTCTGATGTGAATACTTTTTGGGTTGTTTTTCTTCAGCTGTATTTGCCTGTGTGTAGAACTTAGAACACTGAAAATAGTTGCTCAAAAGTCTGGATCCTGCAGTTTTATAATTACTTGCTAAAAATATTCTTTCAGGTAATTTTCAGATTATGGGTCATCGTTTGTTATTTGTATTCTCTTATTAAGAGCCTAAGATGTATAATTTCTGCAGTGAGACTAAACTGCTGTAACACTCCATGTAGGAGAAGAGCAAACAGCAAATGTCATTTAATTGGTAACGATTTGTGTCAGAGAAGAATAACTGATTGAATTAAATACATTAAGCTTTCTGTCTTTGTGAACATTTTCATAAGCACTGAGAGATTGCTCAGGTGGTCACAAGTAAAGTGACATTGAAAATCGTAGCTAAATCTTTTTGGTTACTTTCAGTTGAACTGATTCCAGTAGTTACTGAGCCACAATTCTTCCACTTCCCTTCCCCCCATCATGGCTCACCAGGCATTGATTCTCAGTAGTATCAGTACTGCAAGACATATGATTAGCTAATATGTTTGTTAGATTACTATTGATAAATAGTAGTGTCATCATCTGCAGCTGTACCAGAACTATACATCGTTGTGACCATGACATACTATCAGCAACCCCAAATCTGGCACAGAAACAGTAAATACAAGTGTTATTACTTTTCAGCCATCACTTCTGTAATAAAAAGATAGATACTTTTGTGAGTTTCTGTGAAAGCTCAAGTACTGCTGTACTGGGGTTTTTATGGTATTTTTCTGGTTACACTTTACTTGGACAATTGCCTGGATATAAACATGCATGATGGGCTTGCACAAGATACAAAGATAGATGGCACAAAAGAGATATCTGAACACTTCTTGTATAACAGATGAATTATTTCAATACTGTATTAGAGTGACAAAACCAGAATTTGTTTATTTATCTCCTTATCTTTCCTGTGCCCTCAAACTTGTGCCAATACCCACTCACTTGAATACTCAGGTGTTTTCAAGTGTCTAGGCCATCAGCCATGCAAAAAAAAGTAAATATGTATTTTCACTTATGAGTAGATAAGCTTATTTAGTGACTAGTGCTCCTTGGGATTAAAGATTTCACAGAACTGAATAAACAAAAACCAAATTAAAAATAGATAGAGAATCATGAAATGCTACGCATTTTATGTGCAACTCCTGAAACTGTTAAATGTGGATAAACTGTATGACAGAATCATCCAAAGGTAGACAGAAGATTTGATGGAATTTTTATGTGCTGATTATCTGTTCTGAGTTAATGCTTATTAAAAGAGGATTAATCTACATTCATATTTGAGAAACAGCTTATCAGAAAAAGGAATGAGACTTGGCTGGCAACATTAAAGTTTTCATTTGCAGTAGGAAAATGTGGCCTACTAGAGATAGGCATACAGAAAGCTTTCTAAAGCTTCCTAAAGCTTTCTTGCCTCAGAATGTCGACTTACTATACATTCATATTTTTCCAGTTCTAGCAGGCATGAAGATTAAGTTTAACCTTGTCAGATAATATTAGTAAATGGTTTTGGTACCTCCTTATATATTTAATAAAAAGCATCTGAAAAGCTCCTTAACGTATGCTGTTTTTCATACAAATATATACAATATAATTTCCTGAAATATTTATGCATTTAAAATGCACTTTGGATTATATTTCTGCATTTTTACAGTCCTTGAAGTATAAGCTGGTGGGGATTCCTTCAAAATCTCTCTATGCAGGGGTTATTTTTTCATCTTCTTTTGAAAACCAATCTCATCCCTGCAGATCTTCAGCATTTCTAAGAACATATATCAGATGCAAAGAGCTGTTTTGCTTCCTTGATGATAAAAAGCAAGGGAGATGGGTGGGTCAGTGATAGGGACATCCTTCCCTTCCTCCTCTTGCATTGCCCCTTGAAATTGTTCTGCTGCTTTTTGAAGTGGAGGCAGGATAAATAAAGCCAGCTGTCTGTGTGTTTTATTTTCACAGTGACATCTACAAGCCTGCATTGCATTAAGTCTGCTTCTATTCAGGCGTTTAGACTTGTTTTGTAATTGCAGAAATCAAACTGCAGGCAAAAATGCTGACAAAATGTATGGCAGGGATGATAAACATAGTGCTTGTGTTGGCAGCCTGACCGTATCTTCTGTTGTTAGCTGTCTTTCCTTTCACAACACTGATGCTAAAAGAAAGGCACCTTCTCTATCCAGCCTTAGGTAGCCCATTCATGGATGGCATCAGGAATAGGTTTTGTTGGGTTTTTTTCTGTAGCATCCTGGTGACATGTCCACACTTCAAGAGGAATTTTGGCACGCTTAATTAATATTCCAGAACCTTTTCCACCAAGCATAGTAAATAACTAAAATACTTCCTTGTTTGTTTCCTCACTGCATACATTGGTATACAGGGTGGAGGGTAAACGAAAGAACCTGTATTCCTTCCCAGTTCTATACACATCACATAAACACAGTCTTCCCCAGGAAAAACAATGTCACTGCAAGACAAGTTCTTTTTTTTTTTTAAGAAACTAAGCTGAATCTTTCTTCTAAAAACAGTGCTTTTATTGGGAGGGTGTAAGATTGATGTAGGCAAAAAAAACCCCCAAAACAAGAAGTAGTTCCTACCACAAGGATACACAGGTAGAAGAAAAAGGAGTAAATGCTGTGATCCTTGTCTCTTCTCAACAATCTCATATGCCATGGCCAACCTGCAGCAACTGTGGCTCTAGCAAAGAGGTTTCGGTGCCATGTCTTCCCAATATGTTTCTCACAGTTTGCCTTGGAGTTTTCCCATCCCTGACTACCCAGAAAATAAAATGTGTCAGACAAACATTGCTGCAGTCTCCTACTAGCTCCTCCATTTTAGCTTTGCTCTATAAAGGTACACAAGGGATATAAGTATTTTGAAGAGCACAAATACTGTTGGGATTTTTTTTTCCATATGATATGCAAAGTTAAAATCTCACACACCTGTATGTGCTATACGAGTGGTGACAAAATAACTTCAGCATTATTTCTGGTGGATGATAATCTGAAAAAGAGCATTAATCCCAAGCATTTTTTAGAAAATATGTTTTACTGGAATTTCCTTATTATTATGGGTTGTTACCGAGTTAGCCTTTGTTTCTCATTCTCCTTATTTCTTGTCACTTTGACAAATGCAGAAAGCTGAAGAAATCAAGTACTAAATTTGAAGGGGAGGAGGAGAAAGGAAGCAACATCTAATGTACTTTTGACCAAGATACTTTGAAACAGCCAGGCAGTGCCCACATTTTTGCATATTCACGATAGTTACAGCACTTCAGATTATTTACTTTTAAGCAACGAGTGATACAGTCATTTGACAGCCTGTTAGAGAAAGTAGCGTTGGCTCTAAAATGAATTACCTGCAGTGTATTACCATGTCTTGTTTTTCAATAGCAGACTTTTATTTAATACTTTCCATACTTGCATTTTGATTTTCTTTTCATTAATTGGTTTGATTACATCCTTTCAAAACTCAGCTATTAACCATTTTGATGTGACATATGACTGCAGTGATTTTCTGATATTGATATTAGTCTGCTCTGCCGTGAAGGATAATTAATCACCCTACCCAAGCACTCTTCCAGCAGAGCTTCCAGAGGGGCCAGTTTTGTCCTCTTTGCTGAATGTGGACTAGGAGTTAATAAAGTGACAAGGATTCTATAAGGTGTCAGAAGTATTTTCCCAGTGGATTTATGCCATTGCTAATTCTTTTAATGATCACAGAATTTCTATTGGGTGTAGTAATTTTGTCTGATTAGAGTAGTGTATAATAGCCTAATTCTGAATTAGTGTAGTTTGGACTTGGAAAATCTTGCAAATATTCTGGGAGCTGTAATTTAACTATGAGAATGTATGTCTTACAAAGGTAAATAGTATTTCCAAACCAAGGCCCATTTTAAAATAATCTGGCCACAGACTTTTCCATTCCTCTCTGAAATTCAAACCCTCATCTTGTCAGAGGCCTGTAAGGATGCAGGTGTCCAGGACATTGATATAATTTAATAGTCTGCCCTATCTATGCTTGACAATAAATAATGGGATATTGCCACTGAGGACCAGAGTAGTCTGTTGGCCTTGACTCAAAATATTTGCCAGTGCTTCGAATAGGAGCATCAAATGTTGTCAATTAGCACCTCACCAGTAATGTGGGTTTACCTGTATTGCCCTGAAATGTAATCCTGTTAATAAGATAGATAAGGGGGAGGCTGGTTTTTGTCAAACACCCATGAATGGAGACATAAAAACAACTGCCTCCCTCTGATTATGTCCTTGGCATCCCCCATGGATGGAAGACTGGAAACACTTTTTCTTCCCAGTGACACTGGCATGTATGCATTTATATGTGGCTGCTAGTTCTTAAACTGTTCTTCTGATGGAAATGGTGCAGCTGTACGATTTCTTTCCATCCCTTCAGCTGTAATAGAGCTGCCACCTCTTTCCCAGGACTGTTTGTCCTGGGAAATGGCATATTTGTGTGGTGACATTATATTACTGCATTACGACATGATGTTATTAACTCACTGGTGCAATGTCATTATGTACTGAAGCAAAAGCATGCCAAGAAACAATTTCATCACATGGCTCAGTCTTGCAAGGCAAAGTCACATGAAGGGACCTGTGGTAAATTCAGGCCTTTTGCCCAGATGGCTGGTTTGCCTTGCAAGCTACAGAGCAAGTTGGTGTCAGTCAGTAACATGCAGTGAAATCCTGAACAAACTGTAACCCTGATGTGCTTGATCCTGTTCTTATAATTTCTGTACTTTATTGAGTGATGATGCCAAGAAGCCTCCTATCTTGGACACTGAGCAGTTTGAATTGTTACTTTTAATTATTACTAATCGATTTTTTCCCTGTCTTATATGTGTGTGCTTGTGTGTGTGTGTATGTTTGTTTGTTTTGTTTTCTCCCAACCAAAACACAGTCACTTTCCAAAGAGGAGATGGAGGACTAATGAGCAATGGAAGGTATGTTTCTTTGTATAAAGGTCTTTCCATTATTTTTAAAATTAGGGATCTGAAACATGCTATAGGTGATACACTTGGGTCATAACAGATCATTGGGAAAACTGACAACACTAGGAGGAGTTAAGTAGCTTACCACAGGGTTTAATGACCTATCTGTTGTGCACTTTGTAGGAATCAAGCCCAGATGTTTCATATCTCCCAGATGCCCTGGAAGAAATGAGTAGTAAATATCACAAAGAATGTGTTCATTTGTTATCAGGATGTTTATTGCATTAATTAGACATTAGCAAATGAAGTTGCTGTTGTTTAAGACTCCTTATTGGCTCCCCCTAAATTGCTGTGAGTGAACAATTACAGTTAATCGATCATGAAATAAATGATTCATGGATGATGAATAGGCTGTAGATTGATAGGACTGGATTCCACAACTTTGGCTACTCAATTGAAATTGATAAAAGCTGATAACGGGCCCATATATCCTCATCTATTTTCCCTTTGCCAATATGGAGATTGTAATTAGGCCCTGGTAATAACTTCCAATCTCCTGTTTAATCAATATTTTAGCAAAAAGAGATTAGGCCTAATGAGAGCAAGTAGATGTGGCGAGAACATGGCTGGGCCTTCTTATTGTCGTTTCCATGGAAACTGATGTTTCTCTTAGGGATTGTGCCACGCAGGGGGGTCTATAAAGTACAATGATCGGAGATGTTGCTCCAACTTCATGAGTGCTTTAATAACCTAGAAAAGCTACAGAACTGTGAATGGCTTTTTGTTTTCATTTGGGGAAAGGGGGGATGTCTGCAGGAAATTATTTGTTTTCCCTGTTAAATACAAATCCAAACAATCCACCTGCCTTGCTAAATTTCTGTTTATCCTGGGGTGAGAGAGATATGGCACCTTATGGCCCGAGTGTGCCTTCTCTTTCACATGCTCACTGTTTAATACTGCTCTCAAAGCTGGGAATTACAGGGATATAAAAACCATGCCATAGTGGCAGATAGAGATAGCTGTGGACTTTCCATTAATCCTACTCAAACCTGTTTGCCTCTAAACCATCCAAGAGTGCTCAAAGAAAGAGTTACCAGCCTGTAGATGACAGGCATGCATTTGGGATGCAAGGGAAGGAAGAAATAGTAGCCCAAAGTCCTGGAAATGGCTGATATGGAGCAATCAGTTTGAGTGATGGCTCCCTTGAGGTGGTAATTTATCATGCAACCCTGTTGTAGGATCCCGTGATGGTGCTCCCTAACTCCTGTTTCACACAGACAACGGAGTTCATTTGGATTCTGGCAGAGTCACGACGGCTGCCTAATCCCACTTCTACTGACAAAGTTGATTTGTATATAACCTTAATTAACTGCTCAAGGTCTTTAAATCATCCAAGGCTACACAATTTTAAATTGAAATAAATTAAAGTCTTCTAAATTGTTAGTTACCTGTGGTGTTAGGAGAACAGTGATACGGCTCACTAGTTGTCTCACAGATATTGTAATTTTAAATATATATGTATATATTTGTATGTATATCTCTTTTTCTTATTCTGCTTCAGTCGACCAGGTCTCTTGAATGCAAGTGACCCCAGTTATCCTTGGCTTGCAGACTCCTGGCCTGCCACAAGTCTGCCAGTAAACAACAGCACTAGTGGACCCAATGATCTTGGCAATTTTGGTCGTGGAGGTAGGTTTCCTTTTATTAAGTTACCATATAGTATACAATAGGCTCTTATTAGTTAACATTTGTGATAAATACTGTGTAATGTTTTTATCATTTTAGTTCTATGTGCGATTCCAGATTTGATTGAAAATTTACTTTGAAATGTTAGTTTTGCTCTGTTGCTTTTAACTTCTTTAAAAGGTAGGTCTAGTTTGTAATTTACCCCACAGTGATGAGACAGGGTCTGCTTATGATCTAAAGAGAAATGTATCTATTGCTCAACCTCATTCCCTTTCGTGTGGAGATAAGCAATCTGCTGGGCAGGGCAATATAGCCAGGGAAAAAAGATGTCCATAAGGGTAGAGGAAAACTTGGGGGATGCAGGAAGGATGTTCCTTCAGCAGAACAGGAGAACATTGTTGCTGTCACCTTACCCATCCTCTTCCTACTGAGGGCCTGCTCTCAGTCTCAAGCATAATCCATGAAGAATTATGGATTCTTCATGAATTATGGATTCTTCAAGAATTAAGGAAAGTCACCAACTTTCCTTCTCTTTGGAGGAAAGAATATACAAAGGGGACCTATTTAGATTTTTTTAGGGGTTTGCTTCCATTTTGAATTGAGGGAGGACCTTTGGGGAGATGAGGTAATGATTTATTATTATGATGATGATGAATCTTTAGAGGGGTTATTTTCTTTCAAACATTTTATTCAAATGGGAATTTCAACGATGAGAATTTTAAAAGTCATGGTAATATTCACATCTCTCTGTTAGTCCCTTGGTTTCTGTGATAGCACAGCTAGTTCTGCATAGTGGTGTTCAGAACAAGACTTCCTAATGTAAATGAACATATAAATATTTTTAAGACATGAATAGGTAAACAAAAATCAAGAAAACCTTATATATCAAAAATGCATTAAAATGTAAAAAAAATAAAATCCATAAAACCATCAAATTGATAAATGTGAAAAGAATTCAGTTTTGAACTGTACCAGAACCTGCTTCTGAAAATCATCCCTCATATCAGTTATACATTCCCATGCAAAGTCTCTTGCCTGTGGTTTGAATACTGTGACTTCAAATTACAACAAAACACACTAGATTTATATTCTATATAAAAATGTTGTAAAGCTCCTGTCATAAAAAACTATTTAAAAGTAAGCAAAACTTTTGATAATATTTAGAAAGCAACTGAATATCTGCCAGGTTCTTTGTTGTGAATATCTTGAAAATAAAACCCTTCAGTACTTTTCCATCTTTTCTTAAGCTCACATAATACAGAAAAATTACCATTTTCTTTTAGCATTTGGCTCTACATGACAGAAATTGGAAGCATGTTTTGAAGTTTTTGGCCTCAGTGTGGATGAGGCATAGGTCCAAATTTGTGCAAGAGATAAAACAGTTACGTTTTGAAATTCAGCAGCTTAATTCCACCCATGATCTTTACAGCTGAGCTCACAATTTTATTCTGGGTGGTTTGAGACCACTTGTCCCTATCTGTTTCAGTAGTTGAGATTGGATGCTTCTGCATTAAAGATGGACTAAAAGTCAGATATCTTTCAACATGTATAGATAGAATATTAACATTACAGATAGAATTCCTACTGGTTAAAAGATCTATGATAATATAAAAGGTCTGTAAGCATTTTAAAAACAGCAAGGTGCCAGTCAATCACTGGAAAGTCAGAAGCTGAGGCAAGCAGTTCTGACATTGCCCTTAAAATGAGATCCACGTTATGTCCCAGATAGGCATGTGAGAGCTAGGCCGTGAGTGGGAAGCACAGGTTGGAGCTGGAGTCATGTAAGGCCACAAAATGGTACTGCATCTCCGGAGGCAGCAAGAAAGAGCTTCCCTCTGGAAGTACTTTGACGCTATTTCAATTTATCTCAAAAATTACAAAACAAGTTGGATTTTGGAGAGTTTTGGGGAAAGCATCCAGTGGGAAATGTGTGTTCAACTTTGGTCTGAAATGTACAGTGTGGGTTCTTTTGCTACGACAACTTGGTGGGAAAATCACACTTGACTTTTACTAGGTGATTATGGCACTTTGTAAAATGGCAGTTTAATAGCTCTTTGAGTGCTTAATGCATACATCTCACTGAGGTCAAAAAAGTAATCCGTGGTTGTACTGAAAATTCCCAGAATGTCTGGAGAACCTCAGCTTATTAGTAAGAAAGACTGAAAGTTCTTGGCTGATGGAGAGCTATGTAACTTTCCTTTCAAGTGTGTGCAATGTATCGTTCTCCATTTTAAAATGACTGTATAGAGATGATACCTCTTCATTCTTGCCAGAAATGTGCTCTAAAAGACAGATGTATGTCTGAGCACTTGAGAGATGAGCATTTAGATAGTTTTTACTTCCCTAAGTCTGCAAATCCAACACAGACAGGTTGAGCTGTATTTGCTTCACTTTATACATCAACAACAGAATTTATTTACTAAACTTCAAGCCATTATACTTTGATGAAACCAATTGTGGAAAAATCTTAGTACTGTGGATGAAAGAAAGATGGACTGCATTTGTCTCTCACATCTCATACTGTATTTGGACATAGATGCTTTTCTGTTTGTGTACAGCCCCTAGAAAGCACATTGCATGTGTGCAGATAGATGGTAATAAACCTGATTTTGAAATATGAGCTGTAGTTTGCATTAATTGTAATTTTTTTGCACTTACAACTTATCTGCAGTTATAAGTTAATACAATTAAGATCTTTTAAATACTTGATTGTGTCCATTTCCCTGTTGTCTGCAAAACCAGATCATGCTGATAGACCCAAATTTAATCTCTGTTTCTGCAGTGTCTCTGCTGAGTGCTTGTTATTGCTGTATTTATTGTTAGTGTGATGTTGCTGCCCTGAGACTGCAGATGTTATTAGGGTCCATATTAAAATGTTCACTGTTGCACACATGAATGTAACAGAAAATAGTTCTGTGATCTAAATGTTCATCCCAGGGGAAAAAAAAACCACCACAACCAAACCACACCAAACCAACCAAACAAAACAAAACAATGGGAGGAGACAATGGTGTCACAGCTTATTGCTGGATAAGTCTTTGAGACAGTGAGAGAACAGCTGTATTCCTTGAGGTTTCAGAAAACCCCCATCTCAGTCTGAAACTGAACCTAAACCCTTGTGTAGGTGGAAGAATCATCTTTTTTTTCTGGGGCTCAAGGTATATAAATTGACTGTGATCCCTAGAATGGGACCTGAACATCCCATAGGAGTGTGCATTGTCTCAAGTGTGATCTAACAGTTGGAATCCATATCTGCCATCTGCCTGTGGAAAGAAAATGGAATATAAATGATGCTTTTTAATTTTTTTTTAACAAGTACATCCCAGAATTGATTCAACTTTTCAGAGTCTAAATAAATTGTAAAAATAGTACCATTTGATATATTGACCTCTGAGATAGAGAAGGAAGAGGATTATCTGCTGAGCTGTGGTTCTTCTTGGAACATCATGCCAGTCATCATTAGATTCTTCACACATCAGTAATCTCAGTTTCTAGATCTAGTATTCCACCAACAAAGGTCATTTCAGTGTTTAGTAAGGAGAGAGATTGCCAATCTATCTCATTAAATATATAAACTACACTGTGTGATATGATTCAAAAGATGTAGAAAAGTCAACAGATATTTAGTTAAATGTGTTGTACTGTTCTTCAGGTAAATGTATTGGAGTATTTGAACAAGTTGTTTTCCATTATTAACACTGCTTTGCCATTTTGAGGGACTGATCACTTAAATCCCTTCAGAATAACAGATTTTCTTTCACATACCAGGAACAACTTGGTCTTGTCATGTTTTTCTTTGTGGAAAAGGAGAAATGTACTAGCTAATGTCAAAAAGAAAATTAGATAAGCTGATGCACAAAACTTCAAGGAAATCAAGGTGATGCCCTTAAAAAATTACTTTGAGGGCTTTGGCATCCATACAAGAGTTTTTCTACATATTTTCTCAGAACATTCCCTCTATGATTTGTAAATTCTCTCCTTTCATCATTTCCCTGAAGCCCAGACAGTTTCATTGGTTCTGACATAGAATGAACAATTGAAAACATTCTTTAGGAGAGAAATATTCCAAACTTCACTTTCAAGCTGAAGGTATGGAGGAAAAAATGAAAAAAAAGGATGGTTTTAGGCAGTGAGACGTGAAGGACAAGTGCTAGGCCTGTCACAGATGCTGATAGCTTGGCGATGGTTGTACATCATCTTCCCTTCGTTGGCTCATGGACCTGTCTCAGCTGAAATGCAAACGTGCAAAATGACACATTTATTTCTCATCTTAAACCTTGATACTTTCAGGCTTCCTGTACATCAATGATTTGTTTCATTCCCCTGTGTTCACCACAGATGTGCTGCCACCAGTGCCAGGGCAAGGAGATAAAACTGCTACTATGCTTTCTGATGGAGCCATTTACAGCAGCATCGACTTCACCACGAAAACCAGTTACAACAGTTCCAGCCAAATAACGCAAGCTACACCATATGCCACCACCCAGATACTGCATTCCAACAGCATCCATGAGTTGGCTGTCGATTTACCTGATCCTCAGTGGAAAAGCTCAATTCAGCAAAAAAATGACCTGATGGGATTTGGTTACTCTCTCCCAGAGCAAGGCAAAGGCAACAATGGTAATTACAACTCTTATTTTCCAGAGGCCTTGGCTTTGTACTGTATCATCTGTGCATGAATTAGAAAATTCTTTTTAGTTGTGTGAGATACTGTTCATATTTACCTTAACTAATGCTAACATTCCTTGCATGCATGCTGAATAGTCATACAATCACAAAATACATCATCCTGTGCTTTTATTCCTCTTTGTCCTGTGCTAATCACCAAGCCATCTGCCCTCCATCAGGCTAGGCTAGGTGTACCTTTAAAAATAAGTAAGTTAAAACTGCCACCCCACCGCATCTGCTGTTGACTTGCTAACTGCATGTGTCGCATGTGCTTGTGCTGTCGACTAATCCCACGATGCCACTGTGACCTTTGCCGTTTAACCCTTAGCCTTGCTTTACATCCCTGACTACCGGGTGGCTGAGGGACTGGCTAATAGATTGCCACACAACCAGTCACAGGATTTCAGCACCACCAGCTCCCACAACAGCTCCGAAAGGAGTGGCAGCCTCTCAGGTTGGTTCCACCGCCGTGGGCAGGGGAGTGAGGGACGGAGGGGTGTTGGCGAGCGGCTCGCCGCAGAGGCGGAAGACCTCCCAGGCACAGGTTGAGAATTACCATGAGAGTGCCTGCCCACTAGTAAACACTGGAAAATATGAAGTTTCATTGGAACATCAGAGAACACTGTCACATGGGCCTCTACTTAAAAAAAAAAAAAAAGTTTTTTGGCAAAACCTATTTGGAGATAACTGGAGATTCCTCCCAGGTGGTGCTTGTCAGCGCAATTGCCAGCCTTGCCTTGTCACATCCCTTCCCTGACAGCACAGTTCGTGGAGCAAATGTATTTCTGCATCCATCCTCAGTTTATAGGCCTCCCCACACTGAACGTCATGAGGAGAGTAATATTTTTGTTGAGTGGTTAACAGATCCCCCACTCCCACGAGCTGTTTCTAGATGCTGTTCTTCAGTGAAGCAGCTCAGAAATAACTGTAGGGCCCTGAGCGATGCCTGGGGTTTCAACAAATTGTGCCAAGCCTGCATACAAACAGGATGTAAATTTTGTGTGTGTGCTGCATGTTCTATTGGAAACATGATGCATTTTCATCAGATGAAAATGATTGTAGTACATGTGGTTGTGTATTATATTTAAACACACCTTTTTTCTGATTTCTTTAATTTTGCTTACTTGTTGCTCATGTTATGTATAACTGTCTTTTTTTCTAATTTCAAAGCAAAAACTGAAAAGGCAGCAATTAAAAAGAAAACCTCTGAATTCCCTTAACTGAAATATGAGAGAGCTGAAGGGACTTAACCTTGATATTCATTCTATATCCGTAGCCTTTTGAATTTCCACTTTAAGCTGGAACAATTGTAACAGTAACAGACCAAATCTAGAAATTGCTTCTTTATGTCAATTTAAATTACTATTCAAATTGAATCTTGAGATTAGAAGCCTATAATCATTGGCCCATAACTCAAATAGCCAAATGTGTTTGCAAGTCTTGTGTTCTCAAGGGGGAGTATTAGCTGATTTGAGTGAGACTGAAAAACAGGCTCATGGCATTGACGGAGAGGGATCTGGGAGTGAGGTTCACACGATAATGCAAGAAAGGTTCTTGTTCCTTGTATGTGAGATGTATTGGCAAGTAGCTGAGGAAATCAGCTTGCTCTCCAGGCTGCATGCAAATGCAGAAATTGATGTGCTGAGGTACATATGTGGCAGTTATCAGAGGGCAATATCACACTTTAGATATGTTGACAGCTATGGCTGCCTAAGAATTTTCTCAGAAAATATGAAGTTTCCTTGGAAAATGCCAGATAATCAAAAGCTGGATTTTGATCAAATATTTCAAATGAAACATATTTTGCATAGTGTTTGTCAGTTTGCAATAAATCTTCTGAGGACACGAGGAAACTTCAGCTCAGTCTTTCTATGGCCAGGGCATTCCTGTTTTGACCAAGGGAGCTCGCACCTGGGTGCCCCAATGCTCAGAGGAGTGTCAGATTATCGGATTGCAGAGTCAGTATTTTGCTCTCCCTTGCCCAGTAATTATGCCTTTGATACAGGATAATTATATCTGTAATACATAAGAAACTGGGGGAGACCTTCAAATAGTCTGATAATTAAAGCATCACCGGAGTCAGAGACCAGCTGTGGTTACATAGTCCCCATCAGGGTGAGCAGGGACTTGTTCTCTCACTTCCTTGGTTGGTACTTTAAGTACTACTTATTATTCTGACTAAGTTTCTATCTCTCTTAAATGAATATCATGAGAAATCCTATCCCACTGTGGAATGAAAAATAGCTAAAAACTCAACTGCTTTATGAGGCAGGGAAATTTTGTAGCTGTACTTTGCACAGCTCCCAGATTATATCAAAGCTATGATCATCAGCCCAACTGGCAAATTCTTTTTCCAGGACCTGATTCATCTAGAGATTTAAACAATATAATTGAATTTCAGTGTGAGGAGACATTGAAACATCAAGCATCATTGCTATGGGGAAACAAGGCTTTGGTGCATCAGTTTTCAAACACACAATCAGGCACTATGTATTAGGTGTCTGTTCCACTAGTGTGACAGTGGAGTAATTCTGCCTGTGGGGACAGAAGAGAAATCTCCTGCCCAGCTATACAGAGTAGGCTGCTTTCCCTACCAATAATGACCTTGGAGTTCCCATCTTTGATTTCTTAATCTAAATAGTTCCTTGTCTCTCTGCTTCACTCTTTCTAATAACTCCATTAGCTTTAACCTTTCACTCCGAAACCCCCCAGTTTCGAGTGACTCCATATTAGCATGCAACACATCCAACCTCTATTGTACTAGTCTCCTAAAGTTATCAAGATGCTACACTTCCAAAATCTTCCTCACCGCCTCAACTAATCTCTAAGCTGAAGTTGTTCTCTGCATTTCCCTTCTCTGAGTATTCCTAGTTTAAATCCTCTTGCAACACACACACTCCTATGCATGTGCTTTTCTCCTAAAGCAGCCCCTCCTGTCTTAGCTCTACTTATGCTGACTTTTCAAAAATTTCCCCGCATCCCACGAATTTAAGTTAACCTGCTTCCTTTACACTGTTCTATGACCCTGTTTCTTTATCCACTTTTTGCCTTACCTGTGCTTTGAAAGTTTCATTGTCCCTCCAGAAGGTTCATGTATTTGTTCCTTTACCTCCACCATCACTGGGGTTTCTTTTCATCAGTCAACATATTCCTTCCCTTTTCAAGAAAGCTTCCCTCTCTACCAGGCTACAAAAGGAGGCAAGAGCCTGTCTTGCGTCCTAATAGAGGGAATATCGGCTCAGTTCACGTGTAGTGAATGACAGGATCTTGGCTGGAATTTACTATGTGTCCCTCCAAGAAAAAGAAGGAAGAGCTCTGATCTGGAATTGAGTACTGGAAAGGAAAGTCTTCTTTGCAATGTGCAGTCAGGCCAATTAGAAACCGTGCTGGACTTGTTGCCTGTCTCTAGCAGGCACAACCGGAGGTGAAAGGAGACGGCTACTTTTGAGTCACAGAATCACCTTTTTTCTTCCCTCTCTATCCTTTCCTGTTTTCATCCAGCTGATATTTGGAGGTAACAGAAGAAAACCACTGTCTCCCAAAAAGTCCCATGACATGTGCTTGTCTCTGTTGCTAGAATCACACCTCCTTCTGGGTTCCTCTGTGCCTAAATCTAGAGCCATGGCAAAGAAGGTGGTGCCTGCCAGTGCACACCTGTCAAGTCAGTTGCGGCTTTTTTGAGTCATTGATTCATTTTTACTTTTTTTTTCATAACTGATCCTTATAAATCAACATGAGATGTCAGTGGGTAGGATGGATTAGACTGTGCTCTCTCAAAAAGGAAAGGAATGAGTGATGGCCAGCTGGATACCCCGCTGAAAAGGCATGTGACAAACCATTCCTCCACCCAACAGTCCAAAGAGTCTGAAAGCCGCAACAAAACAGCAAAAAATAGATGGTTCTCCAAGCAGCCAAGGGATTTGAAATGTTGTGCCATTCTTCCTCTTAATGAATTCCTAACAAGAAAAAGAAGTCACAGCAAAATAAAAGAAGCAAAGCAGGTGGGATGAGAGCTTTCTCTGTAAGATCAGTTTCCCACAAATGGAAGTGTCTCAACTGGAGAAGTGGATATAAGGACAACAAGAGAAGAGCAGAGGGCCTAAACAAAATACATTGCTCTCTTCATTTTTTGCCAGCCTCATCCATTAGAGTTACACATCAGAAACAGAACCTCTTCTTCATAGTGGCACAAGATTTTTGAATGCTGTGAAACAGACCATCCTAAAACATTGCACATGACTTCCTGATCTTTTAAAAAAACCCTGTTTCTTTTGTTTTGACAAGTTACTCTTGTCATTCTGGCTGAAAGATATTGAGTCTAACAACAGCTTTTTTAGATGGCGTCCTTAACCTCTATGTTTTCCACAGAAAGTGTTTATGGAAAACTGTTATAGTCACACTGGATTCTGACATTTGAAATAATTTGCTATGTTTTATTATATTTTTATCTAGGAATGAATTCAAGAAGTCATAAAGAACACATAAATAATATCAGGAAATATATTTCTGATACAGAAAGACATGTCTTTCCCTGTTTGTGCACTACTGTGGTGCAAACGTACAGAGTTTTAAAAAGAAGTGATTTTCAGCAAATATTCAGAATATTTTTCCATTCCATTCTGTTATTACTTATAACCTTGTGACAGCATTAGCACGTTGATGCTGATTCTGCTGAGATATAAATACGTCTTCTTTTTCGGGGCATGCCATCTGGAATCAGAATTCTTTCAAAGAAATGTAAATAGCTAGCTTTTTTTTCCACATTACATCTCTAACATTTTATTTTTCTTTTTGGATTTGCAGGTGGCAAAGGAGGGAAAAAGAAGAAAAACAAAAATACTGCCAAGCCCCAGAAAAGTAATGGTTCAAACTGGGCCAGTGTTCCCCTCCCGCCCCCTCCTGTGCAGCCACTTCCAGGCACAGAGCTGGAACACTATGGGGTGGATCAGCAAGAAGCAGGGTAATTTTTTTTTTCTTTTTCTTTTGAAGAAAAATCTGTGGTTTGCAGAGATGAGGCCTGTTTTGTTATAATTTTTTAATTTTGCTAAGTGACAATATTATTTCATTTCATTTAAAAAAAACAAAAGTAAAAGAGCACCTTATCCAATAGACTTATTCAAAGCTAGGGAGGAGAAATGTTTGAATAGCTTCTCTGGAGAGTGACTGAAGGTGGAAACAAAAGTGACCTTGCTTTATCATCATGTAGAGCTTTACTGCTTTCCCATGCTGAGAAGTATCTCACTTCACAGGTAGCTTAATTGAATTCTGTTGGGACTGCATGCAGCTGATGGGACTCAGAGTGAGTAAGGATGACATAATCTGGCTCTTTGTATTTTTTCACTGCTTTGATGTTTAAAAATATTAGAGCCAACAGAACAAAAAAAAAAAACACATCACCAAATTGGATTATTTTTTGAAGATCAACCAATGGATAATAATGTTCTCATTGGCTTTTAGAAGAAATTTCACAGTTGTGGAAGGCATGCTAATTATAGGCTTTTTGTTGTTGCCATTTAAATAACTCCTAAGTTTCTAGAACCTTCCACTTATTTTTTTTATAGCTTAAACTTGTTCTCAAGGACACATAATCACACAAGAAGCGCTAAGTGAGAGAAAAGAGACATTTTCTGCACAGACAAAAATTACATAATGGTTTTTATAAAGTGTAATTACATGACGTGCCAGGTTATCAAACTCCAGAAGAAAATCAGAGTATACAGAAAAATAGTTTACTGTGGTCAGTTCTGTTGGAGCCTTGGAGAATAATTGTTCTGTCAGGGACAAATTTCTGCCTGTCTAAATACATGGATTAACCAATATTTCCTAAGGATGAAACACGTTTTAAAAAAACATTGTAATAACTTTACTGAATAAAAATATTTCAGGTGTTATCTCTTTTGTAAGCACGAAGCATTGATCATTACTAGTTTTATAATGAAAATTAGAGCAATTACGTATTATTTGAGTTTATACAAAGTCCTTCAACTCTTAAAATGAGTAACAACTAACTGTGTTAGTCAGTGGAATTCTTTTTAGAATTAAGGCCCATTCAGGCTCTATTAGAGTTAGAATTTCAAAGCAAATATAAGGGAAAATGAATATCCTTACTGATTGTAAGTGTTGTTTAAATCTCAAGGCAAAAAGTGCATATAATCATGGTGTTCTCTATTCTGTTATAAAAGGCTAAAATAAATTTAAAATGGTTTTACCGTATAATACTTGTCTTTATCAGTTTACATCCTTAAAACACATTTGCAGCCATTTCACTAAAACAATTATGCTATGGAAGGCAAAAAACTTGGATTTTCTTTCAGAACAATGAAATAGCATAAAAGGTAAATGGAAATACCTTATAAAAAATCCCTTGTGACACAGGACTTGACTCCTCAGTTGCATAAAGTATCTGTAATTTAGCTGGAAGGAATGATGTTGGTCACCAAGACAACATTGGTTATTTAAGGATAAGGTAATCACCAGCCTTCCACATTCACAACAATTCAGACTTAGTTTTTCTTCTGATTATCTTCTGAATTACTCTTCTCTGGGTTTTGTAGTGCCTCATTAACAGTGGTTGTAGCTTGACCTTGTAATATGCATTTTACCAAACACACAAAAAATTTGAAGATTAGACTTTCAGTATCAGTCTGGAGCCGTAATTTGCAGCCACCTTTGTTGAAGAATGGATCTGCAATGCCCATACTTTCTCAGGATGTATCCAATACTAATGGTTGTTCTGTATTCAGGGGTTGATCTTGTTTCCATGGTTTTCAACATGCTAAAATGGAATGAATCATAGACTGTGGTCCTTTATGTTGCCTTTAATGTGGACATAGTGGGTAAAAAAACCCAAAACAACAACACATTTTTTAAACTGTTTTGTTTGTCTTGATTTGTTTTGATGTACTCTATCTCTGACAAGTTCAATGTGTTTTAATTTTATAACTAATTACATGCAGAGTAGATACTTTTCCTTGGTTTTATCTAAACTTGACAGTAAGAAAATACTCATTATTAGGCATTATCATCTATTTAGATTTTTCACTAATACTATGCATGTTCTTGAACCAACCCCAGTAAAAGCAACCTGCATATTTTTACTTGACTATTTCTATTTCTTGCTATTGATTGCACCTTAAAGTGCTACTGGGTGTCAATATATTTGATACTTATTTTCTGTCTTTAGAAAAAGTTAAGAAAATAATACCTTTCACATCAAAAAATCTTTTCTGGTGAGGCCTAGGGAGGGAAACATCCTTTATTGCAACTGTGTCTGTAATGAAACAGAGCTGTTATGGAATGTGCCCATTATCCATCACCTTTATTTTTTATCTTGAAGGAAAAAAATCTATCAGGGTAACGAATCAAGTTTTTTAATAGTAAAAGATTGTTATAGGATGAAAGTGCTGAGAATACAATAAAAACTATTAGAAATATAGAGAGTCATGTTTTTTAACCAGAACTTAATAGAGACTTAATTAGAGATCTCTAATGTAGTTAAGGTGCTTAGATTTTAATAAGACTACTTGAAAAAAGTTGCATTTTCACCACGTTGGATTTACTCAGAAAACCGAAAAGAACATGGATGTGACCAATACTCTGTTGGTACCAGAAGTTTCTGTAACTAAATCATTTATGTGAGGTGTAGTTACTAAGTAGTCTCCTAAGTTTGCTAGCTCTTTCTTGCAGGCTTTTTTTTTTTTCTTCTCTAAATGCAGGTTAGAACCTGTGGCTTTTTGGACATCTTACAATATGAAGGCAAGGGTTCTTGTACCTGAAATCTTGAATCTCAATGTCCCGAGCTTCAGGCTTAGGCTGCTTTCCATTTCAAACAAAATTTAGGTAAAGATACGGTACTTGTGCGGAATCTTTTCACTAAGAAATCTTTTTAGTGAGAAATCTTTTTACTATCAAGCTGAACATTTGGGGATTTGAAGCAAGACAGGTCAAAAGGCGAGCACTTCCAAAGCTCATTTATTCATCACTGAGAAGTCACTAGGGAGGACCTTTTTGCCCTGTCCCTTTTAAAGAAGAAGACATTATACCTAAGCATGAGGTTGCGAGAGCAAAAGTAAGTGAAAGAGTTGTTGCATTGTACATTTTTAGCAGCATGAGTTAGGATGGTCCCTTCAGCTTTGGGTGCAAATGTCACGAGCGAGTATTGTTAGGAAGGAGAAATTACAGCTGGCCATATCTTAATTGTCTGCTAAGGATGAGTATGTATCATGTAACATTTTCTTAAATCTCTGTATTATGATAATGGTAATGATCAAACAGTGAAAAGCTCCTAAATGCCAAGGGTTAAGATCCAGCCTTTATTTTCACCTCTGTACACATATGTGTATTTGTGTATCTATATATTGTTATAACTACATATAGATTTAAAGTAATAACAGTGTTAATTACCAAATATGTCTTCCATAGACTTTTGGATGGTTAGATCAAGTTGTTTTAGCTATCCAGAATCTGTGCTTTTAAATAGAGTCTGAATAAGGAAAAGGTAGTCTAGTTAATTTTAGAAATCTATGAGTTTTGCTTAAAGTAAGTGTTTGTTCATAATACAGGTTTTGAAGCTTCTCCATCTCAGTGTTCCTGGCATTTCTGTAACCTGGCTTCATACTTGAGAAAATTGACAGTAATTCATTTTTCTCGGGGAAATTGGTAGTTCCTTCCTTCCGAATCAGAAGCCTTAAAGGAGTATTCTTAAACTGGTTTGAGAAATTAACTGTGTAGCACAACACTTTGCCTGCCTGCATTGCAGAAAAAAGGACCTTGTCAGCAGTCCTTGAAGGTGGAAAGAAGATAAAGTGACTTAGTAGATGATGCTTGGAAAATGGCCTTTAGAGAGTGAGATGGTTTGACAGTGAAGGAGCTATGAGAGCTTTGGGTTGTCTGGTTGCCTTTAGAAAAAAACAACTGTCTATTCTGAGTTATTTTGGAATACACTGGGAGTTAAGAAGAAATGTGTGCTGATGCTCAAGGGACCTGCTGACTGACTGGGTGTTTTGAAGATGGGAGAAGCAGACAGTTGAGATTTGAGTGCTGTGATCATCAGCAGAGCTGTGCCCAATTGAAGCTGTGTTCAGATTAGGGAATTACTCTGGGGAGAAAATGCACAGGGAATGACCACAGTCACTAAGGCCTGTACACCTTGAGTGATGCCAGTGTCTCTAAGGGACAGGATCCCGAGATGATACTGTAATACAACACTGAATTGAAAGGTCCTGTGATGAGTAGAGAGACTGAAAAGGATTGACTTGCTGGTGAAGCTTACATAAAAAGTGATAACTAAATATAGCGCTTCTGTTTCTAGCCCTGATCACCCCTTACAGCTTTGGTATAAGGCAAAAATTGAACCACAAACACCTTTGAGAACACTCCTTATATATGAAAAGAGAAGAATTTAGTGTTCAAGAATACTGGTAGTTGTTTATCTTTTAACTTACTTTGGGCAGGTGTGTTGAAAGTGTTCAGAAATTCAGCAGTGTCTAGGTGAGTCCCAGTACAGATTGGTTAGGAGGTGGGGTGCTGGCAGATGTACCTTATCAGCTGGTGCTTTGACACAGCATATGCTTAGGGTCAGTGCTGCTGTGACATGAATGTATTACACATCAGAGGAGAAACATATTTGCAGTGTGGGAAGACCAGCATTTATGAGGAAAGTGTAGCTTCAAAATAGAAACAAAGAGTAAATTTGTAGACAAAGGGGAGGACGGAAGTAAATAACTCCATAAGTGCAACTATGTAAGGCTTGCTCTACCTTTTAAGAATGCTGCTGTTTTCATGTCTAGGTCAATCTTCATGCACTCTCCTAGATTAATGATCCTGGAAGCGAGTTAGTTCATTGCTGTTGTTGATTGTGGTGTAACATTATCTAATCACCATTAACAAATGTGATAACGGGTCAGTAATTTTTTTGTTGCGCTTCTTGTTCGAGCTGCTTAGCTGTTGTGGGAAAAATTAAACTGACTCGGTAAGGCCAATTTAAGCAATTATGACCCTATTTTCATTAAATGTTAAAAACTTCCACTGTGTGTGAGGGTTATAGCTATAGCAGAAATCCTGCCTGCCCTTTACACCCTCTACTGTGTGGCAGAGATGAGTTTTGATAAATACTAAGTTTATTTGATTTTCATTTTAGATACGACAGTGACGGTTGGTGTCCACCTTTGCCAGTTCAGACCTACCTACATCAGGGCATGGAGGATGAGCTTGAAGAAGATGATGATCGTGTTCCCACACCTCCTGTCCGAGGAGTAGCTTCATCACCTGCCATCTCCTTTGGGCAGCAGTCGACTGCAACCCTCACGCCTTCCCCACGAGAGGAGATGCAGCCAATGCTTCAAGCTCACCTTGATGAATTAACAAGGGCTTACCAGTTTGATATAGCAAAGCAGACATGGTAAATGTTTGAAGGGGGCACTTGTGATCTGGGAAAGGAAAGCATAATAATAATAATAATTTATTCTTCTATGACATAAATATTGACTGTGTTTAACAACATTTCAGTAATATTTCCAAAGAAGTAAAATGGAAGAAGAAATAATAAAACTATGTCTGGAGTGTGAAAGCCTTAAACATTAGTAGGTGCTTTTTAAATCTTAATGCTTGGTAATAAGTTAAATCTTGTCTAAAAGCATGTAAAAACAATGTTCCTCTGAAATTTTACATATACTCAACTAAGTAGTTAACACCCACCTACTGACAGCTTTTATACGGTCAAGAGTACTCTCTTTTCAGGCTAGCAAAAGATATGAATTTTTTAGGATTTTCAAAAATAATGAGATTCTAAATTCCTGAAAATCATTGAAAATAATGATAGTCACTTGAAATAGCACTAGAGCAGCTTTTACAGGGTGTCACATGAGAATGAAGCATTTGCATCTCTGACTGTAGTTTGAAATACCATGAGAATTTCTGATTCATAGGAAAAACCCAGAAATAACGGGAAGAAAGTTGTTAGTATTTACAAAATGGATCTAGTGTTTTAGAGTGCTTTATGCCTATTTAAAGGAAGAGCAAGCAAATACCACAGTAACATTTCCCCTGCAAAACAAACAGAAACAATCTCTTCAGGGACTGAAAAAAGAACTTGTCAAGTGCACCAGGCTGGGGATACGGTGAAGGTCAGTTGCTTCCTGGATGTTCCCTAAGCAGCAGTTGTCCTTTTACAACTTTTCTACCCAGACAAAGCCCGTGAATCTCAGAGGAGAGGAGTAGAGCTAGTTACTGAATGGCATGCTGCCAGCAGAGGAGCAGCCTTTCTTCCCTGGTAAATAAAGCCACAAAGTTATTCAGCTTGAGCTCCCGTAAATAGATCAGGCAGGTAGGCAGGCGGTGCCAAATCAAAGCCAGCTGTTTTCCCTGGACACCGTGGAAGCCTCGAGGCTTGTCTGCAATCTGCACTCAATCAACAGGGTACTTTGGTCCCGCTGCAGTGCCACACTGCCAAGCGCGGACCCTGCCTGCCTGTGGGACAGGCCCAAATCCCAGGCAGCAGCTAGACCTGGCCCATTGAAGGTGGCTGACTTCTGAGCCAGCACACAGATGCACACCCTGCCAGCACAGTGACTCGCTGCTGCATTTTGCAGCTGTTACCCTTTCTATGCCCTACAAACCTCGGGTTCCAGTCCAGGCACCCGATAATGGAGTAGGACACTGCAGCAAAGCCTCTTGCAGCTGACAGGAAAGGTCTTGCTCCCTCTTTGGAGAAATGAAAATTGATTTGGAACTTTCATAATGCACTTAGGAATATACAGATTTTAATGTTGTTCTTGGGTAAGGTCACAGTAATTGAGCCTGAAACTATAGGGGGAAAAAAAATCGAGGAGATAACTTTTTTTCATACTGAAAACCTTACAGGTACTGGAGTAAATATTGAGGGTTGGAAATACAAGTGATTTTTGTGCAATGGAATTGTTGAATGCTTTTATATTGTTTGGCTGGACATGTGTCGTGCTGCTCGAAGTCAGTAGAAAGTCTGACTTGTTTTAACTGGGAAGGGAGATTTCTTAGTTTTCTTTTTACAAAGTTAACCTGTCCAGTGTAGAGAGAGGGGAAAGCAAAGCAGAAAGATGAGACCTGTCAAATAGGTTACTGTGGGAGTAACAGGAGAAAAATATAGAGAAAAGACAACTAGGAATTTAAGAAAGAGCACATTAGAGATTACTGGAAAAGTACATAATCATTATGGCCTTGATCCAGCAAATCACTTAAGTATATGCTTAACTACAAGTACATGAGAAATTGACTTCAATTGTTCTATCACAAGCTTAACATTAAGCATATACTTAAGCATTTTGCTTGACTGGGAGCTAATCACACTGTTTATTGAGGGTTAGTTAGATGGTAGTGCCCTTTAGCACAGTGTTTTGAACACTGCATAGCTAAGAACCTGGTGTCCAGGAAGAAAAGTATTCAAGAACTGCTAATCACAAGGGGGTTGTATATCGAAAAGGAAGCATTTGCTCTGCAAATAAGGTTCAGAATAAGCTATAAGTTAAAACCTACAGAGAGGTGGAGAGTGATTCCAGTGGTACATAAGATTTACTGTGACATTGTCATATCTGGTAGATTTACATTATGGGGAGGGGGAGAGAAAGCTCAATGAATAAAGAGAATTACTGTACTCATTGAGTGTAGGCAATAATACAGCACAAAGTTTTCATTGAAAATATAGTAAAGCACAGAACCAAACACGTGACAGCTGTAATTTTTTTCTGTTATACTGATGTCCAAGCAAGAGAGCAGCAGAATCCTGGGTCCCATCCAGAGTGCTGCCGATTTGAATCAGGCCATGGCACCTCATGTACACTCACCCAAGGATTCCTACGTGCCTAAGTTAGCAATTTTAAGCATGGTACATGCTCTTGTGCCAAGACCAGTCGTGCCTGGGTCCCCTGGCACAGCTTGTGGTGTACCTGTTGTGCTGTAGGGAATGCTGCTTTAAAAGCTGATGGTGTTGTTTTCCTCTGTATCCTCTCAGAGACCAGGCAAATGAGACTCCAAATCCCATGCTTGCCTTTGGCCATTTAGCTATCCTGTGGGTGACTTTTTTATCTTTTTTTTTCTTTTTTTTATTTGTGACTGCTGCATACAGTAATTTCACACATGCATGCCCTAATACTGCTGCAATTAAATCAATTAAACTACTTGGAATAAAGCAAAATGAAAAGGCCTCACTGATAATGTGTTCACTGGACTTGAAAATTTCTCCTGTCCTGCTGGCCATTTCCTCCTCCTTAGGGTGACTTCTGCTTCAGGGCACTGTGTCTGTTTGAGCAGAAGGAGTGAAATTTAAGTTTGGTTCAATGTGTGATTTGCAAGGTGGAATATTGGGTGAGACACTTACATGCTAGGCTGGGATTCAGAATTGTGCTTTTCTGTGGGTTTCCTACCTGATTTATGCAGCCTCTGTGTATATCGCTCTTCATCTGTAAAAGGACAGTCTTGACCTTCCCCATCCTAGAGGAGGAGAAGTATATTTAAGACTGGAAAGTGTGCAAGTAATCTGGTATTAGAGGCTATGGTGAATAACTGAACTGTCTTTTCTTGAGTTTAACCTAACAAGCACATTTTGTAAATCCACTTTGGGACCTGTTGAAAAGCTTGTATTTTGTATTTTGTTGACCGTGGGGTACAAAGTCTCATCCATTCTGATAACTTTTCCTGTTTGTTTGTGCAGGCACATCCAAAGCAATACACAACCTCCTCAGGCTCCCGTTCCACCCCTAGGATATGTATCTGGAAACCTTATTTCAGATTTGGAAACAGATGTTCCAGATGAGGATGATGATGAAGATGATATTGAAGAAGAAACTGTAGAAATCAGTAGGCCACTAAGAGGTCTAGAGCATACTCCAGGCTCCAGTATGGACAATCTAGACAGCTCTGTGACAGGTAACTAAACACAGTTAACAGTGAATCCAGCTTGTTCCTAACAGCAAAATACATCATCAGTCCAATACTTTCTAAGTGAAAATTGATTCCACTCTATTTCTGAAACGTTTAAAATGTGTTAATACTAAACGCTAAAGTTAAAGAAGGATTTGGGAATACTTTGCTTTGCTGCAAAATGATAAGAAAATTCATGAATTTTAAAAAGCTTTAAAGACTTGAAAGAAAACTCAATTATATCCTAGCTTTCATGAAAAGTTCATTCTACTAGAGAAGCAAGACAGTTACACAAAAAGGAGGGGGGAGACCTCAGCTTAGGAATATATATTTCATAAATCAGAAGCAGCATAAAAATGTTATCTTAAAGCACTTTTAGATATTTTGCTGGGGAAATGCTTTCCTAGATGAACACAAGGAAGTTAAAGACTTCAGAGTAAGTGCAGTTAGATCACCACAGCATTTATTTCTAGAGTAAATGTAACATTTCTGTAGGAAAATGTGTATTTTAAACCTACTTTGTATTGCTGAATTTAGTAATTGTTCCCTTTCAGTAAAGCTATTTAAATATTCTGACCCTCCTTCCCTCGCTGCTTCTTGCCCTTTGCATGGCTTGGAAAGCTCCAACATCATCAAAGGGGATCTAGAAAGCCATGCTAAACTAATGCACAGGATCTGAATGAATAAAATGACTGTTGGAGAAATATAGGCAGTGAAAGACATTTGGTTTTAAAATACATAATGTCCTTTTTTTAAGCATCAGTGTATTTCCCTTTATGTTGAACTTGGGCCTCTATATGATATAGTGTGTCCATAAGGTGCAGGGGTACTAAAGACATGAATGTCCCAAATGTGCCAGTGTCTATAGCTCATGAAAGCTGGTGGGTGCTGCTTCAGTCTGATCTCAGCAGGCAAATACTGATTGTTAGTTGTACCTTAAGGGAGACTTGTTCAGTACAACTTACTACCACAGTGCCACTGAATTCCATCTCATTGTTCTGGACCTTTGAAATTCCAAGGATTGCTATTCTGAAAACACTGGGCAAATATGACAGTGATGGAGCATCAATACCTGTAAATTTTCTTCCTTTTCCCTTGTTGAACGAAATAGTGTGTAGCTTAATCCCACTTTCCAGGTTTTCCTTCACCCTTGGGCCAGACTGCTTACCAATCTAATTAAGATTTAAGAATTGTATCTCTGCTGCTGTGATTTGAAACCCAGATTCGACTGAAGGCCATAGAGTTAAAGTTTAAATCCCTGAATTGAGAAGGTTAACTTATTAGTGCATGAGTATGTTAAGTCACTTTGCTTGAATTTCCAGCATAATCTCCTTCGGGCTATAATTCTGCATATTTTTGCATATTTCACTAATGGCTCAGAAGTCTTTCTATTAAGAATGCAGTAGGAGTTTTGCAGTGGTAATACAGCAATTAAAAAAAAAATTGGGTTTGTATATATTTCTCATTTGGTATATATTAATATGCCAATGTTTATGTATCTGTAAATCAGAAAATGATTTCACATTTGCATTTTCACCTGATATTTTGGACCACCTAGAGCAAATACGGAATAGCTGTATTCCTGCTCCAAGTTGTAAACTTTTGTGTTTATTACAATTTAACCTTTTATGTATAACATTCAAGTTTCTTATAATATTTATAAATCTTGTTGTATTATTGGGATGTTAAAAGTGTAGTTGGAATGTTAAAAACTTCCTGCTGCGTTATTTTAGAAGAAATTGGGCAAAACCTGATTGTGTAGACTGGGAGTGTACTTTAGGTGATTTAATGCACTCCCACTCATCACCACCACTATCTTGATGTGGCCTCATCCAGGTGAAAATTAGGGGTTTCCTTTTGCTTTTTCTTTTGGTTGTTTAATTACTTGCTGGATCTGTTCCTTGATCTGGTTCACCGCATGGCAAGGTGTGTGCTGGCACTGCAGGAAGGGAATGTGCAGCTGGAAGGGAAGCAGGATGATAGATTGCCCCTATAGCATATAGCCAATGCTTAGATTAACTTAAAACAATTAGGGAACTACAGCCTTACAAAAAATACACTCAGAGTGTTAGTCTAAATGATCTGTAAAATGGCAAAATATACAAATAACAAGACTGCTTCTGTTTTCCTCGTTTACTACATGGGTAAAACCTTGATTTTAGGATGGTTTGTTTTGGGCTTGATTTTTTTAAGGGGTGGAAGGAAACTGCTTATTATACTCGGGATTTTTTTTTTCCAAAAGAGAATCTTAATTTTTGTTTATCTGTTTCTGTTAACTCTTCCAGGCTGCGTTTACTCTTGTTAATGAGGATACAGCAAATTGCTTTCATTGTTTCCAAGCTGTTTCTCATTCTTCAATTTGATTGCTTTTAAAATACTGTAGAACAACTAAATTGTTTTATTGCACTGAGAATATATAAGCTACTTCTTTTCACAGAACCTTTGGTGACTTAAACCAGCATTTTCCTAGGAATTTTTAGACCATGTTTTCACTTCTCTAAACATTATATTTGAAAATGGAGACAAATGAGAATATCTGACCCAGATGAAGCAATATTTCTGTTCATTTTGAAGTGCCTTGTGAGTTTGGTGTTTGTGAGAAATCTATACTGACATCCCTTGGTCCAGGTTTCCCTCAAATAGAGTTGCTGTGCAGGGAGCAGGGCAAGTTTCCTCACCCTGTACTGTTAGCATGCTCTTGGATTGAAATGGTGCTTTGTTCTTCCTGGCTGAGCTGAGACCCAGGATTTCACTGAGTGCCAAAATGTGGGATTCTCTGAGGGGAAACCCTGGCACTGCCTGAGCCAAAGCGCAAACTACTAAATTCCTCTGACACCACAGTGTTGCTGCTTTAAACTATTTAAAAGTCGAGTTGTCTTCCAGGCCCTTGAGTTTTAGTTACAGCTAGCTGAAGATTCAGACAAGGATTTAATCTGCGCTATTAAGCTTTTCTCTTTGCAGGTGGCAGAGACATAATGTTGACGTGTATAATAAAGTGCAAAGAAAGGAGGAGTGCACAGTGACTGTGTCTTAACATTCTCCAGATATGGCAAAGAGAACTCGGGGAGGGAGGTTTGGATTTGAATGTTTGTGGGATGGAATATGAAATTAAAGCTGAAGTTTTTCTCCATTTCCAGTTTGTTAGGATAACTAGTCACTGATTCTGCTTTAAAAAAAAAAAAAAAGAAATAAAAAGAAAGAACTGGAAAGCAGTGGTAAAACTTTTGCTCACTTTTAATTCATGATTATTTAGGGTTGTTTTTTGCTTTCAGAGACACAATGAAATATGTATTTTCTTTTGCTTATGTTTAATGTTTGCCTTAATAATGAATTGCTGTGCAGAGTTATGGCATGAATGATCATAAAGAGTCTGTTATATTATTCTACTTTAATAGATTTAATTAATTGCATCTGATGACCATATGAGAAATTAATTTGCCTCTCACTGAAATCACTAAGAACACAGCTAGTTTTTTCAGATTTAAGTATTATGGTTTGGGGGTTTTCTTTCCCGTTTCCTTATTTTCTCCTCCCGCAGCACCACCAGTGAAGCTGGTAGTGCAAGCTGTTGTATCTTCAGTCCTGGTGCATTTTAACTGAGGGGAGAGATACACCCATTAACTAGCATGGAAATTAGAACAAGCCCTCTTTTACCTAACTGGTACAAATTGACATAAACAGAGAGATATTCTTGTAAACAGTGCCACAGCAAATGGATAACAATTTTTTTTTTTTCAATAGAATTGTATAGATCGGAAATTATAAAAATCTCTGTAGGCTGTATGTCTCAGCAAGGAAGAATATCCCTTATTTGACATGTTTTGGTCTTGGTTAAAAAAATCACTTATCACTGTCTGTATGGAAAAAGTTTTTCATTCATTGTGTCAGAGCACAAATGGAATAATTCTTGAAAATTGCACAATATCATTTTCATGAGCCATATTTTACCATAGCAGAGCTCAATATTTATATTGATTTGCTTAGGGATACCTATTGCAAAAAATTCTATTTTATAAGCAGTTAAGACAGATTGCATTTAATAGGTAGAATGTGTTTCATGGATTAAATATGTGCTCAGAAAATAGGAAACTGCTACTTTTTGTATCTCATAAAAATGGTAATGCAACAATTAGCAGGGTCATATTATAAAGCACAGACTTTACTCTAGCTTAATGGATCTAGGGATATGCATTCATCAGCAACGATAGATTTAGCATAAAATGACATGTAAATGAATTGATGACTGATCATAAATTAATTTTAGTGCTGAAGAAGTAATAGAGACACAGCAAGATGCCACTTTATCATAGTATTTTACTGCTCAGCAACATTTGAGCAACTACTTAATGTTCTGTGTGCATTTCTTTTCTAACAGCTTGAATAAATTTGAGAATTTTTTTGTGCCTTTCAGCAATATGGAAACCAAAAAAAATCTCAAAAGATGGAATGCAAACAGAAATAAATTTGGCTAAGTGACATAAATTCATTTTTCATTAGATGTTTATGAAGGGCATTAAGTATGGTTGGACCTGTGAAGTGCCAAATATGTATGCATGATTTTTACCTCCTTTTGTTTAGTGTTTCCTGCCCCAAAATAAAAAATTTAAAACTTAGGGGTTTATTCCAGGCGTATACATTTAAATATTCAGGCATTTATGGTGAAGTATGATGTAAAGTATGAGAAAAAGTCTAGGTTTTGAAGTGTGGTCATAATTATAATCTGCATTTAGACCCTTCTATTATTCATTCTTATTTTGGTGGTACAATGACTATTTCCCCTTCTATTCCATCACTTTCACCAAAATCAGTGGGCATTTCTTCTTTGCAATCATGGCAGTGGTCAGACATATCCAAGAGAGGATAATGTCTTTCTCCTCTACAAAGGCTAAGAGAAATCTGTAACTGATTTCAGCTGAAGTAGCATCAGTCCCCAAGGGTGTCACTCATTCTTCACAAATCTAGGGAGTCCATCCCTGTTCCATCAAAAAAAAAAACCAAACCTGCAGGGGAGCAGGGACCCAACATTACTCTGTGCTTGATGGTCTTGAAGGAAAGCACATATGCATACACATGAAAGTACCAGTGACATCATCTCTTCAGTTTAAGCATGCACATAGAGTTTGGTACGTACAGAAAAGTATCCAATGGAATTTTCAGAAGTGTTAGCTTTGTTGTGAGCAGCTTCTATTTCACAAGTGCGTTAGATATTTTTATTTTTAAGTAAAGCAACAGCACACTTTACAAAGAAAAACAGCATTTTTATTGCCAGCAAAATGCCACTAAAAGCGGTAGCAATGCAGTCTACTTGAAGCTAGCACCTCTATTCCCCTCACCTTTCCCTGAGAGCAAAGAAGCTTTCTGTTTGCATTAGCACCAAGAGATATTTTATGGAGCAAGAAAACAGAGTTCAACTTTTCACAGGGCTGATTTTGTTCTGCATAAAGCATTTACTGCCGCTGTCAGCAAGAGTAAAATTTACAGTTGCCAGAAAGCGTAAAAACTCAAATGCGCTCTTGGAAAACACATAGTGAGCTGCATGTAAAGGAGACACTAAAAGCCTGTTTCATCCCATTTCAAAATGCACAGTTGATCTGAAAGGAACGTCAGCATCTCTTATTTTGCCTTTATTCAGAGAAAAACAAATGTGCATCTGATTTGGAAAACAAGAGGCCAGTGGATGGATGCCTTTAAACGAGTAGTCACCACGTGTGCTGTGTTAACACAGCTGTGTGGTGGCCTGAGGTGCCCAGGCTGGGCTCCAGCACTCCCATACCTTCTGGGCAATGTCCACACCTCTGCAGGTCAAAGCAAAAAGGGTTTCACTGCTGCGAGTTTTGGTGGGGAAAAGAAATTGTTTATGCAGGGAAACCGAATAGCTCTGGAATCAGTAGAAGTAATGTAGACATTTCGCCTTTAGCTCCCTGGTCTCACACAGCTGTGGGTGCCGTGTGTGTCTCAGGGTATCTTGCTGACTTCAGCACTTATAAAAAGTTTTGCCTCTGCTTCCAGCAACCAGAAGTTTCATACAGAATCATAGAATGGTTTGGGTTGGAAAGGACCTTTAAAGGTCATCTTGTTCCAACCCCTCTGCCATGGACAGGGACACCTTCCTCTAGACCAGGTTGCTCCAAGCCCCATCCAACCTGGCCTTGAACACTCTGGTAATGGGGCATTCACAGCTTCTCTGGGCATCCTGTTCCAGTGCCTCACCACCCTCATAGTAAAGAATTTTTTCTCAATATCCAATCTAAACCTACTCTCAGTTTAAAAACGTTGCTTCTAGTCCTGCCACTGTAGACCTTATCAGAAAGTCTCTCTCTGTTTTTTCTGTAAGCCCCCTTTATATATTGAAAGGCTGCAGTGAGATCTCCCCAGAGCCTTCTCTTCTCCAGGCTGAACAACCCCAGCTCTCTCAGCCTGCCTTCACAGGAGAGGTTTTCCAGCACTCTAATTATTTTGGTGGCTCTTCTCTGGACACACTCACAGATTTCATATCTGTCTTGTGCTGGGGATGCCAGAACTGGATGCAGAACTCCAGGTGAGGTCGTGGTGTCCCAGCAAAACTCACATCCCTGCAAGAACTGACTTCCAGCCTGACAGGTCCCTCCTAGCACAGCTGCTGGAGAAGAGGGCAAGGGGGAGTGATCTCTGGGCAGAGCACACTCTGCCTTGTATTATCAGCCTTGATAATACTTGCTGTCCATGGGAATGTGAAGGAGTTGAGGAACAGGACTTTTCTATAGGGTTAGCCTACAAAACTGGCAGTCTGATAACAGCAGTTAAAATTTAGGTATTTTTAGAAAAAGTGGCATATCTATGAGTGTGTAGAACAATAGCTGCTTTCACACACACTAGGAGAGAGCATTATGGGCTTTTGCAGATTTTTAATATATTTCATACTTAAAACGTGGCTTATTTTTTTGGATTGAATGACAATCCAGTCCTTCAAAGAGTAGATGAAAAATAGCTACTAGACATACCCTGCAAGTGTCCCATCCCAATTGCAATGTGTATTGTATGTTGTGTAACAGCTGAGGGGTTAGCAAACGGACAGAGCAACATGAGCAAGAGGAAATTAAAAGTTCTTTTAAAATATCCATAGTCTTATGGACTATGATACCAAAAACAATAACTATTCTGTACAGTATATGGTTTTATACGTCTCTACATAGAGAGTAGAACATATCACACAAAACCCTTGGTCTCTGAAACTAATGGGATACATGTTAAATTTTTAACATCCAAGTATCGTCCTTTGATATCTGCAGCTCTAGTTGTATTTTTCATGTTTCAGCTTGTGCTTACATATTTTGCAGAGCATGTCGATAAGCGATTGTTTGAAAATGTCCTCAGCTATAGCATTTCATTTTCTTAAATCTTCATGAAGTGTTTTATCTGTAGTATCTCTTTTCATACATCATCAGTAACTGTTGCTAAGCCTCTTTACTCCCCATTCTCTATGATATCCTATCGCACTTTGATTGTTAGTTCACAAACTGTCTTCTCAGAGGAAATTCAGTTTTAGCCTTCCCTTGCTGCTATCTGGGCTCCCTTACATCTGTCTGCATCAGGTCGAGTCTGTTTGGAAAATAACAATTTTATGTGTGCTCTTGGCAAGCAGAATCGAACTCTGTCACTCTCTGTTGCACTTAACACACTTTCTGCCTGTCAGACCTCCACAGACCTCTTCTGTTTCTTTTCTTGTATCTTAGGAGTGCATGGGCTTTTGTTATTATAGCCTGCCACTTCACTGACATTAAAAGCTTTGGGCACTACAGCATCACAAAATAACCCATTGTTCTTGGGCTTTGTGGTGCAGCACGGTACTGAATTCCAGTATTCATGTATTGTACTCATGACTCGTTTTTGCTGGATGTTTTTCATATTTGACACCGCCATTAGTTAATTAGCCTATCAGTTTGATGCTAACAAGCGGGTCATTATTGATTTACTACTTAGCAGTTTTAAATGCCATAACACTTTCTTGCACATGGATTGGAAAAAGGCTACTGTTCTGCTGCACATCTTATGTATGTTTGTGCAAGTTCAGCTGTGCTGACTGAGTACTTAAATCAGGACCATCCCTCCCCCTGTGTCTTCATGTCTTTGATAACCAGTTCTCTGCAGATTCTCATGGGTTTGCTGGGCTTTTTGGGGGGCTTTTTTTTTCAGCATATATATGTGACTGTTGTTAAAAAGCAGATTTCAGGTATTTCAAGATAGGTGCCCATACTATGTCAGAACAATTTGCTGTGTCTACATAGCACCACCCAATGCCCTGCAGCAGTTCAGGTCCCAAAAGTATTCTGGTAGTTCTGCACCTCAGCTGGACTTGGTAACTCATTAGCACAGCTGCTCCATTCCTGGAAAATATGAATGAAGAGCAAATAAGATTAATCCTTCCTTCACTATTTTGCTCTTTACATTCTAGTTATGTCAAGATTTCCATGTTTCTTTCATATGCTTTTTCAGGTGTCTGGTTTTCTGACTGCATTTTTATGATGTTGTTATCACTTTCGTCTCCTGCAGTGATGGTAATGCATGGTTAGAAGGTTCCACGGGGCCAACATTGGCTTGGTGACTGACTCAGTATTAAATTTGAACATATATTTGCTCTACTCTTGAATCTTAATTATTTCTAACCTTTTAAAAAAGTTACTTTAGTCCACTAGAATGAACTACTTTAGATCAGCTTTCTTCAGGCCACTAAAACTGCTCATTTATTTTAAGGTTTTGATTGACAAAATGACACAAAACCAGTTTTGTTCAGAATAGCTCTTGAAGCTTTGGTCTGACTTTAGCCATATCTATCAAGATTTACACATGTGCTGTCCAAAATTTAAACTTGGTTTTGCAAATATCAAACTAGATACTGGTTTGTAATAAGTCAAGTAAAAAAAAAAAAGAAAAAATAAACCAATCACATTCATTTCAATTCCAGGAAAGACCTATCAACTTTCAAAAGAATTTATTATGGAGCTTTCACATTTGTAGAGAATATGTATAATTTTGTTTATAGGATCGAACTACATGGAGCAATCTGTGAATGAGATCCCTTTTAGCTTTGATAGTGCTTTATTATACCAAACTCCATCAGATAAACTTTGGGTTTCATGTTGGGAAAGGACATACTAAGTGGGTCTTTAAGCTTTAGCTGAATATTGCTCTTTTGTACCAAGCTCTGTCAAATGAACTTTGGGTTTCCTGTTGAGAAAGGACGTATTAATTGGGTCTTTAAGCTTTAGATGATCAAAAGGTATCAAACGTGCACAACTCACTAGACCCCTACATTTGTTTTTAGGTTCAATGGTAAATGGATGGGGTTCTGCGTCTGATGAGGACCGTAACTTTTCTAGTCATAGATCTAGTGTAGGTAGCTCCTCAGATGACTCGATCTTTACCAGCGGCAGTTTTGCACAAGCACTGGTTGCAGCAGCAGATAAAGCTGGTTTTAGGCTGGATGGAACCAGCCTGACAAGAACAGGTTTGTAGACTCAAAGTTGATGCTCTCTGCATGAAGGGTGTCTCTGCCTATTCTTCTCTTCTCTCAGTGAACCCGCATCTCACACTTGTCTAACATGCATGGAATAAGGTGGATGGAGATATTTTTATTGGTATATTTTCAATGAAGCTTTGCATTGTGTTTCATTTTTGGTCATTTGAAGTAGTGAATAGCACAAACTTTTAATCTGCACCTTCGATCTGCTGCAGTTTCCCTCTGTACTGACTCTGCCGTTTATTTACTGACAAATGCTCCATTTAATATTTCAGTGAAGAAATCACTAATTCTGCCTTACAGTTTTGATGATCTTATTTTCTGAAAAATCTCCTCACAATCATTCACGTTTCCAGTGATAAAGATCATATTTATTATCTCCATCCCTGCTCTTCTGTTGCATTTCTTCTTGGAAAAGTGTATTTTTCTGTGAAGTTTTTCTAAGCATGGGGTGAATTGGTGTGCTTTTATTGTTAACAATGCAAACTGTTTAAAACCTTTATTAATAGCTGATTTTAAAATACTTGATTCAATAAGTTAATATATTTTGATAAAATTTAATTTTAGTTATGCCAACTGAGCTGCCAACTAAAATGTAAAAAAGGTTAAATGACTATTGCTTTTGAAAACAGCCAATCTTCTAAAATGAATTAATGAAAACTAAATATAATTTAGTTCATATTTTTAAAGCTTCATATGTCTTATTTCTATTTAAAAAAAATAAGGAAAAATGATCTTTAAATATTCTGAGGGGGAAAAAGGAATGTATTGCATTTTCTTAGTCTTATAAAAAAAGCAAAAATTACTAATTATTTGAATCCACAAGTCTAATAGCAAAGTTTGAGCTTGGATCATATTTTTGTTATGCTTCCTCAGCCAATTCCTGCCCACAGATCCAATAATATTCCTGTCATTTAAATTTTTTCACTATTAGTCTGGTGTGAAGTCTCTCCTCCAGTAATATATGTGCATTTGTGAGAAATGTCTCACATGTTAGGCCTGAAAAATGTCACTCTTTCTGCATGCAATGACTTCATGGCAAATACCACCTTTTAAGGACATTAGGAGTAACGAAAAGAGTTGATGGCAAAGTCCTATGTCTCCAACAAACTAGAAGGTGAACACATACGGCTTTTCACAAACCACTGGCACTTTTGCCACTGACTTTGGTCAAATATAGGCATCCTTAAAAGGTAGTTATTTCACCATAGTTGAAACCCTCAGTAGCTTCTTACACTGTGGAAAATTGGCTGAGTAAATCTGCCTCATCCTTTGATAAAAAACAAAGTAAGACAAAGCAAGAACCGATGTAGACCTTCACTCATCTGCTATGGGCACATATGGCCAAACTATAATTTAAAATATGTGCTTGAAGAGTCTTCTAAGTCTTAAAAGAAAGGAGCAAATCCTTCCCAAACTTTTTTTTTTTTTGTGGTGTTCTTGGTGTCAGTAAAAGTTAATGCAACGATTAACTCAAAGTTAATGTCACTTCTATCAGACCTTTGAGAAGTGCAGTTCCCACCATAAACACATGCATAAGAGAAGTAAATAGGCACACAGACACATAGGTATTTAAAAATAAATATGATTTCTTATTGTAGCAATGTGAATGGAAAATACAAGAAAAGGCTGAGAGCCCTCTTGTCAGTTGTATTTTCCCAGCTTAATTAGGTCACGAATGCACTTAAACCGAGTGCACGTGTGTAATTCCTCAGACAGACTATTAGAGTGTAGGGTACAAAAAAGTATCTAGCAGTTGTGGTAGAGACTTTATGATTATTACCCTCTTACTCTCTTAATGATCCAGCAGGCAAAATGGAAATAAAATAAAACCCACATGTAAACAAACAGCCCTCCCTTCTTTTTCCTCACAGAAACCTCAGCAAATGGAAGTAGCTCCCCTGTGCTCACTGCAGTTTCATTAGGAGATGATGCCTCCCAGGGTAGTGGGGATCGGTCAGATGTGCCTGGTACGGACCATCAGCCCCCACAGTGCAAAGTGGTGTCTAGCAGTGGAGAAGCAGCAGTGTTATTTCTGTTCATTGCTCTGGAGGGAGTCTGAAGGTCCTGACTCTTTACTCCTTTGCAGTCTGGACAGTTATTTTCACCCATGTAGAACAGCTGTGAAATGTTCTCACCGGTAGATACTAAAGGAGATGTCCAACTTGATGGCCTCACGTGGGAATGTTTGATTGCCAAGCATAAGAGGCGCTGGTAAATCCAGATGCAATGTGTCTCTCCTGCCAGGCACTTTGATTCCAGTTTCCAGAAGCCATCATGTGACTTGCCATGAAGTTCAGACAGATTTCCTTTTTAACACCCTCGGGAAATTAAATCAAGAATTAGTGGATTCATCCTTGCCTCCACTTACACACACTAAATCTGCTACAAAGTCTGACACTGCTCAGCAGTTCTTACTGGAAGGGCTGCATACAAATACAAGATGCTGTAATCAGCTATTAAGTGCATTGAAAAATGTGTTTTGGGAGTCTGCACATCATTTGTGTTTGCCCCATGTCTGATTCAGGTCAGTGCTATTTATTTTGCCTCTTTTTCATGAAGGGATAAAAGAGAATGTTTGGCATCTATTTCTTTTTGAAACCAACGTTCTGAATGAAAAATCACATTTCTTTAGTCAAAAGAATAAGTGTGAAAAATCTGCATCCTACACTCACTGGTTGCACTTGCATGTGAGTTTATTTTTACAAAACATCTGTGCAATGTGCTGTGAGCTGAGATGGAATTTCAGGCTCGTGTCTGAATTTCTTTGCATTACTGATTTTTTTTATTTTTATTTTTAAATGAAATTTTAATATTTTGTCTGTGTTCATCTGCTGTTTTATCCTTATCCATGAAAAAAGGGTTTGATCACTTGTCTTTGTCTGGCTGCAGCTGTGCCAGCTATAGAGGTTAATGTTTCCAGCCCCCCCCCAAAAGGTTTGTTCCTGCTTTTTTCCCAGCTCCAGAATTAGCTGCTCGGGTGGGCGTTCTGTAACCCACTTCAGTTAAAATGAGCCAGGTTAGCAAAGGCATTGATTTCAGACCATTTAAGTTCAGCTGGGCTTTTTTTTGGTAGAGGAGTGTTAGGGAATGTCCACTTGAGGGGTTCAAATGTGGTAACCTCTGATAGCTGGCAGAGACGCAGCTGGGAGACAAGCCTGCCTGGGAGCAGTGTCCCCCTCAGGGTGCACATCAGTCAGAAGGCAAGCCTGAGAGAGTCAGGAAATCTCTGAAGTCAAACAGTGACATATTATTCTAACATGTATATATTCATGTGAAACACCATGTTAGAGAGATTACGGCTACTTTTTCACTTTGCCCTCTTTGCACTGGGAATATTTCAAACACTATGCTGAGCTGCATATTACTCCTGATTAAGCTTATCTAGATCAGGTCATATGTGACAGCATGTTGGAAGTAAGAGCATCTGTTGAAAGGATTTACAGCAGGGTAGACCCAGGTCTAAGTTAACCAGAGGATAAAAAAACCTCCTTCCTAGCTTGAGCTCAGTTGACCAGAAAAATAGCAAACAGCCATTTTACCACTTTCCATCAACTTTAACACCATTTGGGCCTACAGCAGCATTAAAAGAGCAGAAATTCTGACTGGCTTGTACATTTTCCACTGCAGATAGGATTAAAACATGTAAGAATTTTAATTACCAGTTTTAAAAAAATTAAAATGTTAGCATGCCCAAGATACTTGGCAAGAACAACCTACACATGAACAAAAGGAAGTAAAAGATGGTGATCTTTAGTTTTCATCAGTTGGCATTAAACATTAAGCCTAGTTAAGTTAACTGAATAAAAACATCAGAATAAGAGGAAGTGAATGTAGTAAATGAACTGCGCTGCTCCTACGGTTCCTGCATGAGGCTTTTAATCATCTGCTCCATAGAACAGCATCAAAGATATTTTTTAAGAGACATCATGTAGCTTGAATAGTTTGTCTGTATGTGTGTATATATATATATTTATATATATATATCTGAGGAATAAATTCAGTGAGAATACATTTTTTTAACATATAAAAGTGCTGAAAATGAACAGGAAAATGTTAGCATTTCAACATACCCCCATTTTTATTTCTTGAGAAAAGAGAGCCCTTAAATATACAAACCTACCCTGCTACATAGCTTGCAAAATCAGTTATGTTTATCTCACTGGAGTTACTCCAGATATACAGTGCATATGGGAGCCTCTAAAATGAGAATCTGGCTCAGTAAACATGAAAGTGGAAGGCTGGAGGAGATAAATTTGATATGATTGCAGAGCTGTTTTCCTTCCCTGCTCAAGGCTGAGGAGTTGTTATGACACATCTGTTAAGCACACAGAGCAGGCAGGAGTTACATGGCATACAGTAGTTTTATCACAACAGATGGAATAATTTTAATTATAAAAGTTAAAGACAAAAGAATGCCCATTTTATCACTTCGCTTGTTGTGGTGTGTCTTAAAGCAGTTGTCATCAGTGGGAACCTCGAGGGGACACTCGCTTGCCTCTGAGAATTAGGCCTGATTTAATGTTTCGGAACAGACATTAATAGAACAGCCCATTTCAAGGCAATAACATTTTTTCATCTGGTTTCTCTTTCTTTTTTTTTTTTTTTCTTTTTTTTTTAGGCAAAGCATATTCTTCCTCTCAGAGACCTCGGCCGAGCAGTCCTTTTTCTACTGACAGCAACACCAGTGCAGCTGTCAATCAGGGTCAGAGGCCGAGGCCCACTAAAAAACACAAGGGAGGACGGTTGGACCAGCCCCCTTTGCCTCATCGTAGGGAGGGAATCACAGACGGTAAGTGTTGTGGAGAGGGCCCTGATGATAACCTGCAACAAGCATCTGTGCAGAGCAGGAGAAGGCAGAGCAATCTTTCAAGAAATATAGGGTGTAGTGAATTACTGGTTTGGTGAAGTGGGGTCCCCAGGTTGCCTCGTGAGCAATATTGCAACGCTGGCAGTGTGGAGCTTGGTAAAGTGAGTCTTCGAGGAGCCTTTCTTCATTCCGGCTCTGAACACGTTAGCATCTCTTAGGAGGTATCAGATCTCGATATAAATCTTACCCAAAAGTGGCTGTGTTGCACAGGAGTTGACATTAAAAAATGGGCTGTGAGTAATTTTACATTAAGTGAAAGTAGCCACCACCAGTAGCAGTGTGCCATGAATTCCTAAGGAGAAGCGTAGAGCCACTCCCGCAGCACTGTTTCCTTTGTGCTATTTTTGACAGACACTCAAGAGCTACAGCAACATGTACCATGCTTTTCCCATGATTCTGCCTCATGTCTTGTCTGTGCTGCTTCAGTCCTGACATCCACTGACCTCAGTGACTTTGTTTCCCTCTTTTACATCTCTGCTTCTCTCTGACCACTGCTTCCCATCTGGAAATTTCAGGCTCTTCTAAGATCTGCCCAAGATCAGCTCTGTCTTCCATTATCTTTGTCTACCACTCTTGAGTCTGGTAAAAAAACACAATTGCTGACTGCTACTTTTTGAGGAAGACTGCATAGGAAGGTGGCAGGCTGGCCACCTCCCCCTCATTTCTTCTCTTCCTGGCCTTGCACCTGTAGGTATTGAAATGATCAGAGGGGAGAAGGAGGCAGATGGAAAAACGGCATTAAAGAAACCACTAAGGATATCTGTAATGCCGTGCAGCTGGAGATGTGATCACTTCCCTCATGCTGACCCTTCTTTCAGTGTTCAGAGCAGGACAGTTCTGAGAGGTAGACTGTCCCACATACCTCAGAGGCTCTCATAACACTACCTGGACCATGGGAGTGAGTGTGATGCCAGTGAGTCTATCCCCCAATCTTAAGTACACCTTGACAAATCTTCCAGTGTATAGGAAAGGTGAAAAAATAAAATTAAAAAATTACCTTAGATTTCAGTATAAGAAACCTTCTTATTCTAGTAAAAATTACTTGAGAATCATAGAATCATAGAATATCTCAAGTTGGAAGGAACCGATAAGGATCATCAAGTCCAACTCACTCCTTTATCTTCTTTGGACAGTAATATAATAAATAGCTGTGATAGACAGTATATTTAGATTGATTTTTTTTTTATAATGCACTATTTATTACTCCAGGTACATGTATAAAATATATTAACATCTTGCAAGGTAGACTGTGACCACCAAAACCACCAGAGCTCTGCTCTCAGTCATGTTATGAGGTATAAAGATTCAATTTTGCAGTATCCTCTGACAGAATCCATGTTTGCCAGATCACAAAGATGGAGAATAGAATCCAGAAGGGAAAGTCTTCACCAAAGGGGTTATTGTTACATCTCATGCTCTGTGGCTAATTCTCACTGCCATATTATTTGTGGAAACAGTGTAAAGTAGCTTAGATTTTGCTCATATGGATCTGAATTGGTTTAAACATTAATACCCTGCCCTTCTGGATGTATTCCAGAGGCCTCTCTGCTACACAGATCTATTAAATATATGTGTCTGTGGGAACAGTAACTGGAAATCATGGGTCTCACTTGTGGCGCTGGCCATACAGTGTCTGCCCATGTGTTAATCCTTCTGTTTGGCATATCCTGTCACCTGAACTGTGAGCAATTTGGGCTCCAAATTCTATATACGTGTGAGTTTGTAGTGTGCTCAGTATGGTGGGACCTTAATCCTTCTTTTGAATATTATTGCTATGGAAATATTTTACCATAATGTGGGTACCAGAAAAGTAATGGGAATCCAGTTCAGGTCATGAGACAAATGGAAGTGTGTCTCCACAGTGTGACTCCACTGTGAAATTTGGCATTGTTTTAAATTAGTGAAAGAGATCAGGTTTTAGGATTTATTTTGAAAGAGGAATCTCCTATTGTCTTTTATTTAATCTTTATAAAATACTAATCTTACTGGAGTTTCTTTCATATATTTGAGTCTGAATAGCAATTAGATACTATTTCCCTCAACATTTCAGACACAGGCAGTAAACAGGTTAATATTTGTCCGTTATAAACCTGGAAGTACTTACTATATGTTCCAAAAATTTATAATGTCCTGGAGCAATAGAGAAAACTTTTCCATTCTGTATTAACACAGGAACAAACAAACACAAATGGTACAGTTTTTCCACTTCAACTCCTACTGAATATGAGTCACTAAAGTGTAATGGCAAGTCTGAGTCATAGCTAAATTTGCAAAAGATCATTTGAAATTAAGGAAGCTAAAGGTTGCTGTTGCCACCTGCATGTATGTAAACAATTGAATTTAGGAAACTCTGGTATACAGAAAAAGAGTGGTAACTGGATACTCTCTGTGGAATATTGCAGTGAACTTTACAAAAAGAGACAATCCCACTATGCTTAAGCTACAGCTAGAAAAAGCAAGCAGGAGAGCCTCAGATAGGTCCAGCAATTCTAAACCCTAATCCAGGCCAGCCCCAGGCTGTCATGATTTCAGTGGGAAGCATCACTATACGTTTTCTCCTGGTTTTCAGATGTCTCAAATCCATTCCCTTGTAACTGCTTCCTCTTGGATTTGTCATGTGAGAACATACTTGGTTTGTCAGTTGTTTTCAAATTCCCAAGTTAGATGAGTCCTAGTATCCTGTGTTTAAGTCTCATCACATACCGGATATCTGTCATTTTAAATTTTCGTTGACCAAGTAAGCTCCAGCTATGTCCTTTCTCTGCCCAATCCCATATGCATCCTGAGCACTTCCACCATGTTAACTGTAACCATGTGGGACAGTGCAAAAGACCTAAGAAGCTGTAATGTTTAACACATAGCACACACATCTCAGACTGTGTAAGCATATGAGGGTTCAACTGCATGCTTAGTTTTGACAGCAATCCACACAAATCCCCTAAAAGCCTGCTGCTTCATTTTCTTCAGCTGCAGGTCAGAATACTCTAGAGACTGACTCTAGATGGAGTCTTTATATTTGTCTTGCTGTACAACTTGTTTTTTAACTTCCATGTCCTGAAAGACCATGGATGCAAAAGCAAATCCACAGAGAAAGAATATGTTATGAATCTAACAGATGATGAAAACTTTCATTCTGAGCTCACAGGCCACCATAAAAACAGGAGGTTTTTAGTTCTAGTGCTCAAGGAATAATTTATTTTCCTGGAAACAATATACTCACAAATTGCAAAACAGCGGAATCTGTCAAATAGTTTGTGGCATGGTAACTGCATGACTAAATTTAAAAGCTCTTCCTTTTCTGAGCATGATATGTTAAAAAAACACAAAAAAACAAGGAGGAGGCAGAAGGGAAATATGCTTAGGGGCTAAAAAGGAGAACTGGAACATAAGATTTCTCTTAGTTTTGCCACTGACTTCCTACTGTGTATTAAAAGTCAGTTTTTCCTAAGGTAGAGCACTGTAGAGAAGATCCTTACCTTCTGATGTTAGAAAGTGGTTCAGAGGCTTATTAAATGTCACAGTAATTATCATCCCTAGGAAAAGAAATCACTGGCACAGGTAGAAAGGTGTGTCCTTGTACTTGTAGGTTCTGTAACTTGCTGCTTTTTCCAGTTAATAATGAGAGGCTGTGACAAAGTTTGACTAGAACCTAAATCACTTAGCCAATGCCCTGCCTTCTAACAGAGGGCTGGAGTAATCCCAGGACCAATATCCATCTCCCTCCTATTAGGCACTCTGATGTCCTACAGCTTCTCAATCACAATCCCTCCATTACTAAATCAATAAGACAATCACCCCACCACCACCTCCAACAATGCACTTATGAATTGCCTCACAGGTTTGATAATCCTACCATTAGAGGCTTCAAACGATAGTCTGGATGACATCCCACTGGCCTAGAAAGTTAGTAGCTCAGTGTGAGTTTTTAGGTATTTTATGTGGCACATGAAAGATAAATGTGATTTAGATGGAAGTAGAGTGATAGTCAGTGTTACCACTCTGGGTATCCTCACTGAAAATCCCACTGAAGTCCCTAAATTTCTAGATTCAAAGCTACTCTGAAGTGATCGACACGATGGAATGAGTTGGATTGCCTCTGTGTGGTAATAAACCAGAGTCTGAGGCTACTAATTCTGCTGATATTATGTTACCCCTTTACTAGGGGTAGGAGAGGAAAGGAAAGGGAAAGAGAAAGGGAAAGGGAAGACTACTTTCTATGGCATTGGCGAAAGAAACTCATGACTCCAGATACACGAGATTTTTCTGTATGCCCAGACAAGATAACAGAGAATATTTAATAATTTACCTAAGGCAGAAGATTTACACTGTGGGATGTGAGTTGTAGGGCAAAGAAAAAGCCACATTTCCAAATGAAGCTCTCTTCCAGCTTTTATTAAAAAGGACAGGTAGGTGTTACCGTGACAGTCAGCCTGAGGAAGAAGGTGAAGAATCAAACAGTTTAGTCAGGTGAAGCTTGGCTGCAATTAGTAACTGTTCTTACAGATCCTCTCAGACGTGTAACACAGTTCAGTAAGTCTGTACTCAGGCTGGAGCCAGCTTATTGTAATTCTATAGTGCCTCTAATTCTTCCAGAATTCTGTGAATCTTCATTAGAATGTAAATCTTATTTTTCACTTCAACTCATCCATAGGTCTAAAACAGCCAAAGAGCTTTATAAACATGATGTTTTATTTCACTTCTATGCATAAGTCAGTCTTTATGCTTATTTTGTGGATGGATAAAAGCAAGAATCAGGTTAACATTAGATCAGCAGCATAAGTCTACAGTAATTCCAGGAGTTGCAGCTAGCTCGAGAACATACAGAACAGTTTAAGTACAAACCTTCTTTCCTTCTAAGTATCTAATTAATAATAACTATTAGATGGCAATTTCTGAAGAAGAGTACTCTGTTTAAAGTTTAATACTGCAATAATTTGAACTTTTTTTTTCTATGGTGCTACTTGAAAATTTTGTTTATATTGAACGGTAAATATTTTATCTGGGGAAATTGCATAGTCCTATGTCATGTTATGACTGTTTATTGGATTCAATGCATCCCCACAAAGTGCTTATAAATCACAACTTCAGTAATCTCTATTTCAGATTTCATAAGCAGATGCCAGTGTTGTGGTTCTGTACATTAACTGGTTATGCTCGCAATAAAATCAATTATAAGAAATGCCATTTTGGAAGCCAACACTATAAAGCAATTTCAACATTGGCAAGCTCCCATACCCTCCTGCTTCCACCTACAGTAACTCAAGTATAGTCATTGTCACGAAAGGTCACATCTATATTCATAATGAAAAATTTCTCAAATAAATTAGTGCTGAACATAAAGCACACACCAGGCTCACTGACACGTTATTATAAGGCTGCTCTTGCCAGAACATAGTTATCTTAATCGGGGTGTAGCACTTCAGCTCTAAGCAAAGGTACAGGAGCATCATCAGGGACAACTTCTTTCCCTTGTAAACACAAATTACCTGCACTTCCTCATTTGTCTGTAAGAGACAATGTTGACTGGAATGACATCTCAGCGACTTTGGAAGCATTTCTGCTCCATATATGAGGTGTAAGTATCACCTCTAACAGCAAGGACATGAAAAAAATTCTGTGTAGCATTATATAAAGTATTATATAAAGCCAGATAACAGACTTTGAAATAAACTCCCTCCAAAGGCCTCCTGACCAATTTCTAAAATGAATTTCAGTTTCACTAGAGTTATAAGCATCAGACTTCCCTGAAGGCAAAACAGGTTTCCTTTTCCATTCCTGTTATTGAACCAAGTTCAATTTCTTGATAAATCTTCACAACACTGTAAGATACAATAGACTAGAAAACAGGACAGACCCAAATCTGTTGTAGACTAACACAGTTTTAGTGAAGTTGATGGGGCTGCAGGGATTTATTTGGGCTATGCATTGCCCCAAAACAGAATTATCAAAAAATGTTCCATGGATAAAATGGGTATCTGATAGGGAAGTGTTTTCATTATGATATTAAAGGGCTTCTATTTTTTTTCTTAAATAATCCGAGGCTTTTCTGGACTATTATAAGTCTATTGTGTAGTTTACATGAAAATCTTAGATTTAGAATTAAAATTATTCAGAGTCTGTAATTACCTTGGGTCTAGAACTAATAAAACATGTACTTTTACCACAACAAATGTGATTAGAAGGTTGATCTTCAATTCTACAAGCATCTTAGTAGTCCAAGTGATAAACTTGAAAAGATTGTTAGAGACCAGTCAAGTGTGTTGGTGTTAGCTTAAGTTGTATTTTGGTTGGTTATATTTGCAAGATGCTAAACTGAAGAGTGGCCATCCCCTTGTCTGTGAAGACTTTAGCTCTTCGTTTACTTGAATAAAATGCTTACACATTGTTTGGTGGTTCCATTTAAACACATTTTTTAGAGATATATTGATGCTTTTTCAATGACAGTAGGTTTTGTGAATATTCTTTTGCAATTTTTGTGGCATTTTATTCATTTTGATGAAGTTCTATATTAGATTTTGAGTTTAGACCTCAAACTGAAAGTTAAGCCTAAAAATGGGGATGATGAAGCAAGTCCCAGTATGTTGGGGGAAGTTGTCAACTGGCACAGGTCAATATTCCATCGCCTTTCTCAATTACTTGCTGTTACTGAGCAAAACAGCACCTCCACAGAAAATAAATAAACCCCACAGAAAATAAATAAACCCCACAGAAAATAAATTCCATGCTTAGAAATGTAAGTCAGGGATGAGAGCCTATCAATTTTTATAGAAACTAGAAAGAGCTAGCGACACAGTAATCTGAATAAAGAGCTAGCAGAACACAAACCCACTTTTCTGATTAACACGAAATTCCTTCCTTTTAAAAATCGACAAATGGAGCGATTCATGCCGGTTGCAGGGGACTTTTCTTTTTTCAGCATCAAATAGACCTTCTGTTTCAATGAAAAAAAAAATTTAGTTCATCTAAATCTTATTCACGTTTTTTAGATCTTCCACCACCACCCGACCCGCCCCCTGGTCAGGGTTTAAGGCAGCCCATAGTCCCCGGCCAGCGCGGAGGCTCGGCAGAGAGGAAAGGAAGCTCTCTTGAGAGGCAGCATGCACCGAACGTAGATGAGACAAAGAGCTCCCTGGACCGGCAAGCTAGGACATCTCTAGAGTGGCAGCGGCAAACCCAGGAGTGGATAAGCTCTACAGACCGCCAAGAGGATTTCAGGAAAGCCCAACACAAACAAGCCTTCGGATCAGGTGTGTGTGCGCTGCACCAGCCGAGGCAAGGCAGGCAGCTTCTTGACACTCTGCTGGGAGTTTCTGTACCTGGCAGGAGTCCAGGGTCACCTCACACCTCTCTGTAAAAGCACTGGTGAGGCTTAGGCTGGAAAACAAGAAAAGGCAAAGTGAAGGGAGAGCTTGTGATCCAACTATTTTCCCTCCTGCAACCATGAAATCTCGTTAACACCTGATTCAGGGCATTTTTTTACAGTGTTTTGGCAATTAATATTGTTGTCAAGCATAGCTGTGGAGAAAACAGGAGCAGTTTCAGGTCAACATGGAAGGAAAAAGAGATTTTTAGAACATCTTCTGGTAGATGTATTTACTTACAAATACAAGGCTGTATTTTCTAGTTCTTTGAACCTTCTTCCAAATTGGCAGCAGGTGTTTTTGCCTGTCCAAAAGAAGGCTGATTCTTCTGAGCTACTGACATTCCCTCCAGCTGTATTTAAAGCACCATCTTCTTCTTCAAGGATATGACAAAGTAACACTCATCTCTTAGACCCAGCAAGATGACAGAGCAGGCTTTCACCTTCATACAGGACCTGCACATTGCCGCGGGCTGACTTTATCTCCTAAATGGATTTCAGGTCTGTAAAAATGTGCACAGGAGGTGATGCTGGGATGGAGTTGTAGTTTTACAATATTTGCAGCTTCCTCTCTCAGCCTGACCTCAGGTCAGGCTGAGAGAGCTTCTCAGGAACAGCTTCTGTTCCAGCTTTTACCCTCAAATTAGGGTATTTTCTTTAACCCACTAGTCACATGGCATACCAGTGCAGTGCTGATTAGAGTAATACAAGAGGACAATTAAGAAGATTTAAACAAAAAATTATACTGTATGTGAAGTTTTCTGTAGGGTTATGCTGTTTCTTCAAGTATATATGTGGCTCCCACTGTCACACTGCAGGTACTCTTATAATCCATCTTTTTCTTGATTTTATTCTGCTATTAATGCTCCTTGTTAATCTAGGCCACTAGTATCACTGACACTCCAAAAAAAATTAGTAATATGCAGGCAAATCTATCATGGGGGCAGGATTTACTGAATAAAGTACTCCTGGGAAATACTGCTACCAATATTTAAAATGTAACTATTTTAAATACAAGCATACTTTAAAATATAACCATAGTGATACTGTTAAAAACCTCTAATCTTTCAGCTACATAAACAAGTGAGTGGTTGTTCATGTTGTGAAATCTTGATGTGAAGTCGCAGTTTAAAAAAAATGTGTGAAATTCTTGCTGTTCGGTGAAATGGCAATTTTAATTGCAATGTACGAGATGTACAAACATGTAGAAAAAATGGCCTGAATATACTTTACACTTCTTATTTCTGTGTAAATTATTATTAAGAAAGCTTCTCTGACCTGCTTAGCAAGAACTCCCTTCTTTTTCCTCTGCTTCACAAGTGTACAAATAGAAGTTGTCAGTTATTCTGTGATGCAGAGCTTATACAGTAATAAAATTCCCATCCTGCAGGACATGCATTTATCTGTCCATAAATAAAGAGAACTCGATCTTGCCACTTCCAGTGACCTACATAAGCATTGAATTTAGGACTGAAGTGATTACAGGTATCTTGTTCTTGTCAAATTCAGTATGATGAGAGCAAGTGCATATCCTTTATGCATAAAATAAAGATTCCTCTAGGAGATATTATGGATTTACCCTGGTGTGAGGAGTTCATAAAGTTTGTGCTCAGGGTGGGACAGAGCTTTATATCTGTCTGTCTGCCTTCTCTGACAGCCTCTGGCTCTACAGTTTCTTGCTCTATATTCTTGTCTCTGCCAGATTTAAAAAAGGCTACTCTTGTGCATGATGCCTGTTTCTATTACCAAACTTGAGGGGGGTTAATCATATTAGTAATTGTGCTTCTTCCCTTTTCCTTTATTAATGGCATAGATCTCTGGAAACCTATCCTGTCCCACTTTTCAATACATTTTCAAAAGGAGTTATTATTAGCTATCAGCTTCCAGAAAATAGCTAATTTGCAGCTTAGGGGGTTTCATTCAGATGTTACCAAGCTGTGAGTGAAATTTTGAAAGCAAGACCTTTAGTTTGAAGTTGAATAGAATAAAAATGCTCAAGTCTGGGAACCGTGTTTCTGCTGGTTGCTTTCAGTATAAACAAGATCACTGGGTTCCTGCCAGTGGCTTCATTGTGGAAGCACAGTTACAACACATCAAATATGACATTCTCATCTATCCCTCTAAAGAGAGTAGTGCTAGATCAGGTTACAATAGTTTTGATAGTATGAAAAGCCTTTTGGTTATTTTATGGGGCCTGGAAACATCGTTACACACATATATCTTGATTTCATGGGGGCTAGAATTATGTCTTCAAATTAAAGGCTCTGAAATTCAAAGAGAAAGGCATTGGCAAAGGCTCCCCATACTCTTTGCAGGTCTGGGGCGTGGGGCACTGCTTGGAGTGTTTAATAAATGTGAGTCCATTCTCAGGACTTGAGACAACTACCTTTCATGTGCTAGAATGTTGTGAAAAACTTAGCCTTTATTTTATGTCACAATTACTTATTTTATGGATTATATTTATTTCTGAGGGCACAATAGATAATTTAACACACCATATGCTCTATAATGATAATGGACTTTATATTTATTCATTCTCATTTTCTCTCAATATTTCATTGAACCCGAAGGAGGCCTTATCCAGAGTCCACAAACTAGAAAAACAAATCAATTGACCATATATGTCATCTTCCAACTCTTTTGCAATGCTAGTGACTTTTCATCCTTTAAAAATGTATCCAGCTTTCTGCTAAACTGATTTATGCTGCTTTCTTTATTACTGCCTTAATGCTAGCCATTCCATATTTTAGCCAGCCTTTGGAAACCAGGTTTGCATCTGATTCTATTGTTGGGCTTTGATATATAAGGGACAAGTAACATAATTTAGGAGACTATGGCTGTTAAATGCCATTTTACTCTGTCTTTTGGGCATTTCTTTGTGTTTCAGCAAGGACACCACACGGTCATAGCACAAAACATTGACAATGCCCTTATGTCCCCTAGCACAAATATTCTGGTCCCTTGGGCAGGGCCAGAGTGAGATACTTTGGCAGGGAAAGAATTCAGCTGCCTGCCCTTCTCTGCAACAGATTTACCTTGCAAACAGGCTCTGTTCAATAGCAGATCACGTGGGGAATCCCCGTGTCCTACTCACTTGTGGCAGCAGGCACAAAGAATGAAATCCTGGGTTTCTTCCACAAATTCATTCTCATTTAGCGTTTCTCTTAAGTTAATTGTACCTCTGCTGCAGCCTTTGCAAAGGCTTCAAGCTCATGAATCAAAGCATTTTTATCTCCTCTTTCTTTCCAACCATCCCCACCTACTTTTCCCTCTGTGTTCCTGCCCTCTGTCAAAGAAAAGTCCGTTTCTCCTCATCGGGTTGTTTAAGAGTGAAGACAATGGGAAAAGCAAAATAAAGAAAACCCTTTTGGCCTAGATTCACTTGAAAAAAAAAAAAGTAAGATTCAGGCAGGAGATATCCCACCGATTTCAGAAGGGGCAATTGCTGTGTTTGAGGTTAAGGATATATACTTATATTCTTTCTTGAACCAAACTATATTTAGGAAGATCTCTTTCTTCAGCTTCTGAGATGGCAAAAAGGGATCATACACAGCAAAGAAATAAAACAGTGCTTCTATTTCAGTGCTAAATCAGTGCTGCTGTTTTGCTTCTTAGGTCAGGATTATTACAACAATATCTCCTGGAAACTCTAATCAGAAGCGATGTCTCGTTTTACTTCATGCTATATGAAGACATGCAGTCTTATGCTTTATTGCTATTAATCCTGCTCTTGCAAGCAGTTCATTATTACAGGTCTTCACAGGAAAAGAAGCTAAGTGAGCAAAAGTAAGCCTTTTGCTCATAATGGAACATAATACAAGCTGCAGGATGATTTATTCAGCCCAAATATTACAACTGCTATGTACAATATAATATTTTTCAATGTAATTCACCACCAATTAAAAAAAATTGTTAGTGTACTTTGGATTGTTAGAAATTACTGAGTTGCTGGAAGCTAATTAAATTAGCTGATATTGTAGTTCTTTATCTAAACTGATTGAGGTAATGTTGCCATAATTTAAGCTAAAGAAAGGAAAAAACACATTCATGTGGGCTTGAAGCAAAAATCTAATCATAGCTGCATTGTTTTGGAAATTACATGTGCATCTATTTTTATTAAAGTATCTATGATTCATGTTCTATTACTTCATAATGAATCTAGGCTTTTTATAATTAATACAAACTGACTTATGAGTTTACAAGGAAACAAGAATAAATTCATGCTGGCTTCTCCGTCCTTGAGACACAACTCTTAGTTGTGTATTTTCCTAGGTAAAATTGTCATGCCATAAAAAGCAAGATGAAAGACAGATTCATGAGGGCAGGAATTAATATGATGTCCATAAATGAATAGCTTGTTTATTCCTATTTCTAGGAATTCGCTGGTATTTACTTTGTTTTGGTTTTGTTTTGCTTTTCTAGAAGAGGCACTCGTACCATATAGTAAACCCAACTTCCCATCCCCTGGTGGCCACAGCTCTTCAGGAACATCTTCTTCTAAAGGATCGACTGGACCTAGAAAAGGTGAAGTCTTGCGAGGAGGTCACCAACGCAATGCCAGTGACCTTCTCGATATAGGCTATGTGGGATCAAACAGTCAAGGACAGTTTACTGGTGAATTATGTAAGTTTATCTCTAGCTACAGTTAAAACTCTCAAATAGACAAAAAGAGAAAAATTACACATCTGCTGTGAAGAGAGTAGGTAGCTGTGTGTGATATTCAGGTTAAATTTTACCCAGATATTTCTGCCATCTGAGGTGACAAATAAATTGTGTTCTTCTGTTCTTTAGTTTGGACCAGTTCAAATCTGTGTAAGCCATGCCAGTGTTATCTACAGTATGTCTTTCAGTGTGTAATGCTAGTGAAGCACAGAGAAAACTCAAGAGAAATTCTAGTAATTAGGAATTTTCCTGGCAAAGTGTAACGTGCTTGTCTTGGAAATGCCATTGACTGTTTTTTCTCAGAGTGAATGAAAAGGGTGTTGATTTTTTTGGTCATGGTGATGCCTTCTCCTTAACTTCCTGTCAACTGATGAGCAGTATTCTCTTAGATGGAGGTCTTCTTTTCTTGATTGTGTAGCCTGTTTTTTTGAGTTGCATATCTCAACTCTTTTCCTCAGCATCCCAGGGCAGAGAAATTATTTCCCAAACTTTTTTCTATTATCACTCGATGTCCATTAAACTTTGTGTTGATGCTGTGTACATGATGGCAGTACCAGATACCCAAAGGTTTCACTCTGGTGTTTGAGGTAGCACATCAACATCCCAGCAAGCTCGGGCATACTGGTATGTTTACTGATAAAAGGAGTTGGGGCTGTTGGCATGTCTGCATCCTATGGCTGCAGTCAAACCCTCAGTTCCTCCTGAGAGTTACTGCCCAGTAGCTTGTAAAAGGGGATCCACAAACCCTGGAATGTGCAGTCTCAGATATGGTGTTGGTAAGTGCTGAATTTTAGCATCCATCCCGTTTCATCTTAGAAGCAATTAACTCTCTTCACACAACCTATTGAATATTCATCCTGTACTGCAGTAATATTGCCATAGGCTTTGTTTTGTGGGGTTTTTTTCCTCTTATTACAACCTCTTTCTCTTTTTGTTTCTCTCTATAGAGTAGTTGAGAAGACACATTGCAAGCTGCTCTGATGGACCATCAGGTCTGAACTCATGGAAGTGATGACACTAAACAGTGCAATGAACATTTTCTTTATTTATGTACTATTAAAAGAACTGTAAATGCAATGTAAAGACACACAGCCACACATATCCCACAGATTCTTTACTTGTGTTCTTCTCTTTAATACACCATCCACCTTAAACTATTCCTTGTCAGGAGTATATAAAAAAGAAAGAAAAAAAATCACCCTCCAGGATGAAAAGGATTTCCTTCTGTATATAATTTCTTTTGTTGCATTGCTATGCAAGCTCACCTTCTTTTTAGCTATGTTCATATTCATGTCTGTTTTTACTGGTCTGTTGTACTATATGTGAATTAATAGGCTGTGGTGCCATATATTAACTTTTAATTGTGTAACTTTTATGTTTAAAGTTTGCACTGCAATTTTATTTGGTGATAAGCACAAAACTCTACTCCTCATGACATGAAGAAAAAAAAGAGACTGAATGTGTGGAGAAGGTTTACGTCCTGTAAGCTACTTTGGATAACGCTGGATGTAAAGGAGTATGTTAGGTGGTTTTCCATTGGGGTGTAGAAATGAGAAAGTGACAGGCAAAACTGATGTCAGTGAAGACATTAGAGACAGATTTAAATCTTTTAAAAGCAAGCAACATGGTTGCTCTTCCTATTTAAGAAGGGGTCAGAAGTTGGAAGTGTGAGGTTAAAGGGCAAATATGAAAATTAAAGGTAGCATGAGATGGCCTAGACCCTTTCACTAGAATGATGCCCTTAGTATCTGTTTTTAGCCATCCCATGCCACTAAGTAAAGGGGAAGAAAAACAAACCTTGCTACAAACAAAAGAACTTAAGGTGTTTCACTAAAGCTGTTTTTGTATTGCAGTTTTAAAAGAATTATTACCGTTAATTTCTCCAGCCCAAAATGTAAGACAGAGATTTTCCTGGAGAAAAAAACCAATATAAATGCAAGGAATACCCACCAAGAAGTTAAGAATGCAATTTATTGTTAAGACATATTCAGGCTGCTTCCAAAAAATTGAAATGTCAGAGTATCTTATTTCATCTTTCCAATACATGTACAGTAGAATAGAAGATAGAGCTGCACCACTGAAATTCATGACATTAATTGTTTTGATGCAGTCTACACAACCCTTTCTGTTCTGTTACTTGAAGTCTGCAAGAGTTGAAGTTGGATCCACTAAATTTGTAGTAAAGTGCTTAGTGTTTGGAAGGAAAGCAACAGTCAAACCATTTTCGACTTGCATTAAATATATTTCTGGCAATACACTACATCCAAAAGCTGGATATAAGCAAAGAAAATCTTTGACCTGTGTTTTAGTGAGTGACTTAAAACCCTACTATGATGAGGAAATAACACGTTTATACACTTTTTGAATAAACCAGACTCTGTAAGTGGACATTAATGACAGCATCCTGTCTCTTCATTAATTTTCATGACTTTGTCCAAATCTTCTGTACTTCTCAAATCTCAATGAGTAAATTGTCAAGCTTTTCTTAGAATATTATATGTGGATAGCCCACCCGTTACTTTGATGCTTAATTTAAATATTAAATTTTACAGCTTATTTCTGTTAGTTATCTGACCATGAACATAAGTTTCCATAGAATACCTTTTTCATATAACCAGTCTATGTTGTTTTATATATTGCCTTGGAGCTCACCAGTATTAAGAACACTTTTAGTAATGGCAGAATTTTAGAAAAGTAAATTACAATGCTAAATATGTGTTGCTTTTCATTTCATTAACTTGTTCCATGATAAGATAAAACACTACAGCCATCAACTATAACTCAGCACTACAGAGTATTTTAAAAAAGCTAGTTAACTTCCTTAAGTCAAGATGTGTTATTTAGCAGGTTACAAACAAAAAAAACTTGAGAAAAAAATGTATTAATTTATTTATATATGTGACCAATGAGTATATGTCATTTTCCTGCGTGTTAAAGCACTACAGTTAAAAACATTGCTTAAAAATGTTCAAGTAAGATAAAGAATGCATCATAATTACATATATTTGGTTTTATTTTGATATTATCATATAAAGAGATGACTATTCAGAGTACAATTCAAATTTAATTCTCTGGAAAATGTTTAACTCAGTCACAGATTGATTTTTTTCCTTTTAATTCAAAAGCTTGTGCTGAGCTTTGGTGGAACACCTTACTAACTATATGCTATTCAAAATTCAGTATCATTAGAGGTTGATAAAGCCATCCCAATTACTTTCAAATATGTGTTTTATCTCTTCCACTGGAAAGTAAATGTGTGTCAGTATTAAAGCTGTGCAGTACCATGATATTCACTAACTTGTCCATCTGCTTCTGTACATTTTTGTTCATTAATAATTTGCTTACAATATTACATAAGGTGTTGTTGTGTATGGCAAAGTGTCTCCATTATCTTACAGGTGATGTCTCTTCTTTTTTTTTCTCTCTCTCTCTTTTCTATACAGTGTACTTCCAATGAACCACAGTACATATTTTTTAAAATGCCATTTAATTTACTATTTTAAAAGAAGTATTCTTCTTTTTTTAAAAAAAATGAAAACATTTATTGTGAATAATGTGTTTAAAGAAAAGGGATGTTGTGGCAGCACTTAGAATTGGTTTTTAATTTTTTTTTTTAAACTGTTTATTGGCTACAGTTTGTTCACGAAAAAAGTATGACCTCTTAATGTGTTTCATTGGTATTGTTAGTGCAGCAAAGTTTAATTGGCATAAGAAGTTGGTTATTAGTACTGTTGAAGTGTGTATTGTATATTTACTGGGGAAAAAATAAAACATATTCACATTTCAAATCTATGTTAAAAGACCTTGAGTAAGGAGTCAATATGTGAAAAGCCAAACTGGGAAAATCAGGCAATAATAACATAGACTGAGCTATAATCATCACTGTCCACTTACAGGTGACAAGGAACGTTTTATGTGCTGGTTTTCGAACTAAGCTAAGAGTGTTATAAATAGGCCAGTGGTAAACATTGCCTGTCATAGGGGTTTCTGTTTAATGTCCTGTCTATACTGGGAATAGCTGGACCAGGGTAATTACACTGCTCCAGCTATTCTAGCAAACATCCTCCATTTGTACACGTGCGCTCTCGATGTTCAGCAAGGACCCAAGTGCTCAGCTTACTTTGCTTAAGGCCCATAAAGCAGTGGATGTGTAAAACCTGCATTCCCTGGGTCTGAACCCTTGGAATTGGGGTTTTGTACTGGTGGAGTTTCTGCCAATGCAGTACAGAACATCCCCCAAATGGCAGAGAGATGCCAGGTCAATTTTTTCTCAAGCTTTGTGTTGAGTACATGCCCAATTTTAAATGCAGGAGGGCTGAAGGACCAAATAATAAATGGTTACATGTGCTTCAGTGGTGTATTGCTGTATAGGCAGCCATTTCAGTGATGCAAAGAGCAGACATGTCTTGGTTTTGTTATTTTGTTTTTATTTCTCAAGTCCTTTCCAAGTCAGTAAACCTTTTGAATACCTTTTGGTTGTCACCTGAAATGCAACAGAAACACCGTTCCTTGGGAAAAGTACAAAAAAATAAGGTTCATGGAATGTTTTAAGTGTATTAATTTAACTATACACCAGTGCAAAAGGAAGACATGACTGTTTGAATTAATTATATGCTGGTTTATGCTTGCCTCAGTCCATACCTTGCCAGCCAGGAAAAAAGGTGTGTACTAGGGCTGAGAAAGAGCCCTCACAAGTGACAGAGGAAAGGTAATCGGGCTGGGGGAGATTATGGCAGGAACTTTTTTTAAAAACAAAAATGCTGGCAGCTCCTTTGACTTATCTTCAATATATGCAGTTTGGGTTTTTTTATGATTAATGGCCTTGTGAAGATTTTGCAGGGGAAGTAGGAAGAAAAAAAAGCTGGCCTTCTTTTGTAAAGATTCGGGGGAACTTGTTTGCCGAGGGGAGGATTTTTTTAATTTCATTTTTATTTTTTAACACATGTTTTGTGTTCCCTCTCACTGGAACACATTAGCTAAAAAAATAAATTATTTTTGAAAACCATGTGGGCAACAGACATTTTATTTGGGAGGCACATTCAAATAGCAGGAAAACGGCAAAAAGTACTACTAAAATAGGGAACACACACACTGGCTTAGAATCAGCCGAGTCCACCACAGTTTCACATGTAATTTTGAGCAGTACAGTAATATGTATAAACTTCATTGCTTTTGGTTTCCATACCAAAACAAACTATCCAAAGTCCATAGAGGCCTAGATCCTTGGGACACTAATTCTAGTACTTTGTTTGAAATAGGTGGTTAATCCAAGCCGGTGGGACTGGGGTATGTTAAGGGTTGTACAAAACCCCAGCCCTGGCTGCTTGCACCTCAGAAGTCTCCAGCTGGGAAGCCCACGTGGCTTTAGGCTCAGTGGGTTTCAGTAGATCCCAGGCACCCCGTGTGTAGAGGCAGGTCACTTCCCTGAGGATGGAGTTTTTCAGGGCAGGGAAGGTCTTTGATGAGTTAGCCACTGTGGTGGTTTGCACGGGGACCATTTCGTCAGGCACATCTCACATTTTGGGACATCCTCCCCAGTCCTGCCACGGTCTCAGTGCTGAGCAGTGGAACACAGCAGAGCAGTGCTACCAAACTCTGCTGTATGTAGCATGTTCTCTGCTTCTCTTTAGGACTGACCCTTGCCTGCCAGCACTCCTCACCCAAAATAACAGATACGACTCGGAGATATGTCATGGGACCCAGAGGAGAAGCAGGGCCGTGCCTGTGTGCTGTGAAGGTGGACTGGTTATTTGGGGAGAACCAGCTCTGAGTTCTGCTGTTGGTGCGAGGACTAGATTCCTCTCTAGCCTGAGTTTGTCTAACTGTGTAGCTACATCCAGGAGGACCACAGCAGAAAACAAGTTCCTAGAGCACAGCTCAGAGTTGCAGCATCTCTTCTGGCATAGATTGTCTGTCGTAGACAATCCTGAGTTCAGTGCCAGCTTCTCGCCGCATCCTGAGGACTCAAATGGCTTACAGTGACATTTAGGCAAGTGAGGTTGTTCCTCTCACTGCGGCAGAATGCAAAAAACCCCCAAACAAACAAAACAAACAAACAAAAGCAAAAGTAAACCTTTCACTTAAACAGATCTTTTAAAACAATCCTCAAAAATCCTAGAAAGTAGAGCAGTTCAGATGTACTCTTGATGATTTTTTTTTCTTTTTCTTGGCATTTTATTTTTGCTACCATTGAATTTGGCTTTTTTCAGACCTGCTACACTCTCCCTCCACCCCTTTACCCCCTGCATTTTCCAGTACTAATCTTTCAGGTGTAAAGAAGTTATGGTAGAGAATAATTGCATTTGTGTACTTTCATTGTTCTAACTTTAAACAACAAAGTGCACAGTTGCATTCAGTTCAATTGATCAAAGCCAGATGGGGATGAAATGTTTGTGGTTGTTTTTTTTTTTTTCTGAAAAGGCCTGCTACTATTTGTGCTGATATTTGTTCCCCATTTATGCTGATCAGTGCATCTTTTGCCTTCGAGGATGCCATTAGTAATTCTCCTTTGTGTTCATAAGCAGGAATCCATTGTGCAGCACTTGGAGAGCCACTCGGATGCAGGTAAAGAATATAACAGCTTGAGCAAGTGCTAATTAGAACCAATTAAAGTTAATTGACCTCCTTTGGCAGTAAAATGCATAATAGAACTTGCTCTGTCCTTGCAAAATGGAGATCTCGCCTCTAAGCATGAGAGTGAAGCAGGGTTTCATGTAGCAGCCTGTAGTAATTATGTGGGTATAACAACCAGGAAGCGGCTTGCTACAATTTGTTCTAATAACTGGTCTCTACTGTACCAGGGCAGTGCAATAAAAGTGAGATTTCTGCTCCAGTCTATTTAAAAACCTAATTTTTACAGAGCAAATGAGCGTCCCAAGATACCGATACTAATCTCTAGGAATGAGTTGGCAGAAAAAATAAGAGTCCCTTTTATAGGTAAGTAATGGTGTGAGCATAAAAAAGAAGGCAGTTTTTTTGCCTGCCAGTTGGAAATGGCTCTGATGCTCAGAGGTTGCGTCTATCCTGAGTAGTGGGTGTAAGCTCTGGTGGGCCTGTAGTGGTGCCTTGCAATGAGGTTGCCTCCTGCAGGCTTCTGTTCAAAAAGGGGCACTGGCATCCATCCACCTGAGCCTTGTGCTGCTGTGGGACTGTACCACTACCATGGGCACTGGTTTGGACACAGTCAGAGGTATCCAAATAAAAGAGAGAGAAAGAGCAGGGGAAATAATGAATGGTAGGAAATGTAAAATTGTGTGAATTCAAAAGCATCAGTGGTGGGTGCTAAACTGTACATCGCTGTGAAAAGTTGAAAAGCCATTCTTATTAGCAAAAGAGAATTGATCCAGTTTCCATGACCATGCTTTGCTGACTTTTTCCTTGGCAGGAACTGAATGCGACTGATTTTGCTGCTAACTTGGCCTTACTATGAACAGCAATAAAGGTGTTAGTCAGGTGGGGACTTTGATGTGACCAATAACATCACTCTCCCTTCAGGGAATGTTCTGTGCTGGCTTGTTAATGAATTTCTTTCCTAATGAGTATCATTAAAAACCCTTTGATTAGCTATTTGTGTGAATGCCCTTCCTTTTTTCCTCTAAGCTTCTACTTGCACAAGTGGCAGCAGGATTTTGCCCTAGGCAAAAAGCGTGCAGCTCTACTCCTTACCTCATGAATACAAGTCTGAGGCAAAAAGCAATAGGAAAGAGGGTAAAAAAAATAAAAAATACCTCATGGATATTTTTTACACATGTACAACCTGAGCAGGTACCAGCATTCAGATGAGAATGTCATTAGGGGAAATGAAGAGCAATAGATAGTGATGGTGAGGCATGCAACAATAATTTACATACACCTCGAGTGCCAACAGGCAGAGAAACAAATAAAGCTATAACCCAGGGAAAGGGAATGCCAGAGAATAAATGGACCGCAACAAGCAAACAAAAAATGCCATGTCATAAAATGTAGCAAAAAGCCTGGAAAACAAAATTAAAAACAAAACAAGGCATTTCAGATCCCAGGCCCCTTAATGAGATATTGATGGCATAGAAATTGCCTACTCCTATGCAAGACAAAAGAAAACTGAGAAACACAAAAACAATTAGGAAACAGATTTGGCTATCTGAGGTTTAATAGAAAGAGATGTGGCATAGCACAGTACAATTAATCACCAATTGCCTGAAACACTTTCTTCTCCCAAGCTACTGCAAACCTGTCTCCTCTGCTCCCAATTTTAAAATGACAGGCACCCAATCCAGTTTGTTTTTAAAATAAACCTTTCTCTCCTGTTCCTTCCCCAATCCCCCAAATCTCCCGGTGAACTGCAGATACTGATAAATAAATCTTTTGTATTTACTCTGGTGTCACTGGCTTCAAACTAGCTTCAGCCTACCCACCCCCTTCTTCCTCCTCTTTTCCCATCAGGCATAAGCTTCATCTACATATTTCTACCTTGTTGTTAGGCATATAATGAGGCTTTTCTATTTCTGTCCTTCTTTGCCCAGAAAGCTGTCTTAGACATGTCGCACTCAGGGATTTATAAAAGTTCACTTTATATTTGATCTATGCGGAATATGAGTTTTAAGTTTAAACTAGGTCATAGGGTGCCTTTAGAGCATTTG